ATTATCACTCACCACAGCTGCCTCTTATTCACAAAAAATACTAGATGGTTTCCTGCTGCTAATTTTAATATTTATCAAGCCAATGGTGGAAATGAATTTTTAATGCAAAATAACTTGTTTCAGAGTCTAAAAAAATCGAACACACTGGGCTTTCAACACTACATAAAGCTGTATGAATCCCAACCCACTGTACGGGAGAATAATAGATTAATTGAATCTGTGCCTCAGAGCAGAAGCATGATTTCTAAATGGAAAATCCTACAGAGGTGGCAGTGAGAGATGAGCTTTAGCCAGATGAATTATTCCAGGAGAAAGTAAAAGAGGAAATCATGCTAGCAAATGGCTTTTTCTTAAAGATCCCTGATAAGCCATACACGAATTTTGTGCAGTGAACTACTGTGTTTACTCCCATCTTCCTGGTCGTGGCACTGTCTCCTGTGTCCTGATCTTTACAACTGTGGTCTCCAGGGTTTCCTACGTGTACACAGCACAGTGGTGATACTATTCATTTCTCTAACAAACAGTACTGCGAGCCCAGGATATACCAACCAGAGTTCTCAGAGACTTCAGTCCTGTATGCTTCTTATGCAGCGCAACAATCCTACGCTTTTAAGGCTCGAAGCAAGCCCAGGAATACTTCAGATAAGAAAACTGAGGCTGGCCGTGGTGGCTTATGCCTGTCATCCTTTGGGAGGTCTAGGCGGGAGGACTGCTTGAGCCCAAGAATTTCAGACCAGCCCAGACAACATAGCGAGACCCTATGTCTAAAAAAGAAAAGTCAAGAAAAGAAAAAAAAATGGCCAGGCAGCCAGGCGTGGTGGCTCACGCCTGTTAACCCAGCACTTTGGGAGGCTGAGGTGGGTGGATACCTGAGGTTGGGAGTTTAAGACCAGCCTGACCAACATGGAGAAACCCTGTCTCTACTGAAAATACAAAATTAGCCGGGCGTGGTGGCACATGCCTGTAATCCCAGCTACTCGGGAGGCTGAGGCATGAGAATCGCTTGAACCCAGGAGGTGGAGGTTGCAGTGAGCCGAGATTGGGCCATTGCACTCCAGCCTGGGCAACAAGAGCCAAATTCTGTCTCAAAAAAAAAAATTAATAAATAAAAATAGGCCAGGCATGGTGGCGGATGCCTACAGTCCTAGCTACTTAGGAAGCTGAGGTAGGAGGATTGCTTGAGCCCAGGAGTTTGAGGCTGCAATGAGCTAAGGTTGCACCAGCCTGGGCAAGTTAGACCATCTCGAAAAGAAGAAAAAAAAGGAAAAGAAAACTGAGGCCCAGAGAGGAAAATACCTTGCCCAGGAAGGTCACACAGAGAGTTAATGGCTCTAATCACAAAGGGTAAGCGTTTTGACAGATTCATGAACTCTTGGGTAGCTCCGTCTTGAGCTCTGAGGACCTCCAAGTCATTTTGTAGCCTGAAGTGCCAATTAAACCAGAAGAATCATGGACTTACTATTTATAGGTAGAAGTGAAGAAATTAACTAGGCCATGAAACCTGGGGACGCAGGAGATCTTGTCTCTTGAGATTCACATGTAACATTCAGCTTCTATATTTTAAGACAGAACTTGGGTAATGCAGTCTCAATTTTCCTAATACTGGACTTCTTCGGGTTGCAGTCTTGACGAACCACACCTACTACAAAGGTTTTTGCACCATAAGACAAACAGATAACCCCACTTCTGGCAGATGCTGCCATTACCCACCCAGTGGACCGGTTTATGAACATTCCAAGCATATCCCTTGCTTCAAAAAGACCTAAATCAAACCATTTTTTCTGTTATTTGGAGAGCTTTAGCCAGCAATACACAGTCAATACACATTCACTGAATGTATAAGCGAAGAGGAGAAAGGAAAGCTATGATTGTTTTTTAAGAGATACCACTTGGGTTTGCAATTATCTCACATTTTTCATCTTTTTATTGTTCAGAGTGGTTTCCCCTGTACTGCCAAAATCAAATAACTCTCAGGAGGCCTACTGGTATGAACAAAGGCACTAAAATCAAAGAACTTCCAAGTTTCAGTCTGCCAGAGACTGGCTGTGCAGTATTGGGGAACAGTCATTTAGCCTCTCTCCATCAGTTCCCACTTCTGTACAGTGGGGGTAAAACTATGGTGGCACCTCTCATGTGTGCACTGGCTAATTAAAGCTAATGAAGCCTCTGGAAATAACCAGAAAACACTGTGTAAGTGCTGAGTATTTATGTGACACTAACAGTCACAAAAACTCCCAGGGGACAAGATTCTGTGCAGAGCAGACAGCACATTCTCTATTGGTGATTACTAATCACCCACTGCTTACAAAGAAAAGCACTGTGTTTTCAATAACAGGGTAGGTTTAAAAAAAAAATCACACGATGTTGTTCAACAACACCATCTTTATTCAAAAATATATATCTATGAGACATTTCAGAATATACTGCTGCCGACGACAGCCTATACTTCTAAATAAAGTCCTAAATTAATATACAAATTTAAGCTTTGAAAATATTCTTTAAGAAAAACAAACAAAAAAGAAAAACAAGGGAAGATTGACATTTCTGAGGAATATGACCTAAAGGAAAGGTCCTTTGAGGCCTACAGATGCCCTAAGAAAGAAAAACACAAAAACAAAAACCACCCGCCCTGCCCCGCCCCGCCCAGTCACCTCATACATACAAGGAGGGTTCATTTAAATTAAACAAATGAAGTAAGCACACTTTGGGAGGATGTGGACAGCAGAATTAAGATTTAAAAAACAAAAGCATTTCATCAGAACAAATAACTAACTTCCTCACAGGAAGTTCACTAGTAACAGGTATTAAGAGGCCAACACATTCATTTACATAATTGCTACAGTTTCATTCCTTACTTTTGCTGTAATAATTATGCACCAATTGCTGGTCATAGACTCAGTTGGATAAAACAGAGCAGTGAGCTAAATCCATTCTGTTCTATTTTCATCTAGCTGATCAAGTATCTACCATACTCTTTTGGCTGGTTTGTGGCTGGTCAGATCTCACTTCCTTGGTGAAAGCATAGTGTCCAAGATGGGCCTGCTCCAAAACACGCTCATCTATAAAGCAGCACACCATTGGGGGCGGGGGGGGGGGGGGGTGTGGAGGTTGGGGGTGCAGCAGCAGCAAAGATTACAATTTATCTTGCCATTTTAGTGATGACACCTACGGCCTCTGGAAGAAAAACCTTATAGACTCATTAACAGTGACGGAACAACAGGCAGTGACAATAAGCAAACGACACAGTCTGAATTCATATCTGATTAACAGCTCAAACACTACCAGGTTCTACACAGAGTTAAGCTGAGTATCTGCTATGACTTTTCACTGTTCTTACTTCATGACAAGCAGGAGAGCTTCTGGAAGGGAAGCCCGTTTTGCTTTCTAAAGACAGGTTACGTTTCGACGTGTTTAACATGTAAAATTACACATAATTTTTGGTGATCCTGGAAAAAGCAACTCAAATTAATGGAGATTAGAAAACCCCCTCCATTGGATTCCTTTTTATAGAGTTTGCGTTTCAGCCTCTGGTCTATAACTCCTATTACATTATTGGGCAAATTGTTTTCTGCCCTTTCCAATGTCAAAAATAAGCCTGCCAAATTAGAATGACCTACAGTTGGCAGGCTGAACCTTTACTATAAGCAAGATAAAAATCGTCTCTAACTACATTATATAGTCATAATGTCAGCTGGCATGATGATAGAATTAAAACCTCCAATTATTATCTCTGACTCCCTGCTTCCCTTGCCAAGATGAACCATTCAGTAACATCTGACACAAGTAAGTACTCCCCACCGAGTGCGGACAGGGACCTGCGCAGGGACGTGACCGGACAGACCTGCTCAGTGTCCCGTTTGCAGTGATGTTCGAGTTTAGTCATGTACTGTGGACACGCACCCAGACGGCGGATTAAACGTTAGTGTGTACCCAACTCCCAGAAGAAAGGGTCCAAGTAACACCCACGAGGAGCCCGGATGCAGCACACCTGGGTAAGGGTCCTTCATCTTTTGGGGCCCCCCAGTGCCCGCCACTCCTAACAACTGCCTTCGCACCCACCAGGGGTCAAGGCGCCCTGTTTTTCGGAACATGCTCTGGCAGTGGAGCACTGCAGCGTGAGAAGGCTGTATCTAGGAACTTGAAGCAAATAAGTTACTTTTAATTCATGCTTGTGATCCTTGTTTCTGTCTCTGAACTGTGCCTTTATGTTCCACATTAGATTTGAATCTTATTGCTAGATTCTCCAATCTGTTTACAAAATAAATGCACCTCATCTTTGTGCATCACTAGGAGAATGGAGAGGGAGGATCAGAGATTTGGCAAACTCTTTATGGCAATGCTACAACAGCTGTGCTCCAACCTTTAGGGGCAGATGTAGCCAGGAAAGCCAACGTCTCCAGGATAAGTACCTCAGTGGAAGCCCGCACTGAACTTGAACAATCCCAGCTCAGAAAGCAGCAGCTGCTTTTGTGACAAAATGATGTCTTGAGGGACAAGATTCTTTTGAAAGCTTCCAGAAGTACACATGATTTTCCTAACTTCTTAGGTATAAGGAGAGAGCTAAGAATGGAAAACCAACGGGGGGGGGCATGAAAATACAAAGTCGGAGAAAATGTCTGTAGTCTTTGCAAATATGAATATAAACCGGATTCCAGTCGCCACTGTTCTGAACTGTGCTCAAGATAAAAGGCTGAAGAGGAGAATCAGAGTCTGTGGTTCTTTCTTGAGGCTGGGGGGTTGAGTGGAAGAAGGGATAGAATCAGGGGCTAGAAGGTTATTTCCAACCATGACTTGCCCACTTCTTTCTGCTGGTACAAACAGAAATCTGGGACATGACACCTGTCCTAGTCAGTTGAAAACAGGTCCCCAGCAGAGGGCAGGGGGGCCAGGCCCCCTGTGACGTTGGGCAGCAGTGAGAGGTCTGGCAAGCTCTGAATATGGGACTTCAGTTCCTTGCGGACCTGGGTTACCCGCGCAAGCTTCTGTTTGTATTCCTAAGGAGACAAAGAGAAGACAACAGCGTTAAGTCTGCGCATGCTGAGGGTGTAACATGCTGCTGTAGCTGGGGCAGCTGCTTTCATTCTCGTGTTCTTCCTTGTCCCCACCAGCCTGCCCACCCTTTTCAGCTATATTGCAAAGCTAGAGTTTCAAACTCTCAAAAGGCAAAACTTTATATCAAAAAAGGAACGCAGAGTACAATACCGGCAACAATGAATTAAATGGCATTCAACTTAGTACTTGAGATTTGGAGTAAAAAGAAGTGACATTTGGTATTTGCCTTCTCTTTTTGTTGGTTCTCAAAAGTTTCAAAATTTGTAAGTTTATGCCTTAAAAATAAAATACAGACACCTGAGCTTCACAATTTCTTTCCAGACTCCACCTAGACAGGGCTAGAAAAAACACAGTAAAGTGATGCGTTCTATGTTAAAGCTTGGAGATCAACCTAGATTTACCATGTTTTGCAAATAAGCACTATAGAAGCTCAAAATACCCCACTGCTACTCCCTGCGACCGGGACCTGCTCATCCTGTTATATTGAACTGAGCACAGAAAGTCAACACCAGAACAAAAGTATGCCAAATTGCAGGGTTTATTGCCGGCGACCATGGAGGACTCACGTCTCTCCAACCCGTGGCTCCGAAAGAAGAGAGACAAGACCTTTTTATACCCGCAAAAACCACCTTGGGAGTGGGGGTGGAGATGGGAATGAAAGCTGTCAATCACCTCCCAGGCTAAGACGAGGATGAAGGGCTTCGGACATTCCGAGGGCCAGTGGATTCAAATCACCTTCTGGGCGGAGAGGAGGGTGAGGGGGTTCCGGACATTTAAAGGGCCAGGGGACTATTTGACATTCTGATTATTATTTAAGGGGTTCACAGATGCTGAGATTAACATTCGTTTACACATCGTTTGGGTAGGGGTGGGGATCCATAGATTTTTAATTACTTGGCACCAGGATAGAATTATCTGGGGGTGCTTACTCTGGTAAACAAAGGCCAGTAATTCTGGCATTTACAGATAAGAGAAGGTATGCAGCTTTACCTCAATTTGCATCCTGCAAATGATCTAGCAATTTACAAAAGCCAAAGTTAGCAGTCATTGTGAGGAGAATGGAAATAGTTTAGTTCTTTATAAAAATGGCATTGTACAGGTTCTAACTCTAGGCCGGCTATATCACAATCCCATGACTGAGTAATTACAGTAAGTCCTTGGTGAGGCCTTCCAATAGTCTCCTGACACCTGGGGCTCCTAAAACGCCACCAGACTTCTCTTCTGAAAGCCCAGCTTTCATGAAGCCACTCCTTTGAGAAAGTGAAGCACAGCACCCCACTAGCTCCACGAGCTGGTCCTTCAGAGCAGGTCTTGTAAAACCAGCCCCTGTGCAGATGTGTTTCTCACAACCTCCCAGTCCTCTGTGTCTGTGTGGACCATTTTTTCAGGATTCCTTCCAAGCCTGGAGGGGTCTCTCTCTTCTCCTAGCCCTATATAAAGCTTGGCATCCACTCCTCTGCCTATCTGGGCTCCTCCTCTCTAGGAAAATCGTTGCTCTGCATCCAGATGACTGCTCCAGAGCTCTCCCTCACACAGGGTGTGTGCCTGAGCCCCCAGCAGACTGCTCTGTGCTCTCTCCACACATGTGAGCCTCCTATGTTCCTCTAGAATACAAATCCCCTAATAATAGAAATGGGGCATATTTTTTTTCTTTCTTCAGCTCCAGAAAAAGGTACTCTTGATAAATCTGCAAAGACACACAGAAAACAACCCTAGGCCATATGAAGTGTGGGGCTGCTGGCCCCCTTAGGGCTTATTTTTTGTCCTCTCGGAGTCTCTGCAAGGATAAGCAAGTCCCTGAGGCTGGGCCCTTGATGAAGAAAGCCCTTTGTGCAGGAATGTAACAAGAAGCACTGGGCTGAGACGCGGAGACCTGCGCTTTGTCCTGGTTCCACCTCTAACCTGCTGTGTGACCGTGGATGTGTCCCCTCTTCCTTATCTGAAAGTGAGGGAACTGGACTCAAAGATTTCTTTTCAAATTCCGAATTCCTTGATACCAGATCCCTGGTGCGCACCTGAAGAGGCAGCAGGTGGAAGCTAACAAATGGGAAGAATAATGAGGCAGGAAAAAGGCCAAATGAAGAATACTTAGTTCAAGTTGTAAAGACAAAAGCCCAAGCAAGGAGAGGAGGGAACCAGGCATATCCTCTCCCCATTGCTGCAGGCAGTTGGTCTCCCACCTGCAGTGAGAGCTCCTCAGGCAGCCCACAAAGGAACAAAGAAGGGTGGAGAGTGAGCTCTCCTAGCAGTCCATTTCTTTCCTTTGTAAACTTAGCACAACTAAAATGAAACAACGACTTATGTAAATTATTAGCAGTGACTCCCACATTTAACTGGTAAGCTCCTGGAGGCCAGGACCAGACCCATCTGCTTCCCCCACCATCCACCAGCCTCCGCAGTGTCCAGCAAATAGAAGGCACCTGGCACATGTGCCGAGTGAAAGAACAGTATCTAAAGCATCACATCAGGTGAGCACACCACATGAACTAACCTTCCTGAGACTCAGACTCTGGTTACTGGTCACCTTTCACGTTCCTGAAACTGAAAACTATTTTCAAATCTGAGGATTGGATTCCCCTTTCTCCCACTGTACTTTTCTTCTTGGCTGTATATACTTCAAGGGAAATTAATATAATGGATGAAGATGACTAATTCTCTATGTCTGAACATGGATTCATCTAATAAACTTCTCCTGAATGGTAGGTACAAAAAGGGTAAAATAGCAAAACAACTACAGAACAGGGATTCCTGCCCCCTGCTTGAATGCCCTGATCCAAGCTGACAAAGCCACCTCCACTCGGAGCCATCCACTCTTGGCAACTAGGGAGCCCCTCAAGAACGTTCGAAAACCACCGAATCTCTAGCAGCTGAGCTGGGATCAGAATCCAAGGATCCTTACTCTTGGGTTATCATCAGACCATCCTGGCAAGTTAAGTTCCATTCCATTCACTGAGGTTAAAATGGAATGCACTTTGATCTAATTAGACACCACCTTAAGTTCAACTCTCTGCTAGGCTATTTCTTAAAAATCCCAGTTGTAGCCATATGTGGTGGCTCACCTCTGTTAATCTCAGCACTCTGGGAGGCTGAGGCAGGTGGATCCCCAAGGGTCAGGAGTTCAAGACCAGCCTGGCCAACATGGCAAAACTCTGTGTCTACTTAAAAAAATACAAGAATTAGCTGGGCATGGTGGTGCAGGCCTGTAATCTCAGCTACTCAGGAGGCTAAGAGAGAGAGAACTGCTTAAACCCAGGAGGCAGAGGCTGCAATGAGCTGAGATCATGCCATTGCACTCCAGCCTAGGTGACAGAGCAAGATTGTGTCAAAAAACAAAAACAGCTATGTCTGTTTGGAACGGGGGTTGGGGTGGGGGATGGGGGATTCCATTATGCTTAGGCTGATATTATATTCTGGACATTATCAAAGAAACTCATTTAACTAAAAAGAAATGTGTTCCACTTGAAAGCTTTGTCTTCAGGCCTTCAGGCCACTATGAAAGTGGACGGATCCTGCCCAAAGCTCTTCCTGCCACTGAGTGACTCTTCTCACAGGGATGCCTATTGTGAGAGCAGGTGTAGGCGGAAGGCATCACTAGAGAAATAAAGAGTGAGAATGAGACTGTCACTGAAAAGGATCAATAAACATTAAGGCTGGCCTGGGCATGGTGGCTCATGCCTTTAATCCCAGTGCTTTCAGGAGCTGAGGCAGATGGACTGCTTGAGGCCAGGAATTCGAGACCAGCCTGGGAAATACAGTGAGACCCTGTCTCCACAAAAAATAAAAAACATGAAACACTGAGACCAGTTAAAAAAAAAAAAAAAAGACCTGTAGGCTAAGAGGTTTAAATATATCAGTAAGGATGCCTGGATATGTACTCTGAATAGCCAAATACAGGTAGCAACCACCTTTAAAACTGTTAAAACATGTATCTGCTTAGCTGGGGCAGTCAAATGACCCAGATTACTTTTCTGAAGAGAGGCAAGCAGGCTAGAATTAATGGCAAGATCTGATTAGGTCAAATTTAGGCTACAGTAATTTTTATAGTTCCCTAAATAGACTCAAGTAGTAACTACTGTGATTTCCTACTCCTCATCCCCGCTTTTAAAAACAGATTCAGGCTTTCCAAACAGTCATCTGTAAACCTTGCCATGGACCGACAAGAAAAATTAATGGTGACTCCAGGCTAGACACGGTGGTTCATGCCTGTAATCCCAACACTTTTGGAGGCTGAGGCAGGCATTTGAGCCCAGTACTTCAAGACCTGTATGGGAAACATGGCAAAACCCCATCTCTACAAAAAATGCAAAATTAGCCAAGCGTGGTGGCTCGCACCTATAGTTCCAGCTACTCGGGAGGCTGAGCTGGGAGGATTGCTTAACCCCAGGAGGTGGAGGCTTCAGTGAGCTGAGATCACACCAGTGCAATCCAGCCTGGGTGAGAGTGAGACCCTGTCTCCAAAAAAAGAGTGACTCCAAACAAAATTCCCCCAAATACAACTCTGGCCTTTACCTGCCTCCCAATTTTCTGGTTCTTAAGTTCTCTCAGTTGCATCTTGCAGACCCTCACTAGCTGCCTTTCCAGGTTATTCTCTTGAGGTCTGGATAGATGAAGGAGAAAGATCTTAGGAAGATCCAAGAATCTCATGTCTCAACTTACCAGCCTGCCTTCTCACACAAGAGCAGTTCACGAGCTCTGCTGCCACAGGGCTTCTCAGCCACTCCCGCTCTCAGAAGAAATCCCACAAAAACCAACTTCAACGTGATGAGACCCACTCAGATTCTTCCACCTTGTTTAAGTGTGCTGCATCCCACAATCTCTTTAGTATACCAAGTGCCACTCAGGTAGAAAAATGATGTGCCCAGGTGGTCACATGCTCCTTGTTTCAGACACTTCATTGTTGTATGTAACACAGGACTAAGCATTTCATCCAAAACCCACGCTCCCCCGCCTAGAAATGGAATTCGAGAGCTCCTGTCCTATGCCATTTACAGCTGCAGGATGACCCTGCTGCAGTGTTCTTGCCCATCAGTCTCTTCTCCGCACCAGTGCACTCTTCTCAACCACAGTGCACCAGGCTCTCATGTTCAGAGGGTGCCTTTCCTCCACGACCAATCTTAAGCAAGGGAAGACAAGGCAAGCCCAGGCAGTCCGGTTGATAGTCCTCTCCACTGCATGCATAATTTATACTGAGAGGTGGGGGGCTGAGGTGGGGCTTCCATTTAGCTGCAAGTACCTATTGCGGCAACCCTGCCCAGACCAGAAGAGCCGTGGGGAACCCTGAATAGGGACAGTCATATCTGACTTGCTTCAGCAAACCTGTCTCAGGATCCTCAAGGAGTGGGTGTGGAGGAGGTGGCAAGCACTTTCCAGAAACTGCCTCGGTTTATTTGACTGCCAAGAAGTGTTTACAATGTAAAGGGTAAGGCCCAATGTGTAGTTCTGAGATAAAGCCTAGGATTTATGCTCTTGGCAAAGTTTGCAATCTTGCCTCACAGACTGTCTAAAATTGCAGGAGAAAATGTGTCTATAACATTCTCCTGCTTCCTGTGGATCCAGCTGACACCATGAACTCCACCCATCATGGAGCACCCAGACAATTCACTAAAGGGAGCAGGGCTTACACATTCTTTGCCTTTTTTGGTTAGAAGAGTAAGCCGGACCTGACACACTGCAGACGAGCTCTGGGATAAGAGGGCTAGAATGGCAGGGGCTGGCACTGCAAAGATCTTTCTATAAGAATTTCATTTTTAAATCAAACAAAATGATGAGTGTTTCTTCCAGCAACACACGTAAGAAACAATAATCAAAATGTAAACATTGTTCTTCTTGCTAAGAAACACTTACATATGAAAAAAATATGCTAAAAATAATGCCATGGGCAAGGGCTTGACTTGATTAAGATTTCCAGTAGAGGACTCCTAGAAATCCCCATTATCTTGCCCTGTTGTGCCACAGGACATATGGTATATCGAAATCACCCACTGCTTGGCTACCCCCAATTAGGAGTCATAAAGGGTTATTGCGCATGAAGCCGTTTATGAAGACCCCTGTTTTAAAGGTGACCTGCCAAAAGGTATTTAAGTCAAAGGTATGCTTCATAGTATGAAGGCTGGGAGAGCCAAGTCAAAACGGGAAGCTGACCCACACCCCACCAATATTTAACACACCTGCCAAGCCGCCTCGTCCTTGCTACTAAGGCCATACAACCTATACTTGAAAATCACAGTTTTTTTTTTTTTTGATATGGAGGCTTGCTCTGTGGCCAGGCTGGAGTGTAGTGGCACTACCTTGATTCCCGTGTTCAATCAAGTGATTCTCCTGCCTCAGCCTCCTGAGTAGCTGTGATTACGGCACGCACTACTAAGCCCAGTTAATTTTTGCATTTTTAATAGAGATGGCGTTTCACCATGTTGGCCACGACGGTCTTGATCTTTTGACCTCATGATCTGCTTGCCTTGGCCTCTCAAAGTGCTGTGATTATAGGCATGAGGCACCGTGCCCGGCCAATCACAAATTCTTAAACCACAATTTCATTCACTGATTCATTTATTTATGTTTTTGGAAAATACAGTAAATGAATATTTGGATAGAAAATAAGAGTGCTGTTTTTACATTTTCTTCAAAGATCCAATGCGAGAACAAAAACCCAATCACTGACCTGCACCTCTCCCCCAGCCAGCTCCACGCTCCCCTATGACCTAGTGGCAGCTGTAACATTTTGAAATGATATATTCTGCGGTGTCATAGCATGGCAGGAGCTGCTAAGATGCTGGGAAGATACAAGGAAGAGAAGAAATTGTGGTTCCAATCCCAATACGCAGAGCCTCTCAGCTCCACCATCAAACCCCGTAATTAAGGTACACGCCGAGTATTTCCCAAAAGGAAAAATGGCAAAATGGCTATAATGGGAGGAATGTTCTTGGAGCAGAGCAGCCATTCACAAGAAAAGGTAAATGGAAGCAAGCTTCTTAAACCTGAAATTGTACCACAAAGCATTCACAGGGTACTGCTTTCTCCCCAGAGGTACCTCTACACAAAAGGTGATATGATAAGGGAGCTTCTACTGCCACAAAAAACCCCCAATCTCACAGCAGAAGCAAGGAGAGAAGGAAAAGTTAGTGTCTACATTTACTAAACTAATAAAAACAAAACTGAAAAAGGAAAATACATATTAGGACTGGGCATTTTTCAAGGCTTAATATAATTATAAAGCTAAATATTTTCAATTTAACAGCTGTTCATAAAATGCTTTAAAAAGATACATATTCAAAAATGAACCTCGATTCTTCAAAAATCCTTACATTTATGGAATGGGGTCCCTCATTACATAAAACCAGTAAAACCAAAATACTAGAATTTAAGACAAACTATTTATTTTTTTTCTAAAAGTAAACCATCAAAAATGTATGCTTTATACAAGTAACAAAGACCCCATAAACTAGCTTCTTTAAGGACTATTTTAATGGAAAGCCAGGTTATTGATTTTTGTGTAGACAAATATCAGAGGTATAGACATCTCATTTCAAGCCAATACTGGTAGAGTCAAGCATTCCTGAGGGACAACTGAGAAACAAAGTGTAGAAAGGAAAAAGACAAACACACAAAAAATTTATTTTTTGTGTGTATGCTTGTGTACTTGGTTGTATCGCATCAAATTCTTTTAAGCAATGGTTATTTTAAGTGCTGGCAGGTCTGCCCTGGTTAAGACAGTCTGTAGGTTACTGTAGTATATTGGAATACAGCTCTCTCAATAAGCAATAAAAAAATTCAATTCCTTTCCAGTAACAAACAAGAAGGTAATGCTTCCTAGCTCCTTCAAATGACTGGGAGTACATCACATCTTTTCTACTGGAGGGAGATGGCTGTGGCAGAAGTCAGAAAACACAAGTTCAACCTTTATACACAAAAAAACTAGAAAACCTAGAAGACATAGATAAATTCCTAAAAACACAAAATCTCCCAAAATTGAATCAGAAAGAAATTAAAACGGCCGGGTGCAGTGGCTCACGCCTGTAATCCCAGCACTTTGGGAGACCAAGGCAGGTGGATCATGAGGTCAAGAGATCGAGACCATCCTGGTCAATATGGTGAAACCCCCGTCTCTACTAAAAACACACACACAAAAAATTAGCTGGGCATGGTGGCGCGTGCCTGTAATCCCAGCTACTCAGGAGGCTGAGGTAGGAGAATTGCCTGAACCCGGGAGGCGGAGGTTGCGGTGAGCCAAGATTGTGCCATTGCACTCCAGCCTGGGTAACAAGAGCGAAACTCCGTCTCAAAAAAAAAAAAAAAGAGGTAAAAGTTATATAAATTGTAAAATAAAAAAAAAAAAAAAGAAAGAAATTAAAACCCAATTTAAAAGCCTACCAACCAAAAAAAGCACTAGACCAAATGGATTCACAGTCAAAATCCACCAGACATATAAAGAAATCCTGGTATCACCAATTCTACTAATGAAAGTATTCCCAAAAAATCAAGAAGGAAGGACTCCTCCCTAACTACCAAAACCTGGCAAAGACACAATCAAGAAAGAAAACTTAAGGCCAATCTCCCTGATGAACACAGACACAAAAATCAATGAAATACTAGCAAACCAAATCCAGCAGTACATCAAAAAGCTAATCTACCATGATCAAGTAGGCTTTATTCCTGGAATCAAGGTTGGTTCAACATATGCAAAGCAACAAATGTGATCCATCACATAAACAGAACTAAAAACAAAAACCCTATCATCATTTCAAGTTTCAACAGATGCAGAAAAGGCTTTTGATACAATTCATTTATTAATTTTTTTGCAGAACTAGAACATCTTTAATTTTTAATCCTTTCTTTACAGGTTACCTAGACCACTTTTGATTAAGAAAACTGTAGAAAGTTAGTAACTGCCACAAGCGAACGCCAGGCAGTCGCAGGTGTCAATTTCCAGAGTCCTACTTTGCGGGGTGTCTGAATGCATTGCACGGGGTCTCTGCTCACACCTGCTGGAACCAATCGTGGCAGATTTTAGTCCACAGGTCGCTTTTCCCCATATTTCTTTGTAAACTCTTCAGCATTCTTACAGAATTTTTTACGGTCCTTAGAGTATTCTTCAGCTAGGTCAGCCCGAAGTGGGTGCTCAGGCTGGGGGTCATTCACCAGTGCTATGAGGGACTGGATTACTTGGTGAGTTTTGGTTGCTGGCTTCCAGTTTTCAGCACTAATTACTGGGAGACAGACCTGCCCCTTTTCATCGATGTTCGGGTGATAGATCTTTGTTTTAAATGTGATCTTCGGTGGTTTGAATGGGTACTCTGCTGGAAAGTTGATTTTGATTCTGAAGGCCCCCTTATCATATGAAGGGTTGTCAGGAACAATAAGCCCTTGCCAAGTCAATAAGTTAGCTTCATCAACCTGGATATTACGGAAGTTTTTCATTCCACATTTGTGGATTTCTTCAAGCTCCTTCATCAGCCTCCTGCTGGCCACCATCTTGGATTTGGTGGTGCTCCTTCCCCCTTTTGATACAATTCAACATCCCTTCATCACGTTAAGTGCCCTCAACAAACTAAGCATTGAAGGCACATATCTCAAAATAAGAGCAATCTAGACAAACCCAGAGCCAACATCATACCCAAAAGGCAAACGCTGGAAGCATTTCCCTGGAGAACCAGAATAAGACAAGGATGCCCACTCTTGCAACTCCCATTCAACATAGTACTGGAAGTCCTAGCCAGAGCAATTAAGAAAGAGAAAGAAATAAAAGGCATCCAAATAGGAAAAGAGGAAGTCAAACTATCTCTCTTCGCAGATGATATGATTCCATAGCTAGAAAACCCTGTATCTTCCCAAAGACTCCTGGTTCTGATAAGTAACTTCAGCAAAACTTCAGGATACAAAATCAATATATAAAAATAGGTAGCATTTCTATATACCAACAATGTCCAAGCTGATAGCCCAATCAAGAACACAATTCCATTCACAACAACTGCAAAAAAAAAAAAAAAAAAAAAAAAAAAAAAAAAAAAAATACAGCTAATCAGGGAACTGAAAGATCTCTATAACAAGAATCACAAAACACTGCTCAAAGAAGTCAGAGATAACATAAACAAATGGAAAAACATTCTATGCTCATGGATAGGAAAAAATCAATATTGTTAAAATGGCCATCTACCCAAAGCAATTTACAGATTGAATGCTACCATTCCTATCAAATTGCCAATGATATTCTTCACAAAATTAGGGAAAAAAACCTATTCTTGGATGTACAACATCTACTAACAAAAACAAAAACAAAACAAAGAGAAAAAACTATTCTAAAATTGATTTGGAGCTAAAAAAAAGCCCAAATAGCCAGAGTAATCCTAACTAAAAAGAACAAAACCTGAGCCATCACATTACCCAACTTCAATCTATACTATAAGGCTAAAACAGCATGTACATGGTACAAAAACAGATACAAAGACTAATGGAACAGGGTAGAGAACTCAGAAATAAAGCTGCACACCTACAAGCATCTGATCTTTGACAAAACTGATGATAAGCAATGGGGAAAGGATTCCCTATTCAATCAATGGTGCTGGGATAGCTGGCTATCCATATGCAGAAGATTAAAACTGGACCCCTTCCTGTTATCATATATAAAAACCAACTCAAAGTGGATTAAAGACTTAATGTAAAATCTACCCTAGGAGAAAACCTAGGACATACCATGCTGGACATTGACTCTGACAAAGACTCCAAAGTAATTGCAACAAAAACAAATTGACAACTAGAATCTAATTAAACTAAAGAGCTTTTACACAGCAAGAGAAACTATCAACTGAGCAAAAAGGCAACTTACAGAATGGGAGAAAATATCTGCAAACTATGCCACCATCAAAGGCCTAATATCCAGAATCTATGAGGAACTTTAAGTCAATAAGCAAATAAAAACCCCATTAAAAATGAGCACAGGACTTGAACTGACACTTTTCAAAAGAAAACATATATGCAGCCAACAAGCACATTTAAAAAGTTTAATATCACTAATCATTAGACAAATGCAAATCAAAACCACCATGAAATACCATCTCATACCAATCTGAATGGCTATTAAAAAGTCAATAAATTGTCTGGGTGTGGTGGCTCATGCCTATAATCCCAGCACTTTGGGAGGCCAAGGCGGACAGATCACCTGTTAGGAGTTCAAGACCAGCCTGGCCAAATGGTGAAACCCCATCTCCACTAAAAATACAAAAATAAGTTGGGTGTGGTGGCATGCACCTGTAGTTTCAGCTACGTAGGAGGCTGAGGTAGCAGAGTTACTTGAACCTGGGAGGTAGAGGTTGTAGTGGGCTGAAATCACACCACTGCACTCCAGCCTGGGCAACACAGTGAGACTTAGTCTCAAAAAAAAAAAAAAAAGTCAAGAAATAACAGATGCTGGGGAGGCTGTAGGGAAAAAGGTACACTTATAAAGGGCTGGTAAGAATGTAAATTAGTTCAGCTACTGTGGAAAGCAGTCTGGAGATTTCTCAAAGAGCTTAAAACAGAATGACCATTTAACTCAGCAATCCAAATACTGGTTATATAACTAAAGGAATATAAATTACTCTACCATAAAGACACATGCATGCATACGTCCACTGCAGCACAATTCACAATAGCAAAGACACTGAATCAACCTAGATGGCCATCCATGGTAGACTGGAAAAAGAAAATGTGGTAGATATATACCATGGAATACTATGCAGCCATAAAAAAGAATGAGATCATGTTTTCTGCAGCAACATGGATGAAGCAAATCAAATACCACATGTTCTCACAAGTTGGGAGCTAAACACTGAGTACACATGGACACAAAGAAGGGAAAAATAGACACCCAGGACTACTTGAGGGTGGAGGATGGTGAGGACTGAAAAACTACCTATCAGGTACAATGCCAATGACCTGGATGACAAAATTTTCTGTACACCAAAGACCTGTGACATACAATTTGCCAATGTAAGAAACCTGCACATGTACCCCCTCAATAAATAAATAAAAGTTGGAAAGAAAAAAAAAAAGGAAATCCAAGTCAAATCCTACACTTCCCCATGCCTACAACATGTGATAACCTTACATGCGATGGGAATGAAAACAATGGCTATGCACTGGGGGAAGCTTGGGCGAGACCAGGCACTTGCTAAACTGTTCCAGGTGAATCAACAGATCTGACGGGGAAAGAACACTCACCCCTCCCAAGTTCTATTATTTTATGAGTGATACTTAATCTTCCTGATTTATAATATGTCAAGAAAAGACATGCAAAATTGAAGAAAAAGAATTATTAATGGGAAACAAAATCCTTTTTCCCACAAACCATTTGATTATATCCTTAAAATTTAGAACATTTACTAGAAGCTGCCATGAGAAAAGGAAAGGATCTTTGATCAAGGGCACCTCTTTTTCCTTCAAGGTCTACCTGTAACACTGGAGAAAAAAGATCACGGAATTTTTTTAATTTGGTGGTACCATAGTCCAATCAGTCCATCAAGCTACAGGCCTAGTGAGAAGTCCATCAAGCTACATCGTCAAACTGGAAGGAGTCCCCATCAAAGGCAGACACTGACCATGTCTATAGATGAACCAAGTGGCTTCGATACTTGGCACCCCAAGATGAGGACAGTGGGCCAAGAATCAGGAGAGGGTTGGATATGCCTGAGTGACAATACAGACCGCACTTTATGGTCTGGTAATAATCCACGAACAGATGGACAAACTATGTGGTGCTCTGAAGGAAAAAGCTAGGGAGCTAAGAGTATATGGGGGATGGGGGATTGGGGTGGGGTCTGAGGAAATACTGTTTGACATGAGACATAAATGGTGAACGAGAATTAACTAGCTAAGGATAACTGATGGAAAGTGAGGCAGGGGAGAGTGTCCTGGGCAGAGTGGGGGGACAGCATATCCAAAGCCTGAGACCAAAGAAGGCCAAGTGCAGACAAATGCCATGGGACACAAGAGATGTGGCTGAGGGCAGCAGGGGTCAAGTCATGGGGAGTAGGAGGGGACCAGGTCAGCAGCTGGGCCCATAGTCTTTTTTTTTTTTGACAGCCTGCACTGTCACCCAGGCTGAGGTGCAGCGGCACAATCATGATCATGGCTCATTGTAGCCTTGGCCTCCTGGGCTCAAGTGATCCTCCTGCCTCAGCCTCCCATGTAGCTGGGCCTACAGGCATGAGCCACCATGCCCAGCTCATTTTTAAATTTTTGATAGAGACAGAGTTTTGCTATGTTGCTCAGGATGGTCTCGAACTCCTGGTCTTAAGTGATCTGCCTGCCTCAGCCTCCCAAAGTGCTTAGATTACAGGTGTGAGCCACCATACCTGGCCTCTGGGCCCATATTCTAAGAACTAGGAATAATGAGAAGCTATTTAAATGTTTAAGCAGGAAAATGACATGCTCAGAGCTACATTTTGAACACACCATGTGAAGAATGGATTACAGGGCATAAGAGCAGATGCAGATGGATCATAAGAGCAGATGCAGAGGCTACTGCAAGGATCCAGGGGAGAGATGATGAGAGTGGACTAAGGTGACAGAACTGGAGACAAAGACAGAGAAGGGAGACAGAGTCACGGAAAATTGAGAGGGAGCAAAAATCACACTGGTGTGGTGCCTACTCAGCTGTAGAAGATGGTGGGGTGAGGTCAACCTGGCAGAGGCATGGTAGAGGAAATGAAGGAGAGACTGTGACAAGGGGGCCAAAGCAACAGATGTGGGAGCTGGAAAAAATCAGGAGAAATACTGCATGAGGTCTAGTGTCTGACTTTGAGGGATGGCACTGTCACTCTCCAAGCCAAGGAAAAAGAAGGAAAGGAGAGGTGAGAAGGAAGAAGACAGTCTGTTGCGGCCATAATGCTTGAGGTGCCTGTGGAAATAAGATATATGAGCCTGAAGTACAAGAAAGGGGTGTGACCTAGAGATCTAGAGGTAGGCCATTGATACCCAGGTGGTAACTGAAGTCGGCCTAAGTGTTAAGCACTCAAGGGAAAGGTCTAGGCCAGGCACGGTGGCTCATGCCTGTAATCCCAGCACTTTGGGAGCCCGAGGTGGGTGATCTCCTGAGGTCAGGAGTTCAAGACTAGCCTGGTCAACATAGTGAAACCCCGTTTCTACTAAAAATACAAAAATTAGCTGGGCATGGTGGCATGTACTGGTAGTCCCAGCTACTTAGGAGGCTAAAGCGGGAGAATTGCTTGAACCCAGGAGGTGGAGGTTGCAGTAAGTCAAGATCGTGCCACTACATTCCAGCTTTGGCGACAGAGTGAGACTCTGTCTCCAAAAAAAAAAAAAAAGGTCCAGAATGAGAAAAGGCTAAAGGAATGGGAACATTTACAATACAGGCATGGAAAAAAGCTTATTGAAGGATGAAAAAGCAGACACAGCAGCAGAGGGTGGTACACAAAAACCAGAAAAGGCAAATACATTGTAATACAGTAGTATTAAATGCTGCAGAGAGGGCCAAAAGGAGAAAAGGAGCCAAGAGACACAGACTAAGAAATACCTTTTGGGTTTGAGATTAGACCACTGGGAGTCAGGGGTGGGGACTTCCGAAGACAGCCACTTGGGTGGAATGTAGACATGCATGCCAAGCCGCAATAGGCTGAGAAGCAGCGGCAGCAAGGGAAGTGGAGTATGGTGGTAGTTACAAAGGGAGGGTGGTACGGAGGGTATGCTCATGTGAATGTGATTATTTCTTTTAAATACTGGAGAAACAAAGCATGCTACATGCTTAGGACACCTTCAGCTAGTTTACTGGAGAATACTCATGTAGACAGGAAAATAAATTGGCCCTAAAGGTCCATGTGACAAGGGAAGACTAACAACCTCAGATCAGTTAAGGTGTTGGACTCTCTTGCTCCAGGAAGGTAAATTGTTACTTTATCCATGAACAGCCACATCAAAGATAAAAGGCTGGGAGGACCACTGGCTTCAGTGGAAAAAGCCAGGAAGAACTTGGAATATGCAAAGCAGATCTTCATCACGGCCCCATCATTGGGGTAAATGGTACCTTAAAGGGAACAATTCCTACTGAGGCTATGCCCTGCAGAACAGACACACTGTGAGCAAAAGGAAAGAATTGAGAAAAGGATGTCGTGAGTAAAAGTGGGATGAGTTCATTCATAATTACTGTCTGAACCCCAAGAATCCTCAGAAAGGCTGGTAAATTTTTGTTGAGTTGAAGTTTGCAGTTATTGTGCTTAAAATTCTCAAAGTAGCTACTGGCTGAATTAAGCAAAGAGAGCTGACAATACTCCTTCCTACAGATGTTTAAAGATAAAGGACCCGAATAAGAAAGAAAACAAAGGAGGCTTGCACAGTCATCATGAGCGCTGGCTGGTACCATCCTCTTCACATAAAGTATGCCATCTTTGGGGCTCATGGCTTTCTTCTGCAAAGGTTCCACTTAACTCCTGATTATAATCAGAATACTTTGCCCTGATTTCAGAAAACAACTCTTTCTGATTTTATTTCAAGTCTAACACTTTAGAGACAGAACTTCCAAGATTGCAAAGTATGCCACAATCCAATTTTAACTTTCTTCAAAATCCCAATTTGAAGTGGAAGTAGAAGGCCCACCTTAGTAGGAGCACTCATAAAGACCAAAATAGAACCTTGCTCAAAATAACATGCACCCACTCGGTCAAATAGGCAGCTCAAATTTCTGCAATCTGAACCTTGCTCTCAAAATTATGCTCACTCAAGTCCATGTTATAATAAGAAGTATGTGTTATTCTCACACAGCTGTCTCGAATGTAAACAGGATCATTTAAAAGCCAGAAGAGAGCTCCATTAGTCTAATTAAACTATTCTATGTTTACTCCTTCATAAAACAAAAGATTAATCCTTAACTTGTGGAGAGATTTATACAAAATAAGTTCAATGAAGTCCTAGACTGGTTAAGATGCTTTGGAAAAGGCAAGAACTCCTACAGCAGGAATGCATTCTGGTGGCAGAGACCATGAAATGTATATGACCTTCAGTGTACTTAAAAGAGAAGCTGACATCTGCACAGACACATAGAACTACTTCTAGAAATCTACAGGAAGAAAATAATGCAAATACTGAAAGCCTAAAGCTAAGAGACAGAGATAGAGAGAAACGTATAAGCGCTCAATATCAATCATCACTGACTAACCAACCACAGGTATTCAAGCAATCATTTACAATGTTTATAAAGTTTTTATTTCTATTGGGAAATAATCATGTTAAAAAAAATGACAGAAAACTATCTACACATTACCATTCAGTTTAAGAGGAAAAGGAAATACGCAAAAAAGAAAAATAGTTATCTCTGGGTAATGAGACCAATTTTATTCTTTATACTTATTTGCTAAGTTTCCTCTAACTTTTTTTTTTTTTAGCCGGAGTTTCGCTCTTGTTACCCTGGCTGGAGTGCAATGACGCAATCTCGGCTCACCGTAACCTCCGCCTCCTGGGTTCAGGCAATTCTCCTGCCTCAGCCTCCCGAGTAGCTGGGATTACAGGCACGCGCCACCATGCCCAGCTAATTTTTTGTATTTTTAGTAGAGACGGGGTTTCACCATGTTGACCAGGATGGTCTCGATCTCTTGACCTCGTGATCCACCTGCCTCGGCCTCCCAAAGTCCTGAGATTACAGGCATGAGCCACCGTCCTCTAACTTTTATAATCATAAAAAAAAAAAAAAAAAAAAAAAAAAAAACCCTGAGTACTAGTTGAGTCAGAGTGAATGTTCTGGCAGCCAAGGAGTGACAAGAGGCCCAGGTACTGTTTCGACTTCATATGTATATGCATTTCATAACTATGAAAAATTAGTGCTACATATACCAGCTGAAACCCAGTGGCACTGCTCTGTAAAGCAGGGGCTACACTGCCTACAGAAGTTGGGCTACAAATATGAAAATGGTACTAAGGCTAAAAGCATGAATTCTTGCTGGGAGAGCTTTGAAACATGTCAGTTTTTCAATGTAAAGTCTCAAATGTTGGCAAACAATGTTTTTAGGTCACTAAGTATGTGAAGTACATTACATTTTTATAATGTGGCATTATTTTCCTGGGGTGAGAAAGAAGTATCGTACGTATCACATTGTAATAAAGAAACATACTACACACCAAACAGATAAAAGCTCCAGCTGTAATTAGACCTGAGTAATAAGGTCAGTAGTGACTAAAATGAACAAAAGAAATCCAAGGACCCAATATGCAGCCTCTAACTCCAAATCACTCACAGAAACTCATGCATCAATTCCAGAAAAGTCCTCACATACTGGAGGGAAGCCAGCATTTAAAAAAAAAAAAAAGCTCCCATATCAAAGTAGGGATGAAAAGGCAAGGGAGAGCAAGCAGTGAGTAGCTGCTTCGTGGGAAAGGACTGAGCGCAAGGCCCCATAATCACCTGGCAGCAGACTGACCTGTTTCAACAACTGTTCTAACAACCTGGGTACTGACAGAGCTGCCAGCCTAGGGAGGAGAAGTCATATGCTAAGGAAGGGCAGTGAGTTTAGAGGACTTGAGGGGAGGGGGCCAGCTCTAGGCAGGGCCTCTCAGCTCCCAGGGGAACCCAGTGGATGATCACTGTACTTAGGAGCCAGAAGATTCAGGTACTGGTCCTCACTGGCTTCCTCTGTGACCCTGAACTGCTCATATAAACCCCACAGCTCTTACCTAAAATGACGATTAGATCACCTGCTCCCATCTGTCCTTACCATAATAGGTCAGTGAGATACTGGCTTTGATTATCACAGGGAAGACAGAATTTACTCCAAAGTTGACAAAAAAGGAGCTCTCTATCTCCCCCTACTGCCTGGCCAATTATTGAAACAAAAGATTCTAACCATCTGCACCCTGCAGGGAGGTGCTGCCAAAAACAACTATCTGCCATCATTTTGGTTTAGCGCCCCCTCAGCTGTAGCCAAAGAATTTCTCAAGTTGTTAGAAGCACAATACAAACATAAATTTGAAGATTCATAAGGCAATGTTGAATTCTGAACCATTTCCCCCTTCCCAGCTGTGTTGTCTGAAGTCAGAGGCTCTACTGAGTAGTCACTATAGCAAAGGGGGAGGTGCCAAGCTTAGGAGAAACAGCAGTAGCTTTAAGTTCAAGAGCCAATTTCTCCCCGCCTATCAGACCAAGAGCATGAGCATGGGTACAGCGAGGAGGGTACCCAACCTCGGTGGCAGAGTAGGTTTTCACACTTAGAATGCTTTCATGCAACCATTTTATGATTCTACATAAAATGTCATTTCTCTACAACAAGATTCTTGGGAATTGTTTAAATGATTAAACTTTGGCTACTCTTCTGTGTAAGATGTCTTCCTGCTGTTGAAGTTGCAGAATCAAAATTCTGAAATCAAAACAAAAGCACAAATCTGATGAAGTTACCAGATGTCTGCCTTGGACTCTATCCCGGTCTGCAGCTAACTCTCCCTGAGTGTCTTCATCAATTCAGAAGTCTGATTATATGATCTCTAAGGTTCTGTCCAGTTCAATAATCCAGATATTTATCCAGGCCTCCATGTGTCACTTTACTTTGTAAAGCTGCTGTTGTGACTGTGCCCTGGTAACTTTACGGAGTGCAGAAATACTCGAATCTTCTAAAGGTGGGCGTTAACGCTGACAACTGAAAGGTGATACCACTGCCCTTCATCTGTCGTGCTGATACCTAGACAGGGCCTTTATAATATCAGACGGATCAGTACATGACATTCTAGGATGCTTTTTTAAACTCTGCAGCAGAAATTAAAGACTTAAATAACTGGGAAGGCATCCCCTGTTCATGAGTTGAAACACTTAGGACTGTTAATGGCAATACTCCCCAAAATGACCTATAGACTCAATGCATTCCCTAATAAAATTTCAACGACCTTTTTTGCAGAAATGAAAAAGGCGATTGTTAAATTCATAGGGAATTGCAAGTGGTCCCGATATCCAAAACAACATTGAAAAAGAAGAACTCTGAGGACTCATACTTCCTGATTTTAAAACTTACCACCACAGAACTAGTGATGGAGACAGTGTGGTATCAGCATAGGATAGACATAGAGATTAACAGAATAGAATTGAGAATCCAGAAATAAACCCATATATCTATGGCCAACTGATTTTTGACAAGGGTGCTGGGCATTCAGTTGGAGGAAAGAGTAGCCTCTTCAACAAATGGTGCTGGGACAAATGGGTATCTACACGCAAAAGAACAAAGTCGGTCCCCTCCCATATCACACCACAAACAAAAATTAACTCAAGGCCAGGCGTGGTGGTTCTGCACTTTGGAAGGACGAGGCGGGCGGATCACCTGAAGTCAGGAGATGGAGACTACAAGACTAGCCTGGCCAACATGATGAACAGTGAAACCCTGTCTCTGCTAAAAATACAGAAATTAGCCAGCCATGGTGGTAGGCACCTGTAATCCCAGCTACTCAGGAGGCTGAGGCAGGAGAATTGCTTGAACCCAGGAGGTGGAGGTTGCAGTGAGCTGAGATAATGCCACTGCACTCCAGCCTGGGCAACAGAGCAAGAGTCTGTCTCAAAAAGAAAAATAAATAACAGTTAAGGTAAAACTACAGATTCCTGACCTTTTTTCTTTCTTTAATACTTATACAAATAGGCTTTTTCTCACACACACAGAGACACTTTTCCACATGCACTGATCGTGCTAATGGAACATGTCCATACCATGCTTTATTCAAACTGACAAGACAGGAACTCTGCCCAACCCACTCAGACTGTCTTATGAGCTTTCAGTAGACACCTGGGAGTAATGAGTCACCTCTGTCAACCACAAACATACTTTCTCTTTGCTCTGGAAGTGAAGTTGGAAGGCTTTTCTGGCATCTTTGGCCTTTGCTTTTTCAAATAGGCTTTCTCCTATGCCCTCCACACTCCCTAATCTCCCCTTTGGGCTGCTATTTGTGCCTCCTTCCACATGTCTTCTTTTCCATTTCTAGGTTTTTTCATTTTCATGACAGAAACATTACAAACAGATTTTCAGCAGCATTCCTTCCACCCATGCCTGGTGTTTAAGGGCCAACATCATAGGTCAAAGTTAATCATGACACCCAGAAGCGAAAGTCAAAAGCAAAACAAAACAAAACAAAACAAAACAAAACAATGAATGATTATCTCAAAACAAAGCATAATTCTACTTAAAGGAAAAAAGAAAAGTAGCAGAAAAGAGAAACCTACAGAAATTGCTAAAAATGGTTACCTTTCTGTACTAACATATTCTTTACAATCAATCATTAAATCAGGTTTGTTAAGCCATTTTTAATGCAACCTAAAAAAACAAAACCTTTTCTCTACAAAAAAAGGTTACATCAATTGATGGATTTCAGTTACAGAATATTTATTGAGGAACAAATACGTTCCTGGCACTGTGAGAGCACTCAAAGAGCATACAGTCCAGCACTCTGGGAGACCTGCTGAAGGCATTATGGTTTCAGAAACTGCCCATGATTTGATAATTCGCACATTTCTAATAAGCATCTGATCAAATTATTATTAGCATCTTCATTTTTTTCTTGGTCATTTCAATGGAGAAACAGGTCTTACTGACATTTTTCCTTACTGACAACCTTTCCTGAATTCTGTATTAACCCCTTGCTTGCTGCTGTTTCCCCCAACTCAAGTGTAAGCCCTTTGAGGGGAGAAGAGCATCTTGTTCATCTTTGTACATCTGGCTGGCACAGGCTTTGCTGACTCCCTGAACGAAGAGGTAGCTTCTTCAACAGCACAGACCTTAAGCCCCCACTGGTAGTCTCCAGCACCTCCTTCCCACATCTGCTTTGTGTTTTTTCAGATACCTGCCTGCCCCAGTCTAACTGCTCCGATTTATAAACACGCTACTCTTCTTCAACCGCTAGTTCCTTTTACAAAAAGGTTTTATTGCCTGAGAGGAAGTCTGGACTACCTTATACCACAATCAGAACTGCCAAACGCCTCCTTAATCTACATTAGGTACAGTCAGTTGGTTTGGTTTTATGTTCGCCTGTGCTGTTTATGCCAGAATATGATTTCCTTGAGGGAAGAAACATAGTCTCCTCCTTCGAGCTATAATTCCCTCTCCTACATCCCAGGCTCTTGAATCATCACATGCCTTATCCTGACATAAAATTCCTTCCATAAAATCCACCAACATAAAATTCCCGAGTGAAAGAGAAAAAGATAATTATTACATAAAGCAAGATATCAACTTAAGAAGGAAAGGACAAAGAAAACTAAGTATGTTAGAGCTCTGGGAAGAAAATGGACTCCCAAGCAAATAACCACATCTCCAAAGAGTTCTGAGAATTCCATGTATGTATACACTGAAGGCAATGAAAGGATTAACAAAATAAAAGATGTAATTACCATTCTGATTTGGCAGTTTTAAAATGGACTGGCTGTGTTACAAAAATGAGTGTTAAGAAAGCAGGTACTTTATGTACTGCCCCATCACGCAGAGAGAGACTTTCGGACAGTTTGAAGGAACGCATAGTATTTACGCATCTTTCAAGTGGCACATATTTATCAAGTTGTGCCACCACCACAGGGATGTGATGGAACAGGACCAGTCTATTACAGAATGTGAGAGAAAAATCTTAGGTTCAGGAGAGCAGATTGCCTGTATTTTTAGCAAGCATGGATAAAGAAAAGAACTAAAACCATCTCTCAAATCTTATACTGCAAGGCAGGAAGATAACTTGAGGCCAGGAGTTCAAGACCAGCCTGGCCAGTATGGTGAAATCCCGTCTCTACTAGAAATAAAAAAATTAGCTGGACATGGTGGTACATGCGTGGAATCCCAGCTACTTGGGAGGCTGAGATAGGGGGATCGCTTTAGCCTGGGAGGTAGAGGTTACAGTGATCTGAGGTCACACCACCGCACTCCAACAGAGCAAGACTCCATCTCAAAACGAAATACAACAAAACCTTATATTGTATCTAGTCATTTGCTTTCTTAAATGCAGCAAGTTTGGCTCTATTTTTACAATCAATGGTTCCGCTCACGTGCCTGGGAGGCCTGGTTTGAGGTAAAAACCTTCAGTTCAGGCTCTGTACTTTGGTTCCAGTGGGGGAGGCTTTCTGTTCCGCTTCTTCAGCAATGGAATGCCAACACCATTCCACTGAATGAACTGGGCAGAGCAATGCAGACTGGAAAGTTACTGAAGAGATCCAAATCTCTAATCTGTTTCTCCACCTTAATGCCCTCTCGTAGCGTCCAGGAAACCACTGGTTCTATAGAAACCAGAATGATTCCCCAACAATACACAGAGGAGAGTGCAACTGTGGGGAGGGAAAACAGAACAAAGAGTTAACCAGTTCTACCAACCCGGTCTCAAAGACACTGTCCTCTATGGTTGCTTGCCACGTTCCACCCAACAACAGCTGCTCGTGATAATCAATGTCTGACAGATCAGAGAAAGCCCTTAATGTGTCGCCAAGGGGCAGTTCAACAGATGGCATGGTGACTTACAACCAGAATCATTAATTACACTCTCTTATTAGTCCCGGGGCACAGTGCTGAAAATGCTTCCTCAGTGAAAGATGAGCATTTCAGATAAATGACCGTCTGGTACTGCCGTGAAACTCCCTTTAGGATCTCCGGTCAGTGCCGATGTCTAAATCTAAGCCATAGTATTTTTACAGCCCTTCCCATCTTCCATATTCAAGCAGGCTACGAATATGAAGCTCCTGCTACCACTACCCATCACAGTTCCCATAATCATTGCAGGTAAGGCTATGGTAAAAAGTGCCTACTACTCATTTCCCCTCCCAACTCAGACGACTGTGTGGAAAGGCAAATATGATGATCTCAGCCTCTAAGTTAGCTCAATCTTATCTCCTTCTGTGCCAGAGCACATTTCCTGAGCACGGAGGCAACATGGCTCCGTCTTTCATTTACTCTGAGTGGGATTTAAGAAGTATTTCTTGAAACATAACATGACTGGCACTCTAACTCAGAAGCGTCCTCCTTCACAAAACCACTGGCTGCCAACTCTCTTCCGCATCTCTTAAAAAAAGAAGAGCAGACATTCCTGAAAAGGAATTGCAGCGGCCTGGGGCAGCAGAAGTTCCTGGACATTCACACTGCTGGCTCTGTTATCCCCACAGGACCAAGCACGAGGGTGAGCCACCAGGTACTTAATTACAAAGCCAAACATGGTGAGGAAATGTTTCTGAACTCCCTCCCCAAGGTCACTCAGACTGTCCTCAACCCAGGGTAGAAATGAGTTCGTTCTCAACAGTTTGAGAACTGGGGGCTACATGAATACTACTGTGAAATTTAAGAACTGACTACAGAGAGATCATGGAGGCAGACAACTTCTTGGCCTCAGCAGGGATACAAGTCAGAGATAAACCTCCAAATGACGTAGAAGAAAAGCTTTTTAACACTTCCCAAATACTACCAAGCATATTCTTTGGTTTTCACTGATCTGCTCTTCTTTTTGTACCTCAATTTAGAATTTTTTTTAAACATGAGTTAAAATTAAAGCAATCTTTTTTTGAGATGGAGTCTTGCTCTGACACCAGGCTGGAGCACAGTGGCGCAATCTCGGCTCACTGCAACCTCTGCCTCCTGATTCAAGTGATTCTTCTACCTCAGCCTCCTGAGTAGCTGGGACTACAAGTGTGCACCACCACGCCTGGCTAACTTTTGTATTTTTTAGTAGAGACGGAGTTTCACCATGTTGGTCAGGATGGTCTCGATCTCTTGACCTCGTGATCCACCTACCTCGGCCTCCCATAAATGCTGGGATTACAGGTGTGAGCCACTGAGCCTGGCAACTAAAGCAGTATTATGCTCCTAAGGCTGTGATTAAGAGTTCACTGTTTGTTTCCTAGAGTCTAATTTGTTCTGTCCTGGACATATAAAAACATGACTTCAATTTTTAACTTGGTTCAAGTAATTACAGCATCTGATGGATATGCAGAATTCATATCATAAATTTTTCAATGATAAAAATGTAGTTAATCAAAGCATAATAAAAACCTCCTATTGTGGGCCACAGGAAGGGAAACTTGGGCAGTCTGGGTCTGCCTTTCAATGCACTCACCTCCAGCTTTTTCTCCTTCTCTGACAAAACATCTTTCTGATTCTGGGTATACTCCACCAACATCCGAGCCAGCTGGCGACGGTCCTCTAGTTCTGCCGCCAGGCGCCCGTTATATTCTGCTAGTAACAGACATGCTTCATCTACTGTTTTCGAAAGACGTTCAGCTGCCTCTTTGTCTAAGTACAAATGAGACCAAAAAAAGAGAAAATATACAAATCACATAGGTACGATTACAAACATTTCTGGGGGATGTTAATGGTTTCTCTCCCAATATACAGAGTCTGAGCATAAGCCAGAACCTGTGGACAAACAATGGGTTGATTGACCAAGAAATCCAAAGGCATTCACTCTGTCAACAAGACAGGACACTCCTCAATTACCTGAAGCAAGTAAGTTTTACCAGGAGCGGGGGCTCTGCAAGGGCTTTCTAAATGCCTGTTCCTGCAAAAGCTCTCCAGATAAAACAAGCAGAAAGAGATACTGAAGGTCATCCATGAAAAGAATCGTTCCTTGCCTCTGAGAATTTCAAGTGCTTTCATTTATATTACAGTTGGTCCCCTGTATCTGTGGGTTCTGCATCTGTGGATTCAATCAATCATGAATGGAAAATACTCAGACCAAACAACCCACAAATAAAAATAACAATAAAAAACCCCACAATTTAGAAAATACAGAATAAGAACTATTTACATAGCATTTACACTACATTAGCTGTAAGTGATCTAGAGATTATTTAAAGTGTAAGGGAAGACGTTCATAGGTCATAGACAAATTCCACACCATTTCATTTAAGGGCCTTGGGCAACCTTGGATTTTGGTATCCTCAGAAGGTCTTGGAACCAATCCCCCATGGACATGGAGGGACGACTGTATTTCATTAAGCAGTCTTTTTACATTCCACTGGAATAAAAAATAGCATGTACTTATTTCTTTGATGTGGGAACTAAGATCCAAAAAAAATAAAATAAAATACATGACAGGTTTTGATATGCAGTGAGCTGAGACGTTGGGACTCGAAGCCAGATTTCTAAAATGATCTATAGTACTCTATCTCTTAAACTATGTAAGCTTGGACCTGGGGATAAACAGGGATGAACTTCTTCCTGCATTCAACAAAATGTAAGCCTGATAAAGAGGTTTTCAAATGTTTCTGAACATGACCCACAGCAGAAATACACTTACGTAAACACATAGAAAAATAAAAGAAACCAGCTTCATAAAACAATACCTCTTCTTACTATGCGTGCTCTATCTTCTATTCAGTTTTTTAAAAACTGTTGGTCATTACCTACTAGACTGATTTCATACCCAATTACTGGGTTGGAACTCATCCTTTGAGGGTCGGAGGAACTGAGAAGTATAAGAAAGGGTATTTTGGGAAGAAGTGATGAACAAAGAACTGATAGAATTAATTACGTGGCGGTGGTGGTGAAATTAGAATTTTAAATACGTATACCTCATTTTTAAAAGGCCTGAATGGCTCGAAAGAGCAGGTTGGTGCTTTGAAACAAAGAGCACCACAGAGTGCAGCATTTCCAGGGGATAGTTCTGTGACACTCCCTATGGATACAGGATGTCAGAGGTGAGAGTTCACATTCTCCTGAGGAACTAGGTTTTAAGAACTCCCAACACAGTATCTCTGGCAAACAGCCGTCTGGCTTTTAGATACCTGCTTACTGTGAATATTGGGAGAGGAACTGCTGAAGGATTCCAGATTGGGTGTGATGCCAAAGATCAGGCACTTCTACCCTCCACAGGGATGGGAAACACAAGAAAGTCCTTGGTGAAAGGGAAGAAGTGAACAGAATGGAGCACAAAGGAAAGAGACAATCTCAGTCACAGAGGACAAAGGTCAAACTTCTCCTAGCTCAGTGGCTCAGTCCATGAGCAAGCTACTGGGGTGGTGAGGTTGGTTTTAGTTTTGTTATTGCTTGATTGATCATTTTTAAAAAATCGTTAATTCACTAAGATGTTTAGGTACCTAGGGCAAAAAATGGTGAAGAAAATACTAATTTTTAAGATTAAAAAAATCAATTCGCAGCCTTAAGAACTTATACAAAGGAAATAATTCATTTACACAAATAATTACAACCCACAAAAGTAACTTATTATAGTGTAATGAGTCACACAAAATATGCAGTCAAAACGCAGAAGCCAGATGCTCGCTCCAGGGGACCTACCCATGGCTGTCCTCACGCTCTCCTTCACCCATCAGTGAGTGGCTGTGCGCCTCTTTCAGCCAGTTCTCCATGCGCGCACCAGCATCTCATGCCCTCTTGTTTCCTCAATGACTAAACTTCTGCACTGTCCCATGTCTTCCCTACCTCAGCAAATTCTCTCTTCCCTTCCTGAAGAACGCTACTAGCACACAAACCTGCTATGTATTCCAACCACACATCGCTCTCCCACTATTGACCCATTTCCCTGCTCCCTCTTGTAGCTCTTTTGAGAGAAGTGTAACCACCTGCTCTCCTCCTAAGCACACCCCAAACAGGTTTTATGCCCCCCAATCCTCTGCTCGAAACTTTCCAATTAGTTTAACAAATCTAAGTTCTTTTACCTAGCCTCTCAGAAACAGCAGAGAACAAAAAGGACAAAAACTCTCTGCCCTCAAGTTTATATTATCAGGTAGGAAGAGAGTCAATGCACAACATTATGCTTATTTATCAGCGAAAGATAAGAACTACAGAGAAAAACAAGGCAGAGGAGAAAGAGTGGGGCATTAGAAGGGGAGGGCGATCAACATTTTGAAAAAAGTTGTCAGGGTAAGCTTTGCTGAGGTGATACATAAATAAACGACTAAGAAAATGAGAACGAGCCATGTAACTATCTGGGGAGGACCATTTCAGGCAGAGGGGACAGCAAGTACAAAGGCCCTAAAAGGAAAGAGTGACTGGCAAGGAGCCCATATGACTTGAGCAGTGAGTGAGGGGAAAATGGTAAAAGTCTCTGAGGTAACAGAGGCCAACGAAAGACTCTGACTTTAAGGCCAGGCAGGGGGGTCACACCTGCAATCCCAGTGTTTTGGGAGGCCGGGATGGGAGGATTGCTTGAGCCTAGGAGTTTGAGGTTACAATGAGCTATGATCATGCCACTGTACTCCAGCCTGGGTGACAGAATGAGATCCTATCTCAAAAAAAAAAAAAAGACTCTGGCTTTACTGTAGGTGATGGGGGGAGCCATGGGGGTGTTCTGCGGAGTGGGAGACATGATCTGACTTCTACTGAAGAGGACACTCTGGTTACTATGTTGAGAACAGAATGACGGCTGAGCAGTGAGACAACGAAGCAGCCCAGCTGGGAGGCAACAGCAATAAATCAAGTGAAGACGCTAGAGACCTGTACCAGGTGGTAGCAGTAGAGGCAGTGACAAGATTATCAGATACTGGTGTTGGTCCCAATCAACAGGAATGATGAGGGCCGTTTACTGAGATAGGGAAGACCATGAGTGAAACAAATTTTAGAGGAAAGGTCAGAAGTTCAGTTTGGGCAGAATAAGCTTGAAATGCCTATCAAGATATCCAACTAATAATACTGAGTAGGAGGCTGGATATATGGGTCAACACTAGAGATGTAAATTAGGAAATCACCAGCAGAAAAATTGCTGTTTGTAGTCATGAAGTGAGAATGGCTGCCAGTGAAACCTGCTAAAGGAGGAGGCTAATATGAAGAGGTCAAGGAGAAGTGAGGAAACTAGCAAGGAGGCTGAAAAGACACAGAAGGAGAGGAGGAAAGCTGGAACCATGTGGGCTCCTACTTCCTACTGCTACTGCAGCCAATTACTACAAATTCAGGGGCTCAGCATATCACCAGTTAATCATCTCATGCCTTATCACAGCTGCTTCCTCCATCTTCAAAGCACATCGCTCCAACCTCTGCTTCCACGGTAAGATCTCCTCACTCCCACTCTCTCATCTCCCTCTCACAAGGACCCTGTGATGACACTGGGCCTTCTTAAATCATCCAGGATAATCTCCCCATCTCAAGATATTTAATCACATCTGCAAAGTCCCTCTGCCATATGATTACATATACACAGGTTCTGTGGATGAAAACATGGGCATTTGCGGCGGGGTGGGGGTGGGGGCGCATTATTCCAACTACCACACCAACTGAAGAAAGTATCTTCAGGAAGAAGAAATAACCTACTAGGTCAAATACTACTGGGGTGAAGTTAAGATGAGGGCAGAGAACACACCACTGAGTTTAGCAGCAAGGAAGTCATAAGCAACTTTGAGAGCAGTTTCAGTGAAGGGGCATCAAGAGTGGCTGGGAGGACAGGAAGTGGAGACAGCACAGGCAATCCATTCAGGTGGTTTGGCTAAAAAGAATAATAGAGACATGAGGCGGTAGCTAGAGGAAGATGTTCCCATGTGGGTAAAAAGAAAAATGTTTTTATGCTATTGAGAATAATCCAGCAGAGAATAAAAAATGGAAATGCAGGAGAAAAGGGGAGCATTGCTGGAGCAATGGCTTTGGCCAGAGGAGAAGGAGCAGACCTAATACACAGAGAGGCGGGTTTCGAAAACAGCACGTCGATGCAGAGAAACAGGAGGAAACGTCAACCAAGACGCGAGTTTTTCCAGCCACATTCCGCTGAACAGGTACGGGAAAGAAGACAAAAAGCTAAATGTAAGAATGGTGGTTGCCAGGTGATATGGGAAGCAAAAAATGATGTGTTATTGTTTAATGGGAACAGAGTTTCAGTTTGGCAAGATAAAAAGAATTCCAGCCGGGCGCGGTGGCTCACGCCTGTAATCCCAGCACTTTGGGAGGCCGAGGCGGGTGAATCACAAGGTCAAGAGATCGAGACCATCCTGGTCAACATGGTGAAACCCCGTCTCTACTAAAAATACAAAAAATTAGCTGGGCACGGTGGCGCTTGCCTGTAATCCCAACTACTCAGGAGGCTGAGGCAGGAGAATTGTCTGAACCCAGGAGGCGGAGGTTGCGGTGAGCCGAGATTGCGCCATTGCACTCCAGCCTGGGTAACAAGAGAGAAACTCCGTCTCAATTAAAAAAAAAAAAAAAAGAATTCCAGAAACTGGCTGTGTAACAATGTGAAAATACTCAGCACTAACTGCACACTTTTATGCTATGTGTAGTTTACTATTTTGTATGTATTTTACCACAATTAACAATCAAAATAAGACAAATATTTTGAAAAGAACTACATGAAACCTTTAGGTCAGTGAAACAGAGAAATGAAATTTCATACAAGGCTAACTTTACATTAGTCTGCTTCCAATTTTTGCAGATTGTGAGTTTGATAAGAATAAATGAAGTGGTCCTTTTAATAATATATATTTTAAAAATGTGATTTAACCTGTTTAGGGATTTTGCCAGGAGACTACACTGAAGGGAGAAAGAGAAGAAAATGGGTTGAAGGTGTGTGTGAGTAAAGTGAAAACAGACTTTAATCTGAGTAAAGAAGAAATCAGGACTGGAGGGCTAGGAGGAGGTGGGGAGGATCAAGGGACTGCAAGTCCCAGTGGGGTGAACTGCTGGGGCTGTAGAGGCAGAGTGAGGGGCTGAGATGTTTCCTGTGTGACTGAGAAGGCCTCCAACCCAGTACACCCACTGCCTGAAGGTCTGTCCAGGTGCGTGGACTGCTTCCTTTGCCTGGTGGCACTTCCTTCCTTTGGATATCCCCATGGCTGGCTTTCTAATTTTTCAGGTCTCTGCTCAAAGGTCATCTCATCAGGAAGGCTTTCCCCAAGCACCTCTAAGATACTATTAATATCTCCTGCAATCATTCTCTGCTCCCACTTTATTTTACTTCTTGACACTTCACCTGAGGGGATATAGGTGGGCCTCAAATATTTGTTGAGGAAATAATTTCATGAGTGACCTTGATGTCCTCTAGTAGATATGGAAGGAGTTAGAGAAGCAGTCAAGTCAAGGGACTGGAGTGGGAAAATGGTGGCCTCTGGAAGACAGCGTAATGAAAGCTCTGAGCTTTTGTAAGGGGAGGAACACAGGCTTTGCAGCCTAGGTTAGAATCCCAAGATCCACTACTTGTGTGACCTTGGGCAAGACACTATCTTCTCAAAGCCTCAATGTCCTCCTCTGCAATGTGGAGACACAAATCAGCCATCTCCAAAGATTATCATAAAGAACAGAAGTATACTGTCAAGATTAGTCATGCTCCATTCCCTCCTTTCAACTTCCCAGGCAGAAAGCAGGAATAATGTCAACGGCCCCTCCCTGTTTAACTTGGGAGGTCATGATTAGGCCAAAACCACATGCCTAAAAACACACACCTGAAATTCCTGGCATTGAAGGCACTCTCATCTACAGGGTTTGCTAGAAAGCAGGGGACAAATCACATAGCCCTGAATCATCATTTTTTCCCTTTTAGTAAGAGGGTTGAGTGTAAGAGACACAATAATACCTAATTTCCCCCCACCTACACAGCATACACACAATTTGTACTGTTTTTAACAGACCTTATTTAGAGAGCCACTGGCTGTGGCACACCAGCATTTCTGCAATAATTCCTGTAATCACTATTTAAGCTTTGACTATTTCAAAAGTTTCTTTGTTCACCCTGTGAGTTATGTTTGCAAATCCCAAGATGGTAGGGCATCCAATACAACACGGCAAGTAGTCTATACCCGCAACCCAAGTACGGCCTCAGGTTAGCGCATTACACTTACGTCCCTCTTTCCTCACCTTTCACCCAAACTCTACCTTCTCACCTGTTATTTTTTCCAACAGAGAAACATCCTGCACTTCCTGGGGCAGAGAAGCAATTTTCTGTCGGACAGTAGCATCCCCTGATGCGGCATTTTCCAGATCCTGCAAAGCTTTGATTAGTTCCTCAGTCTATAAAATGAAAACACAAACAACACTAACCATGAAGACATGGAGTTGAAAGAAAATTAGAGTTAAATAAGGTGGAGGCAAATTCTAAAAACAGTCATTCCTGCCATTTCTTAGAAAATTGTTCTTGGCCGGGCGCAGTAGCTCATGTCTGTAATCCCAGCACTTTGGGAGGTCAAGAGATTGAGACCATACCAGCCACAGGTGAAACCTTGCCTCTACTAAAAATACAAAAATTAGCTGGGCATGGTGGTGCATGCCTGTAGTCCCAGCTACTTGGGACAGAGTCCCAGCTGAGGCAGGAGAATCGCCTGAACCCAGGAGGCAGACATTGCAGTGAGCCAAGATCATGCCACTGCACTCCAGCCACTGCAGCCTGGCGACAGAGTGAGACTCTGTCTCAAAAAAAAAAAACAAACAAACAAACAAACTGTTTTTAGCTCCAGAGCTTACATGCATTACGAATTCTAAGAAAATCTACAAAACTAGTTTATCTAAGTCCATCCATGGCAGGACATGAATGAAATTCTGAATAATTCTTTTTTAAAAAATTCTAAAAGAACATGTTTTTGGCAATTCCAAAAAAAATGAAGTTTGGTTCATATTGCTTAATTTCAAATGATGTATCATTTCCAGTATAGAATAAAGGTATAAATATCAGAAGTTAACAACTGTGTGTTGTAGCCTGGCGTGGTGGCTTGCACCTGTAATCCTAGCACTTTGGAAAGCCAAGGAAGGAGGATCACTTGAGCCCAGAGTTCGAGACCAGCCTGGACAATATAGCAAGACCCTGTCTCTACAAAAAAATAAAATACTTAGCCAGGCATGTGTCTACAGTCCCAGCTACTTGGGAGGCTGAGGGAGGAGGGTCACTGGAGCCTGGGAGGTCGAGTCTGCAGTGAACAGGGATCAGGCTGCTGCAAGCCAGCCTGGGTAACAGAGCAAGATCCCCTCTCAGGAAGGAGAAAAAGTAACTGATATGGTGACTCATCAACTACTTCAATGCTTTCTTGAGTTTGCTTTACAAAATGAGTGTCACTCCTGAAATTAAATGTATCCAACTTACTATAAACAAAGGGGGAAAAAAACAAGAGAAGTAAACCAAGGATGCATTTTCTGTATATATCAGAAAGGAGTTTTTTCAATTGTCAGAAAACAAATGCTAACAGGCCACTCCATAATGACCAAGGAGTAGCTAGCTCTGTAGCTGGTAGATTACCCTGAAAGGTAATAACCTTGGCTGTTGTCCTTAAAGTGTTTCAATGCAAAGATATATGACCTAACACTGCTGTCATTTAATCTCCAGTCTAATTCAGCATTGTAACATAATGCAAACCAGACATGCTTCCCACTTACATAGGCTTTAGGCATGACCATGTGTAAAAAAGTTGTTTAAGGCAAAATAAGATGAAGCCCACCTTGAAAAGAGCATGGACTCTGAAGTCAGACAGACCTGGATTTAAATTAAGACACTGGCCAAGTTACTTAAACTGTCACCTGGGGCCTAAATTCTTCAACTGCAAATGGATAAAATGAACCAAGACAGATTTCATAAGCTAACTGGTGTAGCCAAACAACATGAACACAGGGTTAAAGACTAACTCCCTGTTTTAATAATCAATAGGCTAGAGTGTAGCAAATTTGCTATTGACACACAGACTGTCTTTAGATATTAATGAGTTATTTACTTTATAAAACAACCATGTTACTGGCAACAGGCCATGGTAGAAGACTTTTGAATGTCTTTGTAACATTATTTATTCCTTTCTCCAAAATCTATTTTCAAAGAATATTCTTAATTTCTAGGATTGAAAAAACCAAGTCCAAGTACTTTATAAAACATTAGGACATCCCAGAGTCATGGCACACAAAGAAATAATGATGTCTACCATCTGGCAAGCTCCTCTGGGCAGGGTGATGCACAGTCCCTGAGAGCTGCCCTTTGATAATGCCATACTAGTGGTCACTGGCACCACCTTGTGGCCATAGTCTTCAACCAGCGGTCACTTTAAGCCACTCTGCCCTACTCTGGGGGTCAAGACCTACCAAGAGGGGTCCTGCAGAAGGATCCTGAGGCGAGTAGCTTCCAGGATAGTCGTCATCCTCCTCCTCTTGAATTTGCTGAAAAGTTCGTTTCAGAGATTTCTTCTCTTCTGTTGCTACAGGAAAAAGAAAAAGTGATAAATTTGAGTTGCATATCCTGTACCGATAAGGGTCACATGCTATGCACAACGGGCCACGCGTAAAAAACAGGGCAGAAGGGGCACACATTTTCAGAACGGCTTAATAGTAACCTTTATGCTAGTTATTTTATACTGGCTGTAGTTCCCCTATGCTACTGAAAAGAGTCAAACAGGTCTTTGTCATCTCTGTTGATGCTCTGGTAAAATATTATGGAAAACAAGCATCTAAAGTGGAACTTACCCAACTATCACACTTGAGTAAGAAACTCATGGGACAATATAATGAAGCAAGCCAACCCGCTCGGGTTTACAGAGAACATACTGCATATAGAACGACATACGTTATGTTTTCCAGGGATCATTTCCGAAAACAGGAGAGGAAATTTTATCAATAAAATTTTGTCAAAAATTCCAAACACAAATATTCTTTACACTATTCCTCTAAAAACAAAATAAATCTAGTTTTACCTTAAAACTAAAATAACCATTACTGAAACCTATGATTGATACTACTGAGAAAAACTACTTAAGTTACCATTTTAAATATGACCACTTTTGAAGCTGACAGGTTACATTATTTATTATCTGCACTGTATGTTTTTACATTGTTATGATAGATGTGTTAATTCCAAAATCATTCTTTTGGAATCAAATTAGACAATACAAAATAAATGCCAAACAATTGTGAGAAATAAATCTAAATGATAAATTCTAGTTTAGAAAGTAAAGAAATATTGGACATGACCTGTGCCTGGCACTGCAATAGTTTCCTTTTAATTTTTCCAACAATTTTAAGGTATAGCATCTCCATCTGACACGTGAGAAAACAAAGGCCAGAGAGGTTAAATGACACCTACGGTATGACTCCAAAACCTGTCCTCTTTCCACTGCACTTGACTTACTTAGCATCACACAAGTACCCTCTCATTTAACAAAAAAGAGGGACATCAGGCACCTGCTTCAGATATATCCACGTTTTTTTCTTAACATTTTCTTCTGGAACCAAGCCATGTAGCTCCTGTTCTCTGTATTATATCCATTATATACTAACTGACCAAACCTCTGTCTGAAGTGAAAACCAGGCCAATATCCTAAGTTTTATTTTTATTTTTTGAGATGGAGCTTTGGCTCTGTAGCCCAGGCTGGAGTACAGTAGCATGTTCTCAGCTCATTGCAGCCTCTGCCTCCTGGGTTCCAGTGATTCTCCCACCTCAGCCTCCCAAGTAGCTGAGATTACAGGCACTTGCCACCATGCCTGGCTAATTTTTGTATTTTTAGTAGAGACAGGGTTTCACCATGTAGGCCAGCCTGGTCTCGAACTTCGGCCTCAACTGATCCACCCACCTCTGCCTCCCAAAGTCATGGGATTACAGGCATGCTCCACTGTGCCTGGCTGAGTTTTATTTTTTCTTAAAGTTTTTGTCTACTCCAAAAAAAGGAGACAGCAACATCTGCAATACGGGCTGTCCTCACTTTGTGCATTCTATTATACACAGATTTGTTATCACGGATTAAATACCAGTCCCCCAATAAAGTTCAAATTTCAGTTATCACAGCATATTAACTCTGAGTAACTGTATAAAGTACAAATTTTGCTACTAACTTCAGGCCCCAAATTGTATCAGTGACCAATCGCATCACTCTTCAAGTCTGTCAGTGATTGGTCACTGCACACCTGTTATGCAGGTCACACAAAGACAGCAAAGTGTCTCACTGAGCTGTCTCCTTGTCTCCCAGTGATAACATCCACGACATTTTATAAAAATGAATGATCAAAAGAGGGTATTGGTTATAACAATGAATACAGAACAAAGAAACTGAAACAAAAGCTAATGCTGGAAACTGAAATCCCAATGGCACATCAGTGGAGTTACAGAAGAAAGAGCAGGCTGCAGGATGCTGCCACTGCCAGCATCAGAGGGAGCCTAGATCCACAGCCAGAGGAACTTGTAGGGGCCAACTTAGCAATGAAGAAAGTGGTCGTGATGAAAAGAATGACACCATCCTAGAGGAAGAGATGCTAACAAAAAAAGTGCATGCTAAAGGAACTGAGAGGTATTTCACAACACCGAGAGCATAAAAGATAAAATGTTGGAAGCTAATCCGAACAAAAATAGGTACAACTTGCTAAGGCACTGAAAAGCTGTTTGCTCTGTTTATGTATATAAATTACACCAGAAGGCAGCCCTTGCTCAAACTACTCTTAAGTTTGTTACAAAGAAAACACACTTAAATTCTCAATGTTTTTAATGTTAAGTTATAGCACACTAAATAACTATTAGTTTACAGTCTCTTATGTTTCCCTATACATTTGGAATCAACAGTGAGTTTTTAATTCTTTGACCAAAAAAATTTCAAAGTCACAGAACAATTGTTAAGTTTCCCCACTGATTAAGATTGCTCTGCATGGGTTCAGTTTACATGGTCATGATTACAATCCTGAACTACTATGCAAAACAAAGACTGCTATATTTTTAATATTAAAAAGATCTATTAGGATATCCTTTACACACGAAACCATCTAACAGTACTTTGTACACAGCAGCTGCCTAATTAATGTGTGGTGTGACCCATGTAGACATTTAGCCACTATGGGATTAAAGCGGTCATTGTGGAAGGAGTGGCCATTAGAAGGTAAGTGCGAACTTCAAAATTTTTTATACTGTTCTGTTTGCTTTCAAGCACCTAGAAGAATGCTCAGTAAGTAACTGTTAGATACACTAAAGGTGGTAGAAAAAAATTATAAAACCTGAAATCCTTCCGTTTTCAAACTCTCATACAGAAATTATTATATATAAAACCAAACACTACTACCTCAAGACACTTAGATTTCCTGAACTCTGGCAATGGGCCTTAGATATACCTATACCTTTGTTTCCCCCAACTCAAATTTTCATGAAAATGTCTAGGTTCACAGGTTGCAGTCTGCCCAGAGGCAGAGAATGTGTTAGTGTAAATCTGGGTGCTACAGATCAAAGCCTCCTTATCTGGAGCTCTCTTTCCACTTCAACACTGCTGCTCACACACAGCATTACAAGACTCAAAATGATTTTAAAAAATCATTTTAGGACCACATGTCCTTTGCCATCCTGACAAAAGAGGGCATAATAGGTGTTAACCATTATCATCCTACTTTTCCAGTTTTCTCCCATTTCCATTTGGAGAAGCTATTGGTGCTACAAACGTTAAGATTTCTGGACATGAATTACTAATCATTTCCCCCACAGGGCTCCTTCTTCCATGAGCTACCTATTTCCATTATGAACACTTCCACTGACCCGTCTTCCAGGTACAAGGCCTTGGAAACCACTAGAATCTATTCTAAGGTCCCAATTTCTAGCAGATTCCATACCTCTAAAGGATGCCTTACATACCCTCTCTCTGCTCCTTCCCCTACACAGCCTCTTATCAGCAATCTGCCCTTTGTCACAGCTGGTTAAGACCAGTTATTTTGCTGTTATTTTAAATTGCTACTTATTTTAATATAATAACTTTATTATTTACCACTGTCTCCCTGCCTCTAGTTGCTCCTTTCCCAAGTCAGACTCTACAATTATCCCTCAGTATCCATGGGGATTGGTTCCAGGACCACTACAGATACCAAAATCTGAGGATACTCAAGATTCTGGTATAAAATGGCATAGTATTTGCATATAACTTAGGCACACATCCTCCCATATACTTTACGTCTGTATTACTTACAGTACCTAATACAATGTACATGACATGTAAATATTTGTCACACTGTTTCATTTTAAAAATGTGTATTTTTCACCCCAAATATTTTCAATTTGCAGCAGGTTGCATTCACAGATGTGGTATCTGTGAATATGGAAGACTGGCTGTATTTCATTATTAAATTAATATTCCTAAAGCTGAGTGCTCACTCAGTCATGTCCCTATTCAAAAACCTTCAGGGGCTTCTAATGAGTTTATAGACTCCTCCCAAGTTGAAAGCCTAATGACGGTAATGGCCTCCAATGCCCAAGGCACTTGGGCCTCTTAAAGCTCCTGGCCTTGCTACTTTGTATGACCACTGGCAAATCTTCTTCTCTGACAAGAACACACAGTGTCTTATTCTTCTACATCCCTACAGTACCTAGGAAGGGGCTGACAGAATGGAGTTTGAAACCGCTTGAAGGGAGAAGTCACAGAGCTTGGAAAATGCTAGTGCTGGGCCAGAAATGACTATCACTGCTCCAAAGTCAGCAGTTACGGTGCCCAGTATTGACAGTCTACTCAGACAGCCATTAAAAATAACCTGGGATTTCCAGGTTTCCTTTTCAAAAGCTCTACATTTTTAAAAACTAAAATTATTTTAAAAACTAGAATACCTGTCAGTCCCATTTCTACATCTGAATTTAAGGTAAGCCTTCCACTAACAATTCAGCTTCTACCATGGTATATATTTACACTCCCTTTTTAACTCATTTGACCACTCTGTTTACAGGCAGGACAAACTGTGGGGGTAGCCAAAGTCCCTCTGTCCTCATACTAACCTTAAAGTAATCCTCGTTACCTAAGAGTTTATAGTATGCCTCTTACAACCTGATTGTGGGAGAATTTCAGACACTATGGCAGACTGTGAAACTAATCTTAAGGCAAAACCCTGGCCCGCAGGCTCCCAAATCACATTATAATATTCAGCCATCTACCGTAAAGCCAGATCTCCTAGAGGATCCACTTGAAATTTTCTGTGATTTAAAAAAAAAAACCATCCTGTGGCTGGTCCAAGTGCAGTGGTGTTTACAACTAATTGTACAATCAGTTACAGATTTCTTTGTTCCTTTTCTACTCCCACTGCTTTATTTGACTAGTTAACAACAACAAAAACACACCTACAGGTTTTATACAGTGTTTATAATGAAAAAATGATCGGGAAATAGCATTTGCAACAGGTTCCTCATTCTTTGTTCCGTCCCTGCATAATAAAGACTATTTGAATAAAGCACATTCAACTTTACTTATGGAAAGAAAAGAACATGCAACACATAAAGGTCTAACACTTGAGGCCCAGTTCTACAAGCTGTCTACCCTTATCATCTCACTGAACTGAGCAGCCAAATCCAGGCATAAACCCAGGGAAGTCGTGCCTAGAGCTCATACTCATAGCTACCATGTTCTCCAGCCTCGCTCAAAGTCTGGACTGAAAATATTAAAAACCTCTCCTTACTTTTGCTACCAGTTCATATATAGAAACTCAGCATATTAGATACTAGAACTGACAGGGGCAAATCAAACTCGTATCATCGCCCCACTGATAACATCTAACCTGCATTATCTCAAGTAATCCTCATCACAACCCTATAAGGTATCATCATTAATAGCCATATTGTACAGTGAGGATCTGAGCTTCAGAGAGATCAAATGCCACGGCCAAGGTAACAGAGCTTTAGAAATGACAGCTAAGATCCATATTGTGGAAGTCTGAATAGCTAAACTATACTAAGATCCAGGAAAGCTGGGTAACCGACTCACAAATTCCTAACAAAAATGCAAATCCACGTACTTTCAGGAAATAAAACTGTGAAAAATATCGTCTTTAAGGTCATACAGATCTGGGAATTTGCCGCTTATCAATTGTATCTCTCTGGACAAAACTACTATCCCTTTTTGAGCCAGGATCCTCATCTAAAGTATGAAAATAATACCAAATTCATAGAGTAGTTGTAAGGATCTAAAAAAAATTAACACGAAAAGCAGCCAGCAGAGAGGCTGGTACATAATGGATGCTCAATAAATGCTAGTCCCTTTGTATCTACCCTCTCTCTCTCTAAATCCTTCTTCAACTATACACTACATGAGTCACATGTGGCCCAAATAAAAAAGTGCCATTCAGTCAAGCAACAGCTTGAGTACTCTCAAGAGTACTTTTCTCCTTTTCTTACTTTTTAAATTTTGTTTTTAACTGACACATAATTGTGTGTATGTACAGGGTAATGTTTCAAGAGACACCTCGGGAAGACAGGTGTATGAACTCAATACCCAGTTCTGAAACAGAATTCCTAAGCTCATGCATTCTCCAATGTCGTAAGAACTGTCAAAGTTCCACAGAAACATTTTTATTCCAGAGGTAAACTCTGTGAAGTTACCTGAAAACAAAGAATCACCCATGAATCAAAGCTGGTATATAAAAGAACTACTCAAATTTGGAAGTAAACTTTTGGAGAACTCATCAATATTTGAAAGAACTGTGGTAAAATATTTGATTACTCAGGTCCAGAGAAGACAGTGAAGACAGAGTGAGTAAGCGGGACTAACACACATGTTGAAATCTTTTGATGTGTGTTTTCATCTTTATAGAATAGAAAAAGAGAAATTATCTTCAGATCAGCATTATCCTCTACCTAGAGGAAACTGCCTCAATTACTGTTAATATCTAGGCTCAAAACCAAATCAGAAACCCAGTGAAGCTATTTCCAATACTATCACTGCCACAAATTCCACACATTTCCAGAGTGCAGAAGTACTCCTCACTCTTTTCTCCCTCTTTCCTATAGCATCTAGCATAGATGTTTACTCAATGTGTCTAGCAAATGTACGTTAAATTGAAATTCAACATTAGTTTCAAACATCCTCTTTCAAGGCTCTCCTACTTGCCCAAAAGTGTTTTTAAAAATTGGCACTGTTTACCACTGAACTCTAAGGCACAGTAAAGAATGCTGAATAATTCCCCAAAGCTATACTGAAGACCTCCAAAGGACACAATACAAACACTAGAATTCAAAGTAGGAAACACTGTGCTTTTCAGAAGCTCCCTACCACCTGAGTGATCCTAAAATTATCTTCTAGCAACACCAAGTAAAACAACAACGACCTGCAGTCTGAAAGCACTTATGTCATTCACAGAAAGCCTCACGCCTTAAGTTTCACAGTAAAGTTACTCACTGTAAAATGCAAATAATTTCAGACCTGGAAAGGATCATGAAAGGTACACAATAAAGGGTTGCTCAATGAAGGATACTGTCACACATGTTATTTGTGACTAGGTTCTACAGCAGATACACGTACAAAGTAAGAGAACAAGGAGGGAATGACCACATGAGCCCAGACAAGCCAGGGAAGACATCAGAGTGAGAGGAGCATTCTTGGAGAAGTTCGCCACAGTGAAAACAAGAAGGACATCAGGTAGAGGTAACAGCAGATGCAAAGGAAGCAGTGCCAACAGAGCATCCAGAGGGGAAACTGTCAGCAATTCAGTTCAGCCAAAGAATACTGTAAGTGAGGAAGTGGCAGGAGAAGAATCCGGAAGAGCAGGCTAGTTCAGATAGAAAGGGTCTTCGATACTATCAGTACTTGGACTTGATCCTCCAGGCAATGAGTATGTATGCACGCAGACAAGATCTATAGCTCAGAAACATGTCATGCCAACTAGAATTAAACCACAACTAACCAGAAGCCAAGTAACTAAACAACATTTGATCTTACTCTTTAAAGAAAAAAATAACATAAGCTGTTATTAAGGGCTTTGCAAAAATTATCTCTCCCTCTCTCCCCCCTCCCTCCCTTCCCTGATGCCCCCCCCCCAAGGATATCCTGGGTTCATTAAAAATCAAAATCAATTTTAGGCCGGGCACAGTGGCTCACGCCTGTAATCCAGCACTTTGGGAGGCCAAGGTGGGCAGATCACTTGATGTCAGGAGTTTGCAATCAGCCAGGCCAACATGGCGAAACCCCATCTGTACTAAAAATACAAAAATTAGCTGGGCATTGTGGTGGGCATCTGAATCCCAGCTACTCAGGAGGCTGAGGCAGAAGAATGGCTTGAACCCGAGAGGCAGAGGTTGCAGTGAGCTGAGATCATGCCACTGCACTCCAGCCTGGATGACAGGGAGAGACTCTTGTCTCACAAACAAACAGACAAAAAACCAATTTTAGACAGACAGCATGCTGACAATCATAAGGATATGTTTCAAAAGCACATAAACATTTAATTAAACCAAATTCTTTAAAACCTAAGAAACTTATCCAAGGTCCTATTGTAGTTAATGGCAGAGCAAGGACAAAATCTTATTTCAGGGTACTTCCTAGTTCACCACAACTCTCAACAACTTTGCTGTTCCTTTCCTTGTGCAAGTAAAGTCTCTGAAATTCAGAAGCAAGCCAAGGAGAATAGAGAGCAAAAGTCAGGGTGTGAAAGGATGAACAGCATGAATACTAGAACCAGGCTTACACGCTGTGAGCACTACATAAATTCTCACCATCATTCATGATCATCTCTCTCTGAAGAATCATAAAATCGCTGGTGGTTCACAGCAAACCCCACTGCAGCTTTTCATATTTGATTCGAAAGTAGGCAAAGACCAAGAGCTGTAAACATGTGGTGATGTTTCTACCTTTGGGGGGAGGGCTCTTGGAGTCCTCCATAGACAGCTTCAGCTGCTGTATGAACTCGCCGCCATACACACTTCGTTCTTGCCAGATGTTCAGCAATCTTTCTAAAGGTTTTTTACAGCCTTCATCTGCCTCTCTGCCCAGAAAAGATGAAAAGATATATATAAGCTTAAGATTTTTTTGCTTTTAATTAGGACAGACCTATTTTTAAAAAAAAAAGAAGAAGAAATCAACTGACTAAATGATTTACACATTTAAAAACAAAATAAGATACATATTGTAATACTTGGATACCCAAAACTTGACCACAAACTACACTCTTCCGGTGGTGGGAGGGATCATGCCATAATAGTAATCTATTTCCACGCCTGAGAAATGGAGCAAATAGGATGAGAAGTCAATGGCCAATTTTTACAAACAGAAAATTACCAGAACTCCGGCTTATCAATTGTGATAGCTTGCTTTTTAAGAAGACGTTAATTAAAATGTACTGCCAGACATTCTGCTGGAAATTAAAGTTGATCAGAACTCTTTTTTTTGAGACGGAGTCTCACTCTGTGGCCCAGGATGGAGTGCAATGGCGCAATCTTGGCTCACTGCAACCTCCACCTTCCGGGTTCAAGAGATTCCCCTGCCTCAGCCTCCTGAGTGGGTAGGACTACAGGTGCATGCCACCACACCCAGCTAATTTTTCTATTTTTAGTAGAGACAGGGTTTCATCATGTTGGCCAGGAGGGTCTCAATCACTTGACCTCGTGATCCGCTTGCCTTGGCCTCCCAAAGTGCTAGGATTACAGGCGTGAGCCACCGCGCCTGGCCAGAACTCTCAAAGACAGAAAAATGATTTTTAAAAACCAGATGTTTAAAACAGGAGATAAATTCACTGCAACTCATCAGTTCTAACACAACACCTATACATGTATAACACAATCATATATACATATATGTCAAGACTCATTTCGGTTCTAACTACTTCATAATTATTTTAATTCTGGGTTAAGTCCATAGTCCATGTTCACACAAAGGTGTCTGATAATCTTAGAACACACTTGAGAATAATGCAGTCCTTCATAATTTATATCAAAGCATAGAAATTAGAAGTTAGAAAATGTTTTCCCCGACATGTTAACTCCTGAAACAGGATAGGAGAGGACTATAGCATTCGCTGAGAACCAACTGCCTACAATAAAATGTCAGACCGCAAGCAGACAGCAGGGGAAGACTTTCTGAAAGAAAAGTGAATTCAGCCACCACCCACTGTATTATCGTGAATCCTTCTGTTTTGTTGAGGTGGTTTAAATGGCAACAATCTTATACTGAATGACTTTAAAATGGAGATACCGTGACACCTCAGTATCTAAGTTAAATGGCTTTTAGTAGGAACTTCAAGAAGAAACCATACCAAATTCAACTGAGATGGGAACTCTATTCACACACAACCATAACAACACTTTGGTAAACTCAAGGCGAGCTCAGGTTTCAGCCTAGCTCGGTCAGAAAGTCTTACTTACGAATTACTAGTTGTCAATTTCATTGATTAAAGGACTCAATCAGGGTACATAAAAATAATTCTTTTTTTGTTAAACTTTTTTAAAGTCAGAAGTGAGGGTTAGGTTAAAAAAGGGGGAAAACATTTCTACTACTAAATTTGTAATGGTTAAAAAATATGACCCAATTACTTGATATTTGTGATAAAACACTTTTACTCCACCTTCAAAGTATATCCAAAAACGAGTTACATGTCACCTTTTCCTCTGCTATCAATCTGGCCCAAGGCACTATCATCTCTCACCTGGATGACTAAAGTAGCCTCATTACTGGTCTCCCCGCTTCCACCCTTGTCCTCCTATAACCTCTGGGGTTTTCAAAGTGTAATTTTAGCTGCTGTGCTAAGGCAGTCCACGTCACTCCTTTGTTCAAAATTGCCAACATTTCTTCCCAGTATCCCACAGAATAAAATTCCTTATAAAGACTCCAAGGCCTTTCCCAAGCTGGCCCGTGATTTCCCTGGCCTCATCTCCTACCCACTCTTCCCTACCCCTGTTCTCCAACCTCCTGCCACAACAGCTACCCTGGCACTGCCTCAGAGCCTTAGCACTTGAAAAGTTTGCTTTGCCTGGAACCCCATTTCCTCATGCGGCCACACAGCTCCATCCGTCTCCTCCTCCAGGTACAAGTTGATTCACACCACCTTCAATGTGTCATTCCCTAATCTTCACATTGAAAATGATACTCCCCACCCCTACTTAATTTTTCTCCATACAACTTATCTTCTGGTAGACTGTATATTCACTAGTTTACTTTTGGTTTACACGCTTTCCATTTGAATGTAATTTCCACAGGGGGAGAGATTTGTCTTTTTCTCCCATTGCTATGTGCCCTTGAACAAACACAGTAAGTATCTGTCAAACTATACTCTTTTTCAAAAAAAGTATATGGGTTTCAGTAAGCTATATAGTTACCTACCTTTCCACAATCATCTTACTGTATCAAGGTCATCAAGTCAGAAATCAACTAAGCACACCCCAGCCCCATCAATGAAGGTGTATGGACTACAGAGAAAAATAAAGGCTGGGTCCTGACCTCTAGGGCTCACTCACAGACAACCCCTCAGACCTCGTTAGCCTCATTTCCCTACCCTACCTGGAACTTCACGTTCCAGCAACACCCACCCATATGTATTTTCTACTCAGAATTAGCTCTCTCATGTGCATGTGCCTTGTTCATGCTGTCTCTTCTCCTTTAAACGGAACTGCCAAAATCGAACAAGGCAAAGAGAAAGGAGAACTCTTGAGTAATTCGGGTAGCTGAAGTAAATGGGGGAATGTGCCGAAACTGCAGAAGAATCTGGAAGGATAGGGTGGAAATCAATTACAGAGGGCCCTGAATGTCTTTTAAAGCATGTGACCTGCAGGCAATGGGAGGTCCCTGATGTGATCAAATGTATGGCTTAGAAAAATAAAGTTATTATAACGAATATAACCAAATTGCAACTCATCAGAACTTAGTTAACTAACTGGTAATTTTAACATAAAATCTGTTCAGCGCACATTCTCCGTTTACTTAAAAGGAGGAGAAACCAATTTCATGAAAACAAATTCTTACCAAGGATTTAGTTAAAAAGTGGGTGGGTATCAGAACACACACCCACCATCTACCATTACCCTTCCTGGGGATATCTGGGACTCCTTTAAGGCTAAGACTGGTTTTGTGTAGTTTCAGGCACAGTGGAAAATGATGCTCAAATCTGTTATAACCACAAAATATTTTCAAAAGGGTTTTACTATTACTAACAGTACGGTGTTTCCTTGAGCAATGTGGTAAATCAAGGTTTTGCTAGATAAGTTTCAAAGTTTATAGTTGAATATTCAAGAAATCTTTGTACTGATTAGATTTCAAAGGAAGTAACTCCAGTGAAATGGAAGTCACTTTGGCACCTGGAATAAGACACAACTAAAGCAATAAAGCCGTTTTATAACAGAGCAATATTTTCAGATTGTACTAACTCCAATCTAAACTGAGCAATCTTTATGTGAGAAAAAAAGACTAAAAAATCTTTGCCACCAATCTATGACTAAAGTGGAAGATGGGAAATAATTATATACACAACTTAATACTATGTTGAACACTTAGGATTTTAACTGATTAATTACAAATTCAATCACTTAATTTTTAATTCAGATAGCAAAACTGACCTTTAAGAGTAAAAAATGTGTATGATACACACAAACAGAACTGCTGCTTGAAATGTCAGCTGGACACCTGAAGCCCTGCTAAGCCAGCCTTGGGGGCCTTTTCTCCTCTACAGTTCTATGGCACTTTTTGGGTACAACCACAATAATTTGTACATCTCTGTCTTATCCCATGCATAGCAGGTCTATGGTAGACCTACTAAGAGCAGGAATTCTAACTATTCCCTACACTTCCAACAGTACCTCATGTAAAGCTGGTTCAGAAAAGAGTTAAAGTAGAAGGCCAGACTGCTACCCTCAGGAAGGTACTTGGCTAGTGTCCGGGAACTTGGGATTTCAGAGTGTCCCTACTATTTCCTAATTGATAAGGGTGGTTTACTGTGCCTGTATTGTTTGTGCAAGCAATACGGTTCTTAATGAACACCTGCTTTATTTTTGGGAGCCTAGAATTTTGGCAGAGGGTACCTACATGACATATCTAATAAAAACTCTGGGCATGAAGTCTTTAATGAGCTTTCCTGGTAGATTATACTTCATACACGTCACAACTCAATGCTGGAGAGATTGAGTGAGTGAGAGAGAGAGAGAGTGTGTGTGTGTGTGTGTGTGTGTGAGATCGTACGGGGAGAAGATTCAGCAGCTTACACCTAGAGTGCTTCAGTCTGCTGCAGGCACTGCATGCACACCACCTGCTACTACTGTTGCTTTGGATGCTTTAGATGTAAGAATCACTGCCGTGAGTACAACTACATGATGAATCCTGTGAGTCCTTCTAGGGAATCACCAAACCTGGGAGTGGTCTTGGGGCCCACAATACAACAATAAGTATCATGTGGGTAACTCCCAAATTATGTCTCCAGAAATTAATTCTCTACTGAGCTTCAGACTATTTTATCCACCTGGCTATCTGGCATCACTCCTTGGAATATCTACTAGATAACTCACTCTTGACCTGGCCAAAACAAAACTTGTGATTTCCTCCATCAAATCTTTACTTCAGTAAAGGGCACCATCAGTCATTCACTTATGTCAAAAACCTAGAAATCATCTTTGATTTCTCTTTTCACTTACTACCAGCTCCCACTCAATGCCTAAAAATCCTATCAGTTTTACACTGGGGGGCATCCTCCCACAAAGGAAGCGTTCAATAATGGAAGCTATTACTATCTTCTCATTGCTTCTAAGTCCTAGTCAATGTCACCTCTAGCCTGTACCACAGCAATATCCTCCAAACTCAGATCCCTGTCCCTCCCTTGGCCTTTATAATCCATCCTTCTACACTAAGCCATTTTTAAAGAGGGATTTAAAAAAAATTATGTTGGAACGTATCACTCACCTTGTTAAAACTCTTCAATGACATCCCATCAGAAAAACATCCTAACTCCCAGGTCTTACAGGGTGTACATGACTGGGGCGTGTCTACCTCTCAGACCTCATCTGGATGCCACTCTTCCCTTTTTACACTATGTTCTAACCACATCAGCCTTCATTCTGTTTCTCTTAGCAGGCCAAGACTATTTTCGCCTTAAGTTTTTCTTAATAGCTGCTCCTGCTTCGCACGATTACCTCAAATGTCATTTCCTTAGAGGCCTTCCTTAACCACACTGCCTGGGAGAGATCCTACTCTAGACCGCCACCACATTTCACTATGTCCATATTATCCCACTCTGAAAGCATCTTGCTCATTGAACTGTCTTTGCTGCCTTGTTCACTGTCACTCTCTCAGTGTCTGGATCTGTACCTGGCACATAGAAGGCAGTCCAATACATGCTGAATGAAAAATGACATGCACAGCTGTCTCCTCACTGGGAAGAAAACAAGGCACTTGTGTGAAAAACAAGTTTGCAGTCTGGTTAATTAAACTGCTATTCAAATCAAATCTACCCAACGAACTTGGCAGCTTTCTCTGACTTGAGAGGTTTTTTTTAATTGTTTGTTTGTTTTGGGGGTGGAGGTAGGGTTTTACCATAAAGATATCCCTCATCAATTTGGTTAATAGTAATGGGTCAACTATCTTTGTTCATCAGCTGGCCACAGAAAAAGCATATAGAAAGTATATGTTAATTAGGCTACTCCTACTGTGGACAAGCTGCTTCACAGTTGAAGCAGAGCTGTTGGACTTTCTGTCCTAATAATGGGGTACAAGAAAGGAGCTTGGAAACATGGGTATCCTGAATATAATACCCAAGCAGAACCTTAAAAGAACCAGAAGAATGAAAACAGAAAGGAATTTGGGCTATCTTTTTTATACTGAGAAAGAACAGGTTCATCTTCCCTGCACTGCCACTAAATCTGCCAAGACACCTAAAACCTAGCTAGTTTTTAAGGTGTTCCCAAGTAAAAACGAATTTTTAACCCTGGAAATCACCCACTCTCTTTTCCACCCCTTTCTATTTACTATTTGGTTTCAGGACAGCTAAAGATTACACATTTTTTGTTTGTAATTTAGAGACAGGGTCTTGCTCTGTTGCCAGACCTGGAGTGCAGTGGTATGATTATAGCTCACTACAGCTTTGAACTCCTGGGCTCAAGCAATCCTCCTGCCTCAGCCTCCCAAGTACCTAGGACTACAAGTGCACACCACCATGCCTAATTTTTAAAAATTTTTTGGTAGACACAGGGAATCACTGTTGCCCAGGCTGAAATTTTTAAATAAAATTGTGATGTTTACTATCCCTACAAGAAATCATTCCAGCCAACTCCCTAGATCAAATCTCTTCCATAATGAGTTAACATTAATTAACTCATTTAACAAATATTTACCGAACCCCTACTCTGTGTCAGGGCAGACCAAAATGTTGCCCAGCTCCTAGGACACCACATGGAGGCTCTATAAATGGTATTCCTTCAAGCTACGTAACTCAGTAGCTCTGTCCCAGACACTTTTCTAGGTGCCTGGAATATAGGAAATGATCCAATGAGCAAAGAATGTGGAGCAGGCATTGTACTACATACTTTTAAATATTCTATCTTTACCCTCACAACAACTCTTACAAGTGGTGTCCTCCTCCTTTTAGCCAGTTAGAAAATTTGGGCTCAAAAAGTTAATTAACACATCTAAGGTCACTCAGATAAGCGTCTGAGGCAGCGCTACCATCAATTTCTAAGAAACTGTGAACTAAATCTCATGAAAACAAGAAAATATGTCTCCTGTTTCAAACAGCTACTCTAGTAGTCTTGTTCTAAGCTTACTGTTACGAAGATTCAGTATTTTTTCCAAGTAATAACACATTTTGCTACTTCAATGTCCATGTTGTTCAAAGGTGAGCCACTTATGTATCTGACCAACAAAACCCATCTTTTTCATCTCTAGAAAGCTAGCTGTCATTTCTTTCTCTTGGACTTCTAATTTTATTCCTTCAAACTTTTCAAATCCTGCAAGAAAAGCAGGACTTCATTTCTCAGTTAAGGCCTTTCACTATATTTTTGATCTAATAACAATTTCTGTTTAACCTGCTAGTCTCCCATTCATGTTTCTCAATTCCTTTCGCAAATATCTGTTTCTATGTTTTCTTATAAACAAAATATTCTAATGAGCAATCGTTTTTCTTTGCTTTTCCTGAGCACCTAATTTGAGCCTACAGAAAGCTTTTGTTTTCACATGAAGTAACTTATAAAACTTGTAATCCAATGTATGCTTTCTATATTATATGTGTGCCACTCCTCTCTGCCACAAAACACAATAGCATCAAGCTTAATACAATGTAGCCAGATCAAACACCGACTTTCCACACTAATAATTACTATTATTGCAGTTACAGTAATGACTACTATTTTTAATAAACTAGACATATAGAAATCCAGGAGGAAGTACAAAGGCAGGCATTTGGCAATTAGTTTCTTGCTATTAAGGTTATGTTACTAAAAGATTCCCTTATTAGTGGCTTTGTTTTTTGACCATAAGCTAGTAAGACAACTCAACCAAACCAAGGGAAGTATCATAACCAAGAAAAATTCAGAAAATGAAAATGAATATATCTAGAGGAAAAGATATGCTAGGCTGACTCTCTTAAATGTATCAGAATGTTTACATGTCTCAATAGCTCTCGAGGGCTCAACAAAACATAAAACCACAATTTGGCCTCCACGACTCTCTGTAAAGTAGGAAGTTATCAATTTACAAAGGCTATCACAGAAAAGGAAAGAACTAAAGGGTGGACAAGGTAATGAATTTTAAAACAAAACCCAAAAACAGACAACATACCTGGCAACATGAGAAAAAGCATCCACAAGGACAGATTCAAATTCTCTAGTGAATTCAGGTCCTTTCCTTTTACTGTTTTGGATGACATCATTCGCTAAATACAGAAAAGTAAGCTTTCTATTTGATTTGGCTGAAAAAAAAGAAAAGAAAAGAAATTTAACTCACACAAAAGAAATTCTCAATTCACAATTCTTTTTCCTTGGGCTACTCCTTAAAAAAAAAAAAAAAAAAAAAAAGAAGTAAAGTATTATCTACTTCGGGGCCACGTAGATATGTTTAAAAAAACAATCTAAGATATAGGTTTGGAAATACCATTTTGGAAAAAAAAAAAGAAAAAGAATGGGCCATCGTCATTTCTGTGCTGTTTTAACCAGGGTAATTGATAGTAAAAATGAAGATAATCCAGAGAAAATTCTTAAAGGATAAGCAGTCAATATTAATGTTAAAACTACTATTGCAAAAAATGAGCAATTTCTAAATCACTTTTAGTTAACAGATATTCCAGAAAGACTGAGTTGGTCAGGCACAGTGGCTCACACCTGTAATCCCAGTACTTTGGGAGGCCAAGGTCAGTGGATCATTTGAAGTCAGGAGTTTGAGATCAGCCTGGCCAACACAGTGAAATCCTGCCTCTAGTAAAAAAAAAATTAGCCAGGCGTGGTGGTGGGCACCTGCAGTCCCAGCTACTCGGGAGGCTGAGGCAGGAGAATCGCTTGAACCCGGGAGGCGGAGGTTGCAGTGAGCCAAGATCACACCACTGTACTCCAGCCTTGTTGACAGAGTGAGACTGTCTCAAAAAAAAACTGAGTTAGGTTTCAATTTCAAAATAGTTTCTTGTAATTTTGCTCCTCAACTGAGAATTTATCTGATACTCCAATAACCTTAATCAGTAATACAGAAGAATCTCTAGGTGTACCAATAGATATTATCTCAAATGCAAGTATACATTAACCCTACATTATTGAAAATTTACATGTGTGAAATTTGGATATGCAAAATTAGGGCTTTTACAAAAACCATAACTCTCTCCTATTTATATGAAATGTGGTTATTCCCTATTACTCTATATGGTATCACATATTAAACCATAAAAACCTCATGCAGTATGTCTGAGTTACAGTTGCTTTGGGGAACATTACCGAATTTCCTGGCTTCTATGCACATAATTTCTCAACTATAAAGTTACATCACTACCACTTTTGGTACCAGTTTTATTTTAAAATAAATAAATCGGAACATAATTAGATGTTTCAAAACACAAAGTTTTCTCCAATGCTAAAGTACCTGAAAACCACAAGCTCTATGTCAACCTTTATATACCTGAGTAACTAGTTCTTACTCTCTCTCCCTCTGAAACCACTTCTGTTTCTTTTGAAATGCACAAAGCATGTATAGGTCTGACACAGCAGGCATAAGATCTGACATTTTAAAATGTAGCTACAGGAGGTTGGGTACAGTGGCTCATGCCTGTAATCCCAGCACTTTGGGAGGCCAAGGTTGGTGGATCACCTGAGGCTAGAAGTTCAACACCAGCCTGTCCAACACAGTGAAACCTCATCTCTACTAAAAATACAAAAATTAGCAGGGCATGGTGGCAGGTGCCTGTAATCCCAGCTACTCGGGAGGCGGAGGCAGGAGAACTGCTTGAACCCGGGAGGCGGAGGTTGCCATGGGCTGAGATCATGCCACTGCACTCCAGCCTGGGCAACAGAGTGAGACTCCATCTCAAAAAAAAAAGTAGCTACAAGAGAATAACCCAAGTTAAAAACAAGATTTTAAAAGCACATTATAGTTTAAACTGACGTCTTAAACACTCATAAAATTAAATATGGATACCCTGAATTGTCTTAACCTTCTGGTAATAACCTAGTTTAGATGGCCAACTGATAAGAATACTGGGAACCTGGAGCTTTCTTCAACTCTTCTAATTATTTAAGCAGAACAAAAGTGTCAATAGCTATAATACCTACTGTTGCTACAAGGTATGATAGAGCAAAAGGCGCTTTTTTTTTTTTAAAGCAAACCTTGCTCTGCAAAGTTGATGTAAGTGGAACCACCACATAACACCAGGCAAGTTAGCAGATTCAAAAGTAAAACAGAACTTCAGCAAATAAAATTTGATTAAGTGGACCTTTAAAATTCCATACACTTTATATTAAAAACCTAGAAGCCATAATGTAAAATGTCAATTTGGACATTCAAGACCTGATACATTTTTCAGTATACAAACAAGGTAGCTAAGGGGCTTGAGAGCCAAGGTTTTCATTGTTTACAATGCCAATTACTTTTCATCACCCCAGAACTTAACGATAGGGATTTATTTAGGATAAACTGTGTCCCTCCACACCCAATATCCTCAACAGTCAACATAAGCACCTTGTGTCAAGGTGATATGACAAAATCCTAAAGCTCTTTAGCACACACTGTCACAATACACACAACATGCACACCCCGTCATTCCAATCCTGGGGGACCACTCACTTGTTCAGATGTCTTTCCTACATGACAGAAATAGGTCCTTTCTCCCACTATGTCCAACTGGTCAAACTAGTGGTTGAGTAAAATTTAAACAACTGGTTAATCAAAACTTTTTACTTGTTTGGCCGCTTTTGACATCTAGAGAAAGTCTTAAAGTAATTCTGGGATAAAAGCCTGTTTACCTACATTCAGGCCAAGGTACAAAACACCATTAAAAATACTCATTTAGGAGCATTTTCCACCAAACTATTCCATAAAGGAGGGGAGACATGCTACTTAGAAGAGAGCTCAAAAGGGATAAATTAAAAATTATTCCTAGAAAATGGAAAGATAACACATCAGGAATAGAAGTATTTAAGCAAGAAAAAAAGTTAATTTTTGTAAATCTTAAATATTTGGAAGACAACTCAGAGACAGTCTGTGAACATCTCAGCTAGGGAGTAAGACTTCAGCCTAGACAGACCTAAAGGGCTCATCAGTCTGAACATTAGGGCACAGAATCCTTTTCCTTTAGCATGGGGACATTTTCAGTTCATGAAGGAAGCCTGGATATTAGGAAGCTAGATCTTGATGCTTGTAAGAGCATCTTGTTTTTTTTTTTTAACTCTGCACTGTTCAGTAAGGTAACCAATAGCCACTTGTGGGTACTGGAACACCTGAACTGTAGCAGGTAAAAACTGGAAACTAAATTTTCAATTGCATCCACTTAACACTTGAGTTCCTCAGTCACACATTTGAAGTGCTCCACAGCCACCTATGCCAAGTGGCTACCTTGCTGGATGGCACAGACATAAAACATTGCTATTATCACAGAAAGTTGTATTGGATAGCACTGTTTAGATCCTTTACTCAACCATGGAAATTGTATCCAAGACCATGATTGAATTCCTATTTTTAAACTATATAACAGGCACCAGGCTATATCCTGTGATGTTACAAAGAAACACGAAGGTCTAGTTCCTCCCTCAAAAAATCATCTAATGACAATGATGTAACCAGTTCAAATGAACAGCTAGTAGGAACAAATTAAATGTTAAACTGGTATGATGGGGTAGGAGGCACTGATTCATTCCAATACATGAAAGTGTTACAGTTTGGTTGGAGTCAGGTGACCACCTTCACTTTTTTTTTTTTTTTTGAGACGGAGGTTCGCTCTTGTTACCCAGGCTGGAGTACAATGGCGCGATCTCGGCTCACCGCAACCTCAGCCTCCTGGGTTCAGACAATTCTCCTGCCTCAGCCTCCCGAGTAGCTGGGATTACAGGCATGTGCCACCGTGCCCAACTAATTTTTTGTATTTTTAATAGAGACGGGGTTTCACCATGTTGACCAGAATGGTCTCAATCTGTTGACCTTGTGATCCACCCATCTCGGCCTCCCAAAGTGCTGGGATTACAGGCGTGAGCCACAGTGCCCGGCCCCACCTTCACTTATTAAATGCACTGAGTAGTAGAAAAAGCAGACATTTGGCATCAGGCAGCCCTGGGTTCATGTCCTAGCTGCATGTCTCTGGACAAGGCCCTCAATCTCTTTATACCTTTATCGTCTCATCTACAAAATGAGGATAATAATGCTGGCCTACTCGCAACATAAAGCTCTATCATATGAGATTAGGGATAATGGAGCTTCATAAACAAATGTACTCTCTAATTTTGCTTTTTTTCAATAACTCAACTAGGGTGAGGTGAGGTCTCAAGAAAGCTTCACACAAGAAGTGACATTTGAGATGGACTTTGAACTGCCTCTGAGGTCCCACCCAATAGGATTCTGTACAGTGGCAATTCACCTTTCAGCAGACTTTACAAATAACTTCTGAATGGCACAGTGGGGTACATGAAGGGCCCATAAACTCCAGGCTCTACCTCTACCCAGAACTGCCCAAAGGGCTGAGGGGATCCGTATCTCAGTACGGTATGTGATATTTGGGGGTCCCTGCTAAAGGGCTAGAACTGGGTCTCCCGAAAAAAATCATGGATTTTGGTCTTTGCCAGCCTGATGTAGTCTGAGCCTCAACAGTTCAAAAGCCTTGAAAATACCACTTTAACCACTTCAGTTTCCTCGCCTGTAGAGCAGGACATCTGTGATGTCTCCACCTCACAGATAGTAGAGAACACTTGTAAAGCCACTTCCTCTGCTATAAAGGCCTACCATATAGGGTGTCTGGAGCAGTCTTCTATTATGAAACTCATCAGTACATCAGGGAGTGCAGGCGGCCGTCTTTCCCCACCAGACTCTAAGTAACTTGAAGGCAAAAGCAATGTCTCACAGAGATTCTCATCTCACCATGATCTGTTGAATGCCTACGCTGTGCCTGACACCATGCTAAACGTTCATTTGGATTATCCTGTTTACTTCTCACCACGAGATGAGTCTCAGTTTTTTCCTCTTCTGCAAAGTTCCTAGAGCTCTGAGAATTTTTTTAACGACAATACATGTAAAGTTATCAGTACTGCACTTCGAATGTCATAAAAACACAGTAAATATGTTATCCCTTCTATAGATAAGGAAATGAAGGGACAGGTTAAGTTGCTGGGTGAGTGAGTGGCAAAGTCAGGCTTAAATTCCAGGCGGCTGGCAGAGGCAACATGCTATTAAGTGTCCATCCCAGTGCCTGGCACATAACAGACTTGAGTTCAATGAACGTCTGTCAGAACCTGAGCAGGGCCTGAAATCAATGACAGCTGCATGAGAGACAGGAGAGGGAAGGTCTGGGTGGGATGGCCCCTTAACCTAAGATGGGAGAGACTACCTAGTTCACAGGGCTGTTGTGAGTGCGAGGATATACACAAAGGTCTTAGTATAGTGACTGGTATGGAGTAAAGGCTTTGTATGCCTCCCTCTTACAGATGAGAAAACAGAGATATAGGGAGATGAAAAAACTCTCCCAGTATTATTCAGCTGGCAAATCGCTGAGCCAGGACTCGATCTAAGGAGTCTGACTCCGGAGTCCACTGGCTTTTACTCCAAATACCCAGCAAGGGGCCCTACATGCTAGGACCCCGTACGGCGCTGAATGCAACCGAGATAATAACAGCCACAAATGTCAGGGGGAAACCGAAGGGAAAACGGCTTGATCAACTGGAAGTCTGGACACCTGAGCCCCTGTCCGTGGCACCTCAGGCAAGTAGCTTAAACGTTCCCGGGCCTGTTTCCTTCTTGGAGAAATGGGGCTAACCTTGTCTCCCATCTCAGAAGCTCGATCAAGCCTGGAAAGCTAGGCTCAATGAAGAGCCTTAGAGAGGCCTAAAGGGTGGGTGGGCGAGAGGACAACCCCGGGACGGTCCAGGAGGTGGGAAGTTAGTGTTTACCTTTACGGAGCTCGCGGTGCCACACGGAGACGATGGGTCCCGCATGCTTGCGGTGGTGGATGAGCCACAGGGACAGGGTCTGCACGCTCTGCTGAGAGTTGCTCAGCTCCGAGAGCTTCTTCTCTAGCGCCGACTCAGAGAAGGAGGACATAGTGGCTGCAGTGAGGCCCGACAGGGAGCGGCCTGGGCCGCCCAGTGCGGCGGGAAGAGCGACGGCACGAGGCCGGGGCCTCACCTAACAAGCCGCGGGACTTTTTACCTACTGACAGACGGCCAGGGGTGCAAGGAGGGGGTGGGGATGGGTCTCCGCAGTAACAGCCGCCCGCGCCGCCGCCACAAGATGGCCACCCGACCTCTCACCCCGCCCCGAGAGCGGGGTCAAAGAGCAGGGCCAGAGCAGCTGGACACCGAGAGGCGTCGGAGATCTAGAAAACCGTGCCTCTGGAGGCAGCGGCCTCTCTGAACCTCGCACAGAAAACTTCGAAGAAGACACAGCGAGGGAAGAAGCGCAATTCCCCCCGGAAGACGCTTTCACCGCTTGAGCCCGCACGCCGGCGCAGAGGATGTCGCCGGAACCCTTTCTCCCGCTCCCTCGGAACCTTTCTGGCGCGATACGGCGCGCTACTTAGAGCGTCACTTCCGGCGGGGCGGAGGAGGCGGGAGAGGGAAAGGCTGGAAGACGAGGTAAGGAAAGAATGGCGGGAACTAGAGGGAGCCCAGCAGTTGGAACCCCGTAGAGGGGTATCCTGATGGGACGCTGAGGCTGAAAGATCATGACCCGGGTATGGGAGGGGGGGATTCCTTTCTAATCTGGCGGGCCCCAGGCCGCACCTTTCCTCCATACATGTTCGTCTCTCTGGCTGTCCCCCAAAACACTTATTTTTGGTTCTTCCAAGCCACCCACGTGTTCTTTTCACGCCTCCACGCCCTGGCGCTCGTTCTCTCTCCGAAAGTGACATCCCCTCTCTCACCTGGTGAGCTCCTACCCAGCCTCCAGGAGCACCCTTTAATGTCCAGTTCTGACCATTTAGTCTGTAACAGCGCCGTCATGAAATACACATCTGGGCTCTCGTCTCTTAAGTGGTTTCTCACTCAGGGTATTATTACATGCTGCTTTTGCCTTCTGGGGGTCCCGTTGACTTTTTCCAACTTAAATGAGGTGTTATCTTTGGGGAAAAGGTGGAGGGAACTAACTTACCTTTCCCGATGTGTTTGTTGACCTCATGTGAGGACACGCTATTTGAGGCCTGGCGCAGTGGCTCTTGTTTGTAATCCCAACCCTTTGGTAGGCCGAGACGAGGGGATAGCTTGAGGCCTGGAGTTCAAGACCAGCCTGGGTACCATATCAAAACTTAGCCAGGCGTGGTGACACGCACCGGTAGTTCCAGCTAAGCGAGAGTATCCCTTGAGCCTAGGAGTTCAAGGTTACAGTGAGCTATGATCGTGCCATCGCCCTCCAGCCTGGGTGAAGGAGCGAGACTCTCTCAAAACAAAACACTGTCTGAGACTCTAAACCTTGACCCTATTTTTTTTTAAGTTTTAAAGCGGCAGAGAAAATTTGTCTGTCTTACTGCCACCGGGGTGATGGTAGGGAGTTAAGTTATAGACATAAGAGGATTTTAAAATTTCCTGATCGTGGTAGAACTTCCTAGTTGTGGGCAGACTCTAGTTTAAGAAACGTTCCAGTTGATGCCTGCTTTTGCTCTTATTGCATTGTATTGCAGTCCTTTGCTTACATGCTTTAACCCCTCCTCCAGACTAGAATCATAATCATAGCGCACACCGTGAGAAGTTACTATGTGCCAGACACTATTTCCACACAGTAACTCATTTAATCCTCACAGCAAAGCTATGAGGCATTATATTATCCTCCTTTTGACAGTTTAGGAAACAGGCTCAGAGAGGTTAAGTGATCTACCCAAGATCACATTACTAAGATTTGAGGGGAGGGGCTGCAACTTAGTCATCGTTTTAGCCCCAGTTCCTGATTTATCAAGTGAGTTAGTATAAAAGAGGTGAATAACCTAAAATCATACAGTCAGGATCTAATCATAACTGAGGGCTTTTGTGTCCAAATCTAGATCATCTTTCCATATTAAGTAACACTGTCATATGCTGAGCACGTTTATACCAAGTCACTGTGTATTAAGCACATTACATACATTCTTTTATTTAATTCTTACATCAATCTTATGGGTTGAGATTGTTACAATCACTATTTGATAGATGAGAAAACAAAACATGGTTATGTACCTTACATACTTGGACACAGGAAATATCAGAGCCAGGAATCAAATCGGGGTTATCTTATACCTGATCCCAAATTCTTGACTCTTGAACCAATGGTTTATTCATTCAGCAAATAATTTTTCAGCACCCGTGTCCCAAGCACTCTTCTAAGCTAACAGACAAAATCCGTGTCCTCAGACACTTAATTCCTATTGAGAAAGATAGAAAAACAAACATGCAAGTTTAGGGTAAGTCAGAAAGTGGTGAGTAACTTCAGCAAAAATCGAGGAGGTAAGGAGGGAATGTATATGTGCAGGTGGGTGGTCTTTACTTACGCTTGTCAGAGAAGCCCTCATTGATAAGGTGACATTTGATCAGAGCCCTGAAAGAAATGAGAGCCATATGCCATTGTTCCAGGAAGAGGGAAAACCAGGTTTATAGCATTGTTGGCATTTTGGAGGAACAGCAGAGAGGACAATAAAGCTGGAGTGATAGAACCAGAAGGGTGGCTGGAAATTAACTCAGAAAAGTAGAAAGGGACTGCATCACATGGGGACTTGTAGGCAACAGTACAGACTTTAGATGTTTCCCTGAATGAAATGAAGTCCATTGGGCAGTTTTGCACAAACAAGGAGTATTGTGGCTGGTAGGTAGAAAATACGACAGTAAGGGCGCAAAGGTAGAGGCAGGAAGGACCAGTCTGGCAGCTGTTGTAGTAACCCAGGTGAAAGGATAACTCAAACCAGGTTGTATCAGTGGAAGTGACAAGAAACAGACAGTTCTGGGGATATTTTAGAGGAGGAGGTAACAGAATTTACTGAGAGATTGGATATGGGGTGTAAAAGAAATATGAGAGTTCAGATAGCTCCAAGGGTTTTGGCCTAAGCAACTATGAGAATAAAGCTTCCCTTTACTGAATTACAGAAATGTTTGTATTTGAACATGTCCATTTGGAAATGCCTATCTGAGTATAGCTGTCTAAGAGGCAATTGGGTTTATGGGTCTGGAGCTCAAGGAAGAGAGATCTGGGCTAGAGATAGAAATGTGAGAGTCCTAACAGGGAATAAGGTGTAAAAAGAGACTGAGTCCTAGGATACTTCAATATATAGAGGTCTGAAAGATGAGGAATATATAATTATATGATTTTTCTTCTTAAGCTTGTTAATAGCTTGTTAATATTAACTACTCTAATTGATTTTCAAATATTGAGCCAGCCTTGCATCTCTGAAATATGCCCCACTTTATCATGGTGTGTGTGTGTGTGTGTGTGTGTGTGTGTGTGTGTTTTACATACTGCTGAATTATATTTTCTAATATTTAGGATTTTTGCATCTATACTCAAGGGGGAAATTGCTCTATAGATTTTTTAAATTTTTGTATTGCCTTTGGTTTGGTATCCGGATAATACTAGCTTCATAAAATGAATTGGAAAGTGTTTCTTCTTTTTCTAGAAGAGTTTATGTAGAATTGGTGTTAATTCTTCATTAAATATTTGGTGGAATTCTCCAATGAAACCATCTTGGCCTGGAGATTCCCTCCCTTCCCCACCCTGCCCTGCCCCTTCCCCGCCCATTCCCCACCCCTCCACCTCCCTTCCCCGCCCCTTCCCCGCCCATTCCCCGCCCATTCCCCCCCCACCCCTCCACCTCCCTTCCCCGCCCATTCCCCACCCCTCCACCTCCCTTCCCCGCCCATCCACCTCCCTTCCCCGCCCCTCCACCTCCCCTTCCCCGCCCCTCCACCTCCCTGCCCCGCCCCTCCCCTTCTTTTTTCCCCCTCCCTCCCCCGCCTTCCTTTCCCTTTTCCTTCCCTGGAGTTTTTAAGTGACAAATTCAGTTTCTTTAAAAGTTATGAAGTTATTCAAATAATCCCTTTCATACTGTGGTTATGTTTTTTAAAGAATTACCTACTTCATCTAAGTTGTCAAATTTATATGGGTAAAGCTATTTGTGGTATTCCCTATCTTTGTTTTCTGTTGCTTATACCAATACATGAAACTGGGTAATTTATGAAGAAAATGGATGTTTTTGTTACAGTTGTGGAGGCTGAGAAATCCAAGGTCAAGGAGCCACATTGAGTAAAAAACCTTCTTGCTGGTGGGGACTCTGCAGAATCCCAAGGCAGTGCAGGGTATCACAGGGCTAAGGGGCTGAGTGTGCTAGTACAGGTCTCTCTTCCTCTTATAAAGCCACCAGTTCCCATGATAACCCATTAATCCATTTATGAAAGCTCATAAAGACTCTACCTCCACTTGTCATTGGGAATTAAATTTTAGCATGAGTTTTGGAGGGGACAGATATTCAAACCATAGCATTTCCATATTATTCTTTTGATGTCTGTAGGGTCTGTAGTATTATCCCATTTCATTACTGATTTGGGTAATTTCCAGTGTCAGTGTCTCATCTCTTCTCTCTCTCCTCTTTCTTCCTCTCTCTGTCTTGCTCATTCACTCACTTGTCAGTCTTGCTAGAAGTTTATCAATTTTATTGATTGTTTCAGAGAACCCAATTCTTTATTTCATTGAGTTTCTCTGTTTTCTGTTTTATCAATTTCTGCTCTTTATTATATCCTTCTTCTGCTTGCTTTATTTTGCAAGTTTTTTGTCTAAGTTTTTGTGGTAGGAGTTTACCTTTTTTATTTCAAACTTTTCCCTTTTTCTAATATATGACTTAGTACTATTAATTTACATCTCAGCGTGGCTGTAGCTGTATCCAAAGATTTTGGTGTGTTGTATTTTCATTTTCACTCATTTCCATGTTTGTTTGTTTTTTTTTCTAATTTCCCTTAAGGTTTCCTCTTTGTTTTGTGGATTATTTAGAAATGTGTTGTTTAGTTTTCAAGTATTTGGAGATTTTCCTCTTATCTCTTTGTTCGTGATTTCAAGAGATTGATTTCATTGTGGCTGGAGAATATCACTCTGTAAGATTTCAATTCTTTTAAATTTGTTGAGGTTTGTTTTATGGCAGGATAATCTCTCTTAATATATGTTCTGTGAGCATTTGAAAAGAACGTTAGCCAGACCTGGTAGTTCATGCCTGTAATCTTAACACTTTGGGAGGTCAAGTCGGGAGGATCACTTGAGCCTAGGAGTTCAAGACCAGCCTGGCAACATGGCAAAACTTGGTCTCTATAAAAATTAACAAAAATTAGCTGCACATAGTTGCATGCGCCTGGAGTCCCAGCCACTCAAAAGACTGAGGTAGGAGGACTGCTTGAGCTCAGGAGGTTGAGGCTGCAGTGAGCCATCATCAAGCCCCTGAGCTCCAGCCTGAGCAATAGCGTGAGACTCTGTCTAAAAGACAGATAGCAACAACAAAAGACTTCTGCCCGCGGTTGTAGGATGGAGGGTTTATAAATGTCGTAGATTCTGTTGTAGGATGGAGGGTTTATAAATGTCGTAGATTCTGTTGTAGGATGGAGGGTTTATAAATGTCGTAGATTCTGTTGTAGGATGGAGGGTTTATAAATGTCGTAGATTCTGTTGTAGGATGGAGGGTTTATAAATGTCGTAGATTCTGTTGTAGGATGGAGGGTTTATAAATGTCGTAGATTCTGTTGTAGGATGGAGGGTTTATAAATGTCGTAGATTCTGTTGTAGGATGGAGGGTTTATAAATGTCGTAGATTCTGTTGTAGGATGGAGGGTTTATAAATGTCGTAGATTCTGTTGTAGGATGGAGGGTTTATAAATGTCGTAGATTCTGTTGTAGGATGGAGGGTTTATAAATGTCGTAGATTCTGTTGTAGGATGGAGGGTTTATAAATGTCGTAGATTCTGTTGTAGGATGGAGGGTTTATAAATGTCGTAGATTCTGTTGTAGGATGGAGGGTTTATAAATGTCGTAGATTCTGTTGTAGGATGGAGGGTTTATAAATGTCGTAGATTCTGTTGTAGGATGGAGGGTTTATAAATGTCGTAGATTCTGTTGTAGGATGGAGGGTTTATAAATGTCGTAGATTCTGTTGTAGGATGGAGGGTTTATAAATGTCATAGATTCTGTTGGTTGATGGCGGTGTTTTTCTGTGTCCTTGCTGATTTTTGGTCTCATTGTTCTATCCATTGTTGAGAGAGGAATATTGAAGTCACCACCATCTATTCTCGTGAATTTATCTATTTCTCCTTTTAGTTTTATCCATTTTTGTTTCATACATTTTGCAGCCTATACATTTTAAGATTGTGATATGTTCTTAGTAGATTTACCTGTTATTAACTGTACTCTGTCTCTGGTATTTTTTTTTCTCTGATTTTTGGTCTGGACTTTCTCTGAAGTCTACTTTATCTGGTATTAATACAGCTGCTCTTTAATGAATGTTTGCATGAGAATATATTTTTCCATCCTTTGATTTTCAACCTGCCTCTATCATTCTGCATAGTGAGTTTCTTATAGACAGCATGTAGTTAGATCATGTTTTTAAATCCACTTTGACAATCTTAGTCTTTTAATTAATGTATTTAGACCTTTTACACTTAAATATAATTATAGTTGGCCCTCTATATTCATGGGTTCTGTCTCTGTGGATTCAATCAACTGTGGATTGAAAATGCAGTTGACACTTGAACAACACAGGTTTGAACCATGACAATCTATTTATATGCAGACTTTCTTTCCCTTCGGCCAACCTGCCTCTTCCTCAGCCTACTCAACATAAAGACAAGGATGTATAATGATCTGCTTCCACTTAACTAATAGTAATTGTGATTTTATTTTCTTTTTTTTTTTTTGAGAATGGGTCTCACTTTGTCACCCAGGCTGGAATACAGTGGTGCAATCTTGGCTCACTGCAACCTCTGCCTCCCGGATTTAAGCAATTCTCCTGTCTCAGCTTCCAGAGTAACTGGGATTACAGGCACCTGCCATCATGCCCGGCTAATTTTTGTGTTTTTGTAGAGGTGGTGTTTCACCACATTGTCCAGGCTGGTCTTGAACTCCTAATCTCAGGTGATCTGCCCACCTCAGCCTCCCAAAATGCTGGGATTACATGCATGAGCCACTGTGCCCGGCCTGTGATTTTCTTAATAACGTTTTCTTTTCTCTAGCTTGTTTTATTGTGTAGCATATAAAATATATGTTAAACTGTTTCTGTTGTCAGTAAGGCTTCCAGTCAGCAGTAGTTAGGTTTTGGGGGAATCAAAATTTATACCGAGATTTTTGACATCTCGAGGAGGTTGACTACTCCTAACCCCCTCATTGTTCAAGAGTCAACTGTACTTGAAAAAAATAAAAAGTAAAAGATAACAATACAACAATAAAAATAATGCCGATTTTAAAACAACATAGTATAACAACTGTTTACATAACATTTACATTGTATTAGGTGTTGTAAGTAATCTAGAGTTGATTTAAAATGGATGGGAAGATACGCATGGGTTGTATGCAAACACTACGCTATTTTCTTTAAGGGACTTGAACATCCTCTGATTTTGGTATCCATGGGAGTCATGGCACTAGTCCCTGGTGAATACCGAGGGATGACTATATTGATAAATTAGAGTTGAGTCTGGCACTTTGTTTATTCTCTTTTTCATTTTTCTGCTTTCTTTTTCTAGCCTTCCTGTGGGTTACTTGAATGTTTTTTAGAATTCTGTGTGATTTATCTATGATGTTTTTGAGTGTATCTCTTTGTATGTAGCCCTGTTAGTGATCCCTCTAGGTACATTTCATCATGTACACACATTGTGTGTACATAACTTTACCTAGAAAAGTACAGAAACTTTATTTGCTTGTATGTCTGTTTACTCTCCCCATTTATCATATAAATGTCTTTAAAACTTTCTCTGCATACATTTAGAACCATGCTTTATAATTTTTGCTTCAACTGTCAAACACAGTTTTGAAAACTCAAGAGGATAAGGAAAGCCCATTGCATTTACACATATTTTTGTATACCATGTCCTTTCTTCCCCCTTAATGTTCCAGGATTTCTTTTCTTATTATTTTCTTTCTGTTTAGAGAACTTTCTTTACCCATTCTTTTACAGTAAGTCGGCTGGTGACAAATTCTCTTTGTTTTCCTTCTGAGAAGTCTTGATTTCTCCTGCATTCCTGCTGAACATTTTTTGCTGGGTACATGGTTCTATGTGGACAGTTTGTTTCAGCACCTGAAAATTATTGCGTAACTTCTTTCTGGCCTGCATGATTTCTGATGAGAAATCTATTGTCATTAGAATTGTATTTTTCCCTGCTGGGCATGGTGGCTCACACCTATAAGCCCGGCACTTTGGGAGGCTGAGGTGGTTGGATCACTTGAGGCCAGGAGTTTGAGACCAGCCTGGCCAACATGATGAAACCCTATTTCTACTAAAAATATAAAAATTAGCCAGGAGTGCTGGTGCCCACCTGTAATCCCAGGTACTTCGGAGGCTGAGGCAGGAGAGTCGCTTGAACCTTGGAGGCGGAGGGTGCTGTGAGTGGATATGGCATCACTGCACTCCATCCTGGGCAACAGAAGGAGACTCTTTCTCAAAGAAAATGTTTCTTCCCTGTAGACAAGGTATAATTTATCTCTGGATGCTTTCAATAATTTTTGTTGTTTTCAGAAATTATGATAAGTCTTGGGGTAAATTTCTCTGGGGTTCACTCAGCTTCTTGATATATAGAATTACGTCTCTTGCCAATTTCGTGGCATTTTTCAGCCGTTATTTCTTTGAGTATTTTTTCAGCCTGCCCTCTTAGTCCCACAGGTTCCCTGAGCCTCTGTTTATATATTTTTCAGTCTGTTTTTCCTCTGTTGTTCAGATTGGGTAATTTCTATTGTTCTGTTCCAGCTCACAGATTTTTTTTTTCTTCTCTCCATTCTACTGTTGAGCCCATCCACTGAGCTTTTTCTTTGTTACTGAAAGTTTCAGTTCTAAAATTTTTATTTGTTTATTTATATCTTCTATTTCTTTGTTGAGGCTTTCTGTTCATTTGTTTGAAGTATATTCATAATTGCTTATTGATACATTTTAATCATGCCGCTTTAATGTCTTCATTAGATAATTCTAACATCTTTGTCTCTTTGTCATATTGGTGTTGATGTACGTCAATTGTCTTTTTATCTTTGTTTTTTTTTTCTGAGACAGAGTTTCCCTCTTGTTGCCCAGACTGGAGTGCAATGGTGCAATCTCCACTCACTGCAGCCTCCGCCTTCTGGGTTCAAGTGATTTTCCTGCCTCAGTCTCCTGAGTAGGTGGGATTACAGGCACCTGCCACCACACCTGGGTAATTTCTTTATTTGTAGTAGAGCTGGGGACTTACCATGTTGGCCAGGCTGGTCTTGAACTCCTGACCTCAGGTGATTCACCCTCCTCAGCCTCCCAAAGTTACAGGTATGAGCCACCACACCCAGCTGATTGTCTTTTTTCATTCAGTCTGAGTTCTTCCTGGTTCCTGGTATGATGAGTGCTTTTTATGTTGAGATCCGGACATTACTGTATAATGTTTTAAGACTCTTGATGTTGTGTATAATGTTCTGAGACTTCTGTTGAGGCTGTTTAGTCTTCTGATTAGGCTGGTTTTCTCTGACACCATTCCTACTCTGGTTTAGAAGGGGGTCTGTACCTCGTCACTGCCAGGTGGAGGTAGAAGTCCAAGTTCCTCACTTAGCCTCCACTGACACCCAAGAAGAAGGTCTCCCCACTACTTCTGGGTGGAAGTGTCCTGCAGGGTGGAGGTGTACTGCTGGCTGGGTGTGGCAGTCTAAACTCCCCACTTGGTCTCCACTGACGTTGGGGTAGAGATGACCTCATTACCACTGGGCAGTGGTGAAAGTCCTGACTAGGTCTCCTCTGATGCTACCTCATTATTGCCAAATAGGAGTGGAAGTTTAGGCTCCCGTGTGGTCTCCACTGACACCAGGGCTGTGGGGATGGAATTCCTGCTCCTCCTCTGCCTTGTCTCATACCATCCCTGCAGGAGTGTAGAGGATGCCTCATTACAGACTCATGAGAGTGGGAGTCTAGGTGCTCCAATTAGCCTTTGCCACTGTGGGTGGAGGCCGCCTTATTTTCTTTAATGTTTGGCTGGAATAGAGTATTTATTGTCCAAAAGATTTTTGTCTTGCCAGGCCGCCCTTTCCTACTCCTTTGGCTAGAGAGAGCAGGTTTTTGTTGGGTTTTTGTGTCTGTGCCCCTTGGTGCTTCCAAGTTGCCAGCTTCTTCAACTCCAAGGCTTGGGTCTATGAGGCAGAAAGAAAACCTGGGAAACTCAGCACTGTGTCACTCCCCAGGTCCTGAGGTCCCTAACCAGTCTGCTTTCTTCTTGTATTTGCTTTATATATAATGTCCAGGGCTTTTAGTTATACTTAACAAAAGGAATGGGGAAATGTCTGCCTACCCCATCTCCCCAGAAGCTTAAATTTTCTCTGTGTGTGTGTGTGTGTGTGTGTGTGTGCAGAATGTTTGTTTATATTAACATTTATAAATAAGTGGAAACGCAAACATACATCAGTTACCTGAAGAACTTACCCAGTTTCCAGTGCCAGGTCATAAATGGGGGAGGGCAGGAGCTGTTAGCCTATATATTCTGTACACACCCTCTTCTAAGTTAAGAATCCCTTTTTTAGAATGTACTGCCTACCAAAGAAGGTCCTGTCTAGTGGAGGGAACAGGCACATAATATGAGTGTGATACAAGGCACAGCTTCACATCTTTTCTATAAGGAATAGCTGTAAACTAAGCATTATGTGAGCCTAGAGTAATTTCTGGAAATACCTATGGGAGTCTCCTTGATTCTTCTCCTCCGCATTCTATTCTATGTTCTTTGGTTCTGCAGTATACTTCCCTTACAGTGTTAGCCTCTCTGGTTAATGCTGTATCTCTCCTTCTTTGTCAAGAACTTAGCATAGTGTATGGCAAATAGTATATGCCAAGGAAACATATCTAGGTAGAGGGAAAGATGAGTAGGAATTAACAAAGCTTCAGAATATGCTGAAGGGTTAATATCCAGCTTCTTTTACTTATTTATTAAACAAACAGTGAGTGGAAATTACTTGGCAGACACTATACCAGATGCTGGGGAAACCACAAGTAAAGCTGTAACACTGTACTGTTCAGCTGGGGAGACAAATAAACTCATCATTTTAACCCAAGACCGTAGTCCCCCAGTGTACTCTGAACATTGCAACCAGATGGATTATTGAACAAGTACCTATTTCATCATACAACTTGTTCTTCAGAAGGGAAAGCATGTATAGAGAGAATATATACAGTGCAGGATTCCCACACCTCACTGGTCGTGGGACTGACCTTGTGAACTTTTAAAATTGTAGATTCCCAAGCATACCTGCCCCCTTCACCAGATTGATTCTGATTTAGTAGATCTGGTATGGACCCCAGGAATATGTACTTAAATTGTGTCTCCTTGATTCTGATAAATGGCAAGGTTGGGAACCTCTGGTACAGTGGAAAGAGTACATACAGCCTTTGGAGTCAGGAGACTTGAGATGAATTCCAAGTCTGACGCCTGCTTGCTGTGTGGACCTCACTGAACCTCTCTGAGCCTTGTGCTGTTCAACTTGCAGATGAGGAATACGTTAAGTAACTAGCACATTGCCTGATGTATGTCGGGGGTTTTTTCAACAACAAAAGAAAAATGTTTTCCTACTGTTTAAGAACTTGTATTGGCAATTCTTTTTCTTTTTTTTTTTTTTGAGACAGAGTTTCACTCTCGTTACCCAGGCTGAAGTGCAATGGCAGGATCTCAGCTCACCGCAACCTCTGCCTCCTGGGTTCAAGCAATTCTCCTGCCTCAGCCTCCCGAGTAGCTGGGACTATAGGCACGCACCACCATGCCCAGCTAATTTTTGTATTTTTAGTAGAGACGGGGTTTCACCATGTTGACCAGATCTCTTGACCTCGCAATCCACCCTCCTCGGCCTCCCAAAGTGCTGGGATTATAGGCGTGAGCCACCGCGATTCTTATATCGGAACTCCTATCTCTGGGCTCTAAACTCAGTCATTCTTTCCATAGTCTAGTTATTCAAAGGTGGAAACTTTGGAGATTGTCTTATCCATTAAGTTTATTTGATATTGAAGAAGCTAGAATTTATGGAAATCACACAGCCAGGTACTGTAAGAGCCAGGACTCAAACCCAGGTCTGAAGATTCCTATTCTTAGGCTCCCTCTGTCCCAATTCTGAAAATAGCCTGAAAGTGTGGTAGAGTACAGCCAAATCTAGAACTATGATTGCCCCATGAGAATGGATCTAGTAGAACTCTCCCAGTGTAGACAGATCAACTACCTGTAGGAAAAACTCACCCCAAGGGGAGAAGAGCATGGCAGGTTTTACCTAGAATCCAATTCAGAATAGCTGATATCAGCACTCTACCAGTGACAGAACCCGATCTTGCATTATGACCACTAATTCAACAAGCATTTATTGAATACCTGCTCTCTGCCAAAAGCAATAAAGAAGTCAGTAAAAAAATCACTGTATTCTAATATTTTAGTGAAGGGAGAGAAGCAGTAAACAAACAGGTGGATAATCTGGTTTGACAGCTGGTGTGAAGTGCTAAGGAGGAAAATTATAAAGGCAAGGAAAGGAGAGGAGGAGTAAGGATGGGTAGCAGTGTTAATAGAAGTGATCAGAGCAGGCCTTACATGAGCAAAGCCCTGAAAGACGTAAGGAAGTGAGCCCTGAGGACATGGGGGAGAGAACAGCAAGTGCAAAGGCCCTGAGCAAATGATTTCTTCTGAATGGATGTGGGAGGACTGGCCCACCTGCCACAATGGCATCTCTGTCTCATCTCTGCCCTTATTAGGTGCTATGACTTATCTCCCTTCTGGCCTTTGCTTGTGACGGGCCTTTTACCTCGAGCAGCCTTCCCACACAGCCCAAAGTATAGTCCCCCAGCCCAACACAGATCCTTCTCCCTCTTCCTTCTTAGTATTCATTCTGTTTCCAAATTCCTTTTGCACTTTTTTCCCTCCCTTATTCACTTCTTGATTGTATGATGCAGTAAGTACCTTGTGAGCTAAGTACCTCTAAAGTATAACCCCATCTCCTGTACAGATTGTTCCGTTTGTCTTCACCACCTGTACACCATGGCCCAGGGATCTTACATAGCCCATCCTTGTTACAAGGCAGAAAGGTAGGGAGGAGGGGAAGAGGCTTGCCAGGGGCAGTGAGTGAGTTCATGCTGTCCAATCACAGATCTTATCTCCCACCTCTTCAGTGGCCACTTGCCAACTACTTTCCAGGACCACAGCGGAGGTCCACTAAACTAGAAAGGGTTTAGATGTCCATTAGCAGTAAAGAACTGTTTACTCAGGCTTATGTTTGTTCAGTCACTCTGAGCTCTGGGTGGTTTTGTCTACTCACCCAGAGGATACATTTTTGTTCTGAATGCCTCATCCCAGTATAACTTTGTGGGCCAGATTGCTCCTGTTCCTGTTGGTTATAAACATCAAATTTTGGTGCAGCACCACTCTAACTAATCAGGGTTGCATTTTATGGGAATAGAATCTAGGATTCCTAAGGCTCTAAATCTCTATAAACAATTCTTTCTGTAATTGACATATTGTCACACAACTGTGATTTCATGGCCATCCCATAAAGCTATATGATTGCCTTTTATAGTCATGTCAAAGTAGCAATGTGTTATTCTGTCTTCCTTAGAGAAAGCTGGTTTATATATTTCTGAGCCTATAACCCAGTCTTTTGAAGATCTCTGATTGTGGTAAATCTTCATCTGTATAGTATTTCATTGAGAGAATATACTACAGTTTATCAATTCTACTATAGATGGGCATTAGGGTAGTTTCATTTTAGGGTGATTGTGGATAGTGAATTCCAGAACACATCTTTTGATAAGCTTATATATACATTTCTGTTGGGTATATATCAAAGAATGGAACTGCTAGATCATAGCTCATATATATATTCATCTTTGAAATAACAGATACTGCCAATGAGTTTTCCGTATAGCTACACTGATTATACTTCCATCAGCATTGAATGAGAGTTTTAGTTGCTTCGTATACTTGCCAGCACCTAGTATTTTCCTTTTGTTCAATTTAGCCCTTCTCATGAATGTGTAATGGTATTTCGTTGTGGTTTTAAATTGCATTTTCCTGACTAATGATATTGAAAGTATTTTCATATGTTTATGGGCTATTTGGATATCCTTTTTTGTGATATGTCTGTTCACATCCTTTTTCATGTGCTTATATTCTTTAAGTTCTTGATAAAGCTGGAAACCATCATTCTCAGCAAACTGACACAGGAACAGAAAAATGTTGTGTATTATAGATATGAGTGTTTTGTCAGATATATAGCAAGTATCTTCTGTCACTTTATGAGTTGCCTTTTCACTCTTTAATGGTATCTTTTGATGAACAGAAGTTCTTAATTTTAAGGTAGTCCAATTTATCAGTTTTTTTATTTTCGTGTCCTATTTAAGAAATCTTTGCCTACTCCAGGAACAAAGATGTTCTTGTCTGGTTTTTTTGGAAAGCCTTATTGATTTACATTTCACATTAAAATATAATGCGATGGAATCAAGATACAAAATGTGTGTATATGTATATATATATATATATATGTATATGTATATGTCGATATGTGTATATATATATAAAATGGATAGTCAACTGACATGGCACCTTTAATTGAAAAGAACATTCTTTTCACCCCTTCATTTTACTGTCACCCTTGTCAGGTGTTTGGGTCTATAGCTGGACTCTCTGTTTCATGTGTGGTCTATTTCTGAACTCTATTCTGTTCATTTTTCTTTATACCAAGTATACACTGTCCTTTAATTATTATACCCTTACAGTAAATCTTGAAATCAGTTAGTATCAGTTCTCTAACTGCATTCTTCTTTTTGAAAATTGTCTTTTCTATTTTAGGTCCTTTGCATTTCTCTATCAGTTTTAAACTCATCATATTACTTTCTGCAAAAATCCTACTGGGATTTTGATTAGGATTGTGCTGACTCTACCAATGGTACCAAATCCAGAGACAATTTTTTGTCCTTGATGGGACATCTAGCAGTGTCTGGAGACATTTTTGTTTGTGACATCTGGGGTAGTGCTACTGGCGGCAGACAGATGGATGGCCAAGATTCAGAGGCCTTGGATGCTCCTAAATACCCTGCAATGCACAGGACAGCCCTCCACCAACAAGTAATATTCCCAGAATGTCGGTAGTGCTGCTGTTAAGAAACTCTGCCTGAATGTAATTGCTGTTTTACTTGGAATTCTGACTTCTGTCTGCCATCTTACTTTTTGTTTTCTGTTTGGCTCACTAGTTTTCTTTTTTTTCCTCATTTTTGCCTTCTTTTTGATTAATCAAAAATATTATCCCATTTTTTACTGCCCTGTAAACTTGGTAGATAGATATTTTACAATTATTTTAGAGCTTAGTCTACAGATTTCAACATGCATTTAACATCTTGACATGTTACAGTCTAACACAGATTATTTTATCACTTCATTATACTACTAGACTCTTAGACTCTTAACTCCCCCCCACACCTTTTGTGAATTATTGTTGTCTTGCATTTTAGTTTTGTATATACACAAACTACAGAAGACATAATAGTTGTTTTGTACAGTTAATTTTTTTTATATTTACCTATTTCATTTTCTTTATTCCCTCTTACAGTTCCATGCTTCTGTCTAGGTTCATTTTCTTACATTCTTTTTTCTTTTAATATAGCCCTGACAGCAATGAGTTCTCTCAGGTTTTGTTTGTCGTAAATATCTTAACTTCACCTTTTATTTTGTTTGTTTTCGAGACGGGGCTCACTCTGTCACTGAGGCTAGAGTGCAATGGCACAGTCACAGCTCACTGCAGCCTCGACATCCCAGGCTCAATTGATCCTTACAACTGAGCCTCCCTAGCAGCTGAGATTATGCGTGTGCACCACCACACCCAGCTAATTTTTGTATTTTTTGTAGAGATGGAGTTTTGCCATGCTGCTTAGGGTGGTTTCAAACTCCTGGGCTCAAGTGATCCACCCACCGCAGCCTCTCAAACTGCTGGGGTTATAGGCATGAGCCACTCATGCCATGCCACTACCTTCTTTATTGAAAGATGTTGTTTTTGTAGGATATAAAATTCAAAGGTGGTTCCCTAGTCCATAGATTAAAAAAAAAGAAAAAATCAAAGTTGGAGTTACTTTCTGTACTTTAAAGATAGCATTCTGTTGACTCCTGGATTTTGTCATTTCTTTTGAGAAGTCAGCTGTCATTTTTATTGCGTCACTGCTTTTAAGGTTTTCCTCTCTTCGTTTCTCAGTAGTTTTACTGTAATGTCTGTGCGTTCTTTTCTTTGTATTGTCCAAATTGGGTTGCTGAGTTTCTTAAATCTGTGGGTTGATCTTTTTCATTTATTTTGGATGTTTTATATTGCTATCTTCTGAGACTCATTTATTCATGTTTTTTATTCCACATGTCTTTTATGTTCTTATCTTACCATTCTTTTTTCTAATTGAGTTTGAATATTTTTTATTGACCTGTCTTCCAAATCATTAATCTTGTCTCCTGCTAAGTCTAATTTACTGTTAACATCTTATACTGAATTCTTAATTATAGATACTGTAGTTCTCAGTTCTAAAGCATCCATTTGATTTTTTTATAGATTTCAGCCAATTCTGGGTAAAATTATTTATCCTTTCATTTACTTTGGTAATCTTTTCCTCTGTTTCTTGACTTTATTAATCTTAGTTATTTCAAAGTTCTTGACTACTAACTTCAATAATTTAGGGCCATCTACGGGTTTGCTTCGAATGTCCGTTTTTTTTTTTCTTGATTATCAGCTATGTGCATTTACCTCCACATATGCTTTAAAAACTTACTATATACTAAACATTATATAAAAGAATCATAGTGACTCCATATATCTTCTGCCATCAAGGTTTGCCACTTTCTTCTGTTAGCTAAATACTTTAGTCAAATCAGGGATTGAGCTAGGTTGCAATCCTGGAAGCCTCAATCTTACTTTGGTTCTTCCTTATTAGAGGATGGTCCTCCAGGGCTTTCAGTTGAAAGCGTAACAGGCTATTTGTCTCCTTAGACATGAAAAGCTTTGGGAGATTCACCTCTTCCCCCAAGATTTTCAGCTTAGTTATTTAGCCAACTACTACTTCACATCATTTCAAAATTGACTACATGTCTTGAGGAAGACCCCAACAAGTAAGTATTTAAGGTCCATCAGATCTCCAGTTTTGTTACCCTAGCTTTGAAGAATACCAAAATCTATACTGACTCGTTTCCAGCAGCAGCCTTCTTTGGGAAGTTGGGTATTTTGAGGTTCTTCAAGGCTGCAGTTTTGTCTCTCCAGCTCCAGGTGACCATTAAAAGCATTGTGGTTTCTCTTTCCCCAGTGATAACCACACCCTAATCCTGAGCCCACATCCAAGATCAACAAATGCACCAAAGGTGAGCGTGCGCACGCACGCGCGCGCACACACACACATGCACAGAAACTATTGATTGTTGATTCCCTCTGAACATTCTCAATCGGTTAGTCCATCTAGTCCTTGTTGCTTCCATAAGTATTGGGTGCTTTAAGGGTTAGGGTTAGGGTTAGGGTTAGGGTTAGGGTTAGGGTTAGGGTTAGGGTTTTTTTTTTTTTTGTAATTTATTTGGCTTTTTCTAGTCATTGGCAGGAGTATTAGCCTGCTAAACCATACTATATCCTACTTGGAATCAGAATCTGTGCAGATGTTTTTGAAGGCTTGCCATGTGCCAGATGCTCTTCTAGCTTCTAGGTATAGAATTGCCCCTGCCCTCACAGAGCCTCTAGCCTAAAGTAAGTAGGACAGGCATATACACAAATAATACAGCATGCTAAATACTGTCATAGAGGTGTGTACAGGGGTAGGAAAAAGGAGACAAATGTGAACTAGCACCATCTGTTTAGAAAATTGCGAGTTTTATAAATTTTACATGATTGCAGGTTAGAGTTCAAATGGTGGAACAATAAGAGATGAGGTTGGCAAGACAGGAAGAAGCCTGATAGTGAAGGGCCCTGTATGCCATGGTAATTGCCTAGGTATAGATTCTACCTAGAAGTGTCTGCCCTTCAGGCAGGATGGAGAGCAGTTGAAGAATTAAGCATAGAGAATAGTGATCAGATTTTTCTTTTAGAAAGATTACTTAAGTGTCATTGTGAAATGTGAATTCAAAGAGGACAAGAAGCAAGCCAAAGGGCCAGAGAGGAAACTGTGAAAGTTGGCCCAATATTAAACACATTGGTTTTCATCATCAACAGATTTGAAAGGTGTCAAATGGTTGGAATTGATGAAATGTAGGGAAAGGTGGGATTAAGAGGGGGTGAAAGAAAGCAGAGATCCTAGGATTTCTAGCTTGACCATAAATCATCACGGCAGAAAATGATGAGGTCAGTGTCAGATGTACTGTGTGTTTCCATTTCATTAGCGCTATTACAGCTTTTGTTATATAATCTGAGAATGTAGTTTAGGAATCACCACCCTAGGGTGTTGGGGGGGGGGGCACCCAAGTTATCTTCTTGAAACTCCTACAATGAAATAAGAAAGAGAGAGAGAGAGAGAGAGAGAGCGCTCTAGGCCATTGCTTTCACCCTAAACTTTACAGGACACCCTCTGGTTTTGTCTGTTTTGTATACTGGGCTTCCATTTAAACATTGTATTTGAAGAAAATTTTCTGTACTAAAAGAAAAAACATTACTCAACAATGTAAGTATCTTGTTCTGGTAGGATATGTGGGTAATACGCTCTCTTGCATATTCTTCCATCTTGACAGAAGGACATCTTCACTGGCATTTGGGGGCCACAATCCTTTATTTGCAGTCAGTAGGTGCTATTCCACTGTCTCTAGCATCCACTGTTGCCAATAAGGAGTTCAAAGCCAGTTTCTTTTTCTTTTACATGTAATTTTTCATTCCCTCCTCAAAACATATGTGATTTTTCTCTTCATATTTAGAGTGAAGGGATTTTACCAGAATGTGGTCAGGTGTGTATCTTTCAGTCTTTTCGATCTCCAGATAAATCCTTTTGCAACTAAGGGAAATGTTTCTACTTTGAAATTCCCCCTTACATGGTGATTCTCCCAGATCTGTTCCCAAGTCTCAGAATTTGCATCTCTTTGCATTCCTGCTCTGTGAGACAGGTCTACTTGATCTTTAGGCCACTCATTGGGGTTTCAGCAATTATCTACCTTTTTAAAAATTTCATCAGTGGAGCTTTTTTGTGTGTGGAAAATTATGCTTTTAATTGTAAGAGACATCTTTGGTCTCATAATTGAACTTCCTTAATTGATCTTTTTATTATTATTATTCCAATTCTTATCTGCCTCTTTTTCTGGTTCTGTTAATCTAAGATTCGCCACCTCAAGGAGTGCTGAAATGCTTTTTCTGCCCATGGCTGCTGGATCCCATTAACCAGTTCTCTTCCTTTCCTACTTCTTGATCCAACTACCAGTATCTCAGGCAGGGAGGTGGCAAAGCAGCCTCTTGTTTGTCTGCATATGAGCCAGTGCACATGGGATGCCATTAGTCCCCAGCCAAGTTTTGTGGCTGTCACACATGGCAGTTTTCTAGCCCGGGACAGGGAAGAGTCAAGTTTCTTCCCTTCTCTGGCTTCTTGGGGCCACAGAGAGCATGAGATATACCCCCATGAAGCCTCACAGAGACAAGCAGTGCCCTTCCTCATAGGGGTCCATGGAGCTCAGTGGACCAGACTCTCCAGCATATCAGAGTCCTGGAGCCTCTCTTAACGCAAGGGGAAATTTGCCACCAGCTCTCTCTCTGGACTGAACGGGCCTTGCCCACGCCTGCTGGGCACAACTTGCCTGCCAATCTATAGTCACTGAGTTCAGACGCATTCATGGAATTGGAAGTAGAAGCAGCACAAGCACTTTCTTATCATCTCTTCAAAAGCCCCCAGCAAGTAGAGGAAAAAGGGAGACCACAAGACCGCCAGACTAGATGCTCTCCAAGCCTCCATCCAATGCCGACGTTTTACAGTTACACACATTTATGGGCTCCAACTCCACTCAGCCCTCACCACCCATGGGCCACACTTTTATGTCTTCCCAGCATGCTCTGCTTCCCCAAAGGGAGTATTTGAGACTTTTATTTCTCTCTTGAAGCCCTCTGTTTATCCTCCTCCTTGTTCACTGTCAGCCCACGACTGAATTTCTCTTCACAAAAAAAAAAGACTCTCGGATGTTGAGTTGCTCTTTGCTTTCCTATAAACCTGTCTCCTTTGCCTGCTTGCCTGCCTGCTGTCCATCTTTCCATCCTGCTGACCTCTGTCTTCTGTGTGTTCTGTGATAGTGTGTCCTCTCAGTTTTCTCTCTGAGCACCCCGTTTCGCTTTGTGTTGCTTTCAGTCTCACCCAGTTCTGATCCTTCTCCCATATTACAGGCTCCTGTGGGATCTTTTCAGTGCATAAAGTCGATCCTATCACCCCCTGCTTTAAACCTCTCAGTGACAAGAACAGGCCAAACGAGTCTGTAGTGATGTAAGTCAGAAGAGTGGTTACCTCCAGGCAGGCGGAATAGGAATCGATTCCACAAGGACATGAGGGAGCCTTCTAGGTTGCTGGAATTATTCTGTGTCTTACTTTGGGTAGTGGTTACATTGTTCTATACATACACAAAAATTCCCTGGACTGTATATTAAGATAGAGCATTTCACTGTATGTATACCTCAATTTAAAAAGATGAAACCTTCATGTTAAAATCCAAACTCCTAAAAATAGTCCACAGATTCCTATTCATTCTTTCCTCGTGTCTTGCCTCAAGCATAATCCTGTGAGACCCATCCTGCCTTCCTCAGGGTCTGACTTCCGTACTCAGGACTCTAAGCATAGGCCTGTCCTAATCCTGAAGAGGGTTTCTTATAACTGTACATTTACTTCCCTCCATAGACGGGGGGCCCAGTTTCTTTGTACCCCCTAGTGCCTTGTACAGTAGCTGTTATGTAGATCCCTGTAACTGTGTGTTGAATGAACGAATGCAAGTTCACTTCATGCTTCCTTAGAACTTGACATTTTTACTGAACAATTTCCTTCCTCCAGCCTGCAGGATGTTTCCTCATTGAGGGGAAGGCTGCTGCATGATGGCAGTTTTTGATACTCCTGAGGAGGCCTTTGGTGTCTTACGTCCGGTCTGTGTTCAGCTCACAAAGACCCAGACAGTGGAGAATGTGGAGCATCTGCAGACACGACTACAAGCTGTGAGTGACAGTGCCCTTCAGGAACTTCAGCAGTACATCCTCTTCCCTCTGCGATTTACCCTGAAGACCCCAGGTCCAAAAAGAGAGCGTTTGATCCAGAGTGTGGTGGAATGCCTCACGTTTGTCCTTTCTTCAACATGTGTGAAAGAACAAGAGCTTCTCCAGGAACTCTTTTCAGAACTCTCTGCTTGTCTGTATTCACCCAGCTCCCAAAAACCTGCGGCTGTGTCCGAGGAGTTGAAGTTGGCTGTGATCCAGGGACTTAGCACTTTAATGCACTCAGCTTACGGGGACATCATTCTGACTTTTTATGAACCCTCTATTCTGCCACGTTTAGGATTTGCCGTGTCTTTACTGTTAGGCCTTGCAGAACAGGAGAAATCAAAGCAAATTAAAATCGCTGCCTTAAAATGTTTACAGGTTCTACTCTTGCAGTGTGAGTGTCAGGACCATCCAAGGTCCTTGGATGAACTTGAACAAAAGCAGCTGGGGGATTTGTTTGCCTCTTTTTTACCTGGAATCTCAACCACACTGACCAGGGTTATCACGGGAGACTTTAAACAAGGTCACAGCATTGTCGTATCTTCCCTAAAGATCTTTTACAAGACAGTGAGCTTCATTATGGCTGATGAACAGCTCAAAAGAATCTCAAAGGTCCAAGCAAAATCTGCAGTTGAACACAGAGTAGCAGAGCTGATGGTTCACCGGGAAGCAGATTGGGTAAAAAACACTGGCAACAAGTTGACTATCCTTATTAAAAAGATAATTGAGTGTGTTTCTGTTCACCCACACTGGAAGGTAAGGCTGGAACTGGTAGAACTTGTGGAGGACCTCCTTCTGAAGTGCAGTCAATCATTGGTCGAATCTGCCGGACCCCTCCTGAAGGCCTTAGTGGGACTAGTCAATGATGAGAGTCCCGAAGTCCAAGCCCAGTGCAATAAAGTTCTGAGACATTTTGCAGATCAGAAAGTAGTGGTGGGCAACAAAGCCCTGGCGGACATCTTGTCAGAAAGCCTGCATTCCCTTGCCACATCTCTTCCTCGCCTAATGACCTCCCAAGATGACCAGGGCAAATTCTCTACTCTTTCCTTATTGCTTGGTTATCTGAAACTCTTAGGCCCAAAAATAAACTTTGTCCTCAACTCTGTGGCCCATCTCCAGCGCCTTTCCAAAGCACTCATCCAAGTTCTAGAGCTAGACGTGGCTGACATCAAGATTGTTGAGGAGCGGTGTTGGAACTCTGATGATCTGAATGCTTCTCCAAAGACCTCAGCCACCCAGCCATGGAACCACATCCAGAGGAGATATTTCCGCTTCTTCACTGATGAGAGGATCTTCATGCTCTTGAGGCAGGTTTGTCAGCTACTTGGTTATTATGGGAACCTTTATTTGCTTGTGGATCACTTTATGGAACTTTACCGTCAGTCTGTGGTTTACCGGAAGCAAGCTGCCATGATTCTTAATGAACTGGTTACGGGGGCTGCTGGGCTGGAGGTCGAGGATCTTCATGAAAAACATATTAAAACAAACCCAGAGGAACTGAGAGAGATTGTGACATCTATACTTGAAGAATACACAAGTCAAGAAAATTGGTATTTGGTTACCTGTATTGAAACTGAGGAAATGGGAGAGGAGCTGATGATGGAGCACCCAGGCCTGCAGGCCATCACGTCTGGTGAACACACCTCCCAAGTTACATCTTTTCTAGCCTTCTCAAAGCCAAGTCCCATTGTTTGCTCTATGAACAGCAACATCTGGCAAATATGCATTCAGCTGGAAGGAATTGGCCAGTTTGCATACGCACTAGGAAAAGACTTCTGTTTGCTCTTGATGTCAACCCTTTATCCAGTACTGGAGAAGGCTGGAGACCAAACCCTACTCATTAGTCAGGTGGCTACCAGCACCATGATGGACATTTGCCATGCTTGTGGCTACGACTCCCTGCAACACCTAATCAATCAAAATTCAGACTATTTAGTCAATGGGATCTCTTTAAATCTGCGTCATCTGGCTCTGCACCCTCATACCCCAAAGGTCTTGGAAGTCATGCTGCGGAATTCAGATGCTAACCTGCTTCCTTTGGTGGCAGATGTGGTTCAAGATGTCTTGGCCACTCTGGACCAATTTTACGACAAGAGAGCTGCTTCCTTTGTCAGTGTTCTGCATGCTCTGCTGGCAGCATTAGGTACATTGAGAGCCCTTTTTAATGCTAATGTGGGGGCAGGACTCAATCTCCTCGTTTGCTTAGCCTTGTTTTTTGCATTGTTTGTGGTGATGCTATGGGGGGCATTTGAATGGTTGTTTCTCCAGTCCCATATGTTATGGTGGGGTTTCTCTGTTTATCTTCTATACTTTCAGTAATCTCTATCATTTATTGAGCTCCTGCTCTATGCCAGGGATATAAACCCTGCAGACTAAATATAAATATTTCTATTTTATAAATAAGAAAAACTAAGGATCAGTGACATCCTCCTTAGCCAGGGTCACACAATTAATAAATAATAAAGTCAGGATTTATGACAGTTTTGTTTTTTCCGATATACCAAACTGCTTCTGATGATACATAGAGTTAGCAGTATCTAGGCTAATGGAGAACAGATAGAACATGAATTATTCAATCCACATATATTCTAGAACAGTACTAAGCGAAGTTTCTGTGATGATAGAAATAAGCTTTATCTGTTCTATCCAGTTTGCCACTATACACATGTGGTTCATGCATTTGAGGAACTGAATTCTGTATTTTAATAGCCACATGTAGCTGGTGACTGCGATACTGGACAGAACAGATCTAGAAACTTCCTTTTAACCTTTTGTGTGAGTTGATTTGAGTTTCTCTTCTTCCCTTTGATCCAATTGGGTGCTTGCCAGAGATGTTAGCCACTATTAGAGTGGCAAAATTTTGGACTACAATTAGAAGAAAAAGAATCTTTCAACTGAACAGTCAGTCTTTCAAGGAGAAAATAATGAACTATATACCTGGGTCCCTTTTATTTAAAGAGCATATTTCCAGTATTTCTCTCAGTACTGCTAATAGCCTCTGGGGCAGGTGGAATGGTCACTGGCCTCACTTTGTCAGTCGAAAAAGCCAAGACCATGTAAGAAGCCAAGATTCTCATGGAAGGTGACTAGGACAGGGACAGTGCACTTCCCTGCAGCTAATGCCATTTCCAGTGTTTATTCATGCATGGGCATTCACATTCAGCATAAATGTTCCTTTATTCATTTATCATCCATTCATTCATTCAAGAGTGCCTGCCATATGTCAGACACTGTGCTAAGTAATGATAGAGCAGTGAACAAGATGCATAAACTCATGGAACTTCCCTGCCACTGCAAGAGAGATGGTAAACAAGTAAACAAATCATTAGACAAGCTCACTGCAGATTCTGATAAACACCATGAAGGAAATACACTTCAGTGTAACAGGCACAGGCTTCTTTAAGTTCAGTGGTCAGGCCTCTCTGAGGAGGCAACACGAAAGCTGAGACCTGAAGGATGAGAAGGGCCCATCAACACATACAGGGCTATCACATTGTTTTTATGATTTTTAACAACATTCAGGCCAGGGACTGCGGCTCACGCCCGTAATCCATAACACTGAGTTGGGCGGATCACTTGAGCCCTCGAGTTCCAGACCAGCCTGGGCAACATAGTAAGGCCTTGTCTCTACTAAAAATTGAAAAAAATTAGTTGGGAATGGTGGTGCATGCCTGTAATTCCAGCTACTTGAGAGGCCGAAGTAGAAATATCACCTGAGCCTGGGGAGGTCAGGGGTGCGGTGCGCCATGATTGCACCATTGCACTCCAACCTGAGTAACAGATTAAGACTCTGTCTCAAAAAAAAAAATGGCCAGGCATGGTGGCTCACGCCTGTAATCCCAGCACTTTGGGAGGCTGAGGCAGGTGGATCATGAGGTCAGGAGTTTAAGACCAGCCTGGCCAAGATGGTGAAACTCCATCTGTACTAAAATTAGCGGCGTGGTGGCAGGCACCCATAATCCCAGATACTCGGGAGGCTGAGTCAGGGAACTACTTGAACCCGGAAGGCAGAGGTTGCAGTGAGCTGAGATTGCGCCACTGTACTCCAGCCTGGGTGACAGAGCAAGACTCCGTCTCCAGAAAAAAATTCAAGTGGGAAGGCCCAGAAGGAAGAAGGGGCACGGGTCCTTAGAGAATGGAAAAGAGGCCTTTGAGGAGAGTGTCGCAAGACGAAGTTGGAAAGAAGGGTAAGGACAAATCCTGGTAGGGCCATATGGACCAAGAGAGGAGGTTGGATTTTACTTTGCAGCCACTTGGAAGCCTGTGTAGTGGGTTAGTCACTGGGGAGTCAGCCATGAATAAGACCCACCTGGGCCTGCCCTCATGGAGCCCCTTATAGGACTGGCTGGCTGCTTATGCAGACTAAGATTGGCTTCCGTGGGTCAGGTATATCCCACCTGTACTGCTTTAGGGAACTATGCTATATTTCAATTTGAAATTTTTAAAAGTAGGTTAAGAAAAGCCCTGTGAAATATATCTCTCAAGAGGTATCTGAATTTGGGCCTTCAACATTGAACTGCCTTAGATTGCTGATGTCTTCGGTCATCTCTGAAGGTGGAATGTCAAAACTCCTGTGTAGCTTTGTAGTGCTTAAAAAAAACATTGAGATGGAGGGAGAGGGTCTCTCTTGCAGAAAGGAAAATTGGATGGTTAAGACTGACTGTGGGGCTTTCTTAGAACAGAAGCAGACTTAGAGCTAGCTTTACTGAAAGGTTTTGAAATGACCCAGAATATACTCGCTTTTTGAACAGTGAAGTAGTACTCAGGAGGAGTTGATATAGTCACAAATCAGAGTTGCACTTGTTGCTGTCATTTCTGTTTGTCATCAAATTATCTAACTGATGGCCACTGTTTTAAGGTGGGTGTGGAGATGTGGTCTCAGAGAACTTTTGAAAGGCCCTAGAAGAACCCAGTAAGAGTGTTAGGAAATTGAGTTACCATGAACATGGTGTTTCACATGCAGTGGCTAGAAAAGCATTTGGTGCCACAGTAAGGGCAAGAACCATCAGTTAATTTACTGCTTAGTACCAACTGCTGGTTGGCTGATTATTCATGACAAGAAAAAAAATAGGGTAGTTTTGGAAATAAGTATGTCACATACTTCAGAACTTGGAGAATGTGCAATGTCCATACACACATGGCTGCTGCATTCTCTTTATGGCTGCATAGTATTCCATCATGTGGCTGCATGTATTTAACCAGTCCTTTCTTGGTAGATGTTTTTGGTCATTTCGAGTCTTTTACCACCACAAAAAAAATGCTCCATTGAATATCTTTGTAGGTCATTTCGGGCATGTTTCAGTATACCAACAGGATGAATTTCTGGGAAAAAATGCTGGTTTAAAGGATATTCCGTTTAAATTTTTGAGAGAATATCAAATTGCTCTCCTAAGAGGTTGTACCAATTTAAACTCCATCAGCAATGTAAGAGAGTGCCAGTTTTGCCACGCCCTCAGCCACACTGTATATTACCAAGCTTTTGATCTTTGCTAATCCAATAGGAGAAAAATAGCACCTTATTATAGTTTTAATTTGCATTAAGAGTGAGGTTGAGCTTCTTTTCATGTTTAAAAGCCGTTTATGAGCAAAGACATTTTAATGTCTGGCACCCGCCTTGAATCTAGAAATAATCTTTGCAGCGTGTCTAGTCTTAGCAGTGTAAACACTGGGCCCAGGTTTTAACTAGTTGGGAACCAACCCCTTAGAGTGCGCTAAGTACTTGACAGACAACTAGGGATGCAGTTTGAAGAATGTCATAATGGCTCCCTGGATATAGAAACCTCCAGCTCGCACCTCACGCATTTGCTCTCTGATACTCCCAGTTGCCCGGCCCCGTCATCTCCCATCTGCTGCTGCTCTGGCTCTGTGCAGATGCTCCTTGATGAAAAGGAGATTAGCAGGTGCTAAAGGTTATCACAGTCTTTTTCCTGGCTGTCTGCAAAAGGAGGGCGCTGGAGCAGAGCAGTGATTTTCAGGCGGTGGGATTTGTTGTTGTTTCATTCTTTTAAGTATTAAGAGCCTTTTTTGAAATGAAGCCTTTGGGGAATCCTGATACACAAAAATGTTTGCAATTAGAGCTGAGTTGGTTGAAGGAATAGAGACCCTGGAACCCATGCCCATAGCCTGCCATCTCTTGGTGCCCTCCCTGTTGTGATCCATGAGGCATTTCTGTGAAGCCCTAAGGCTCCTCAAGGCACTGTTTGAAAACCACTGGACCCAGTGATGTTTGAAGTTTATTCTGTGGTGACTTATCAGAGGTGTTTGAGCATCACCGAATAGGGAAGACTTTGGAGAGAAAATGGCCAGCTTTCTGAAGCAGCTTACATCAGAAACACAATATGAGACCGTCGGTCCTCAAGGCTCTGTAAAGCCTGTATGCTGCTAATGAGCAGTATATTCCGTACTCAGAATTTCGTCACCTGGTTGTGTTTGCTGGTCTTGTGTATTTTTTATTTTGCATATACTTTGAGCACCCAATATCTTTGTAGGTCATTTTGGACATGCCTCAGCATATCAATAGGATGAATGCCTGGAAAAAAATGCTGGCTTAAAGAGTTTATGTTTAAATTTTTGAGAGTATCAAATTGCTCTCCTATAAGCCTTTGTGGAACCCTGACATACGAAAATGATTGCAGTTAGAACTGAGTTGGTTGAAGGAAGAGAGATCCTGGAACTACACTGCGCACACTGGATTTCCATTGGTGACCGATGGAACATAAAGTCTAATGGGAGATTCAGACACTGAATAGTACACACAAATAGATACACAAAACAAATATATAATCACATATTGTGATGAGCCGATATAAAGGGAAAGAGCAGAGTGCTCTGTAAGACATCATGTAAGTGGCCTAAGTTAAATAGGGGAGTCAAGGGAGGGCCTTCCTTATTGGGCAAGTTCTGTGTGTACTGAGATATGAAAAGTGACTTGGAGTTAACCAGATGTGAAGGACTCCAGACAGAGAGAACAGCAGATGCAAGAGTTCCAAAACAGGGAAATGCTTGCTGCACTGGGGGAACAGGAAAATGGGCTAATGGGCAACTGGGAGGCCGGAGAGCCAGGTAGGGACTGAATCTTGTTGGGGCTGTGCAGGCCAGGGCAAAGAGCTTATTCTGTGTATAAAGAAAGTACTAATGCCTGTCGTGAATAGCCAAGGTGATCGTTGTAACACTTTACTTACAGCCCAGTGGTTCCCAGACACAGGTAATCTCAGGCACCTCCACGAGCAAAGTTTAGGAGAGGAGGGAAGTCATTTGAACCAAAGACCAGCAACTCTCGAGAATAGCACCACAGCTGAAGACATCGAACAGTTTTTGCTGAACTACCTCAAAGAGAAGGATGTGGCAGATGGAAACGTCTCGGATTTTGATAATGAAGAAGGTAATTTGTTTAATTTGGCTTAGCTGTTTTTTTCTTTCTGAAACAGATTATTATAAAAATGGTGAAACATCGTTAGAGAGTGGAAATAAGAAAAGTCACTCATAATCTCACCAGACTAACATAGCTGTTCTCCTGTTTTGTGTCACCTTTTTCCCTTCTTTTCTGTTGCAAACCTGTTTTTACGTGGTTGCAGCTGTGTACCCTTTTTGTCTTTAGCTATAAGCAACTATCCTTGTTGCTGTTGAGTTTTGATAATTAATGTTTTAATAGCTGTTACTAAGTATCCATTCCCCTGTAGGACATTTAGGTTGCTTCTGGCTTAATAATAACTCTAATAAACAGGCTGCAGTGTATGATTCTGTGCATGTGACCTTTTCTCTCTCTTTTCTTTTTTTTTCATATTTCTTTAAATTCCCAGAAGTAGGATTTCTGGGTCAAGGATATGAACATAATTTAATGCTTGCAAAATTGCCTTTCAAAAAGGTTGTGTCAATTTGTACTTTTCCTTCAGAGTAGCACGATGAATACTGGTTTTACCACAGCCTTACCAACACAGGCTATTTCCAGCTTTACACCTTCCTAAATTAATAGGTGAGAAATGGTTCTTGTTACTCTACCTTGCATTTCTTTGATTGCCAGCAAGGTTGAATGTCTTTCTATAAGCTTCTTTCCTAACAGGTTTTTTCCTTCTGCCCATTGTCTGTTCACATGCTTTGTCCTTTTGTTTATTGGTGGGAGGAGATTTCAGTATTTTTCTTACCAATTTATATGATAAAGAAGAAGGGAGTTCAGGCTAGTTGAAGCTCTGGCCTGTTGTTTTATTCACAAGCTCAATCTGGAGCTTCAGGTCATGGAAAGATTAATAAATTATTAGAATCTCTTCTGCAAATATAAAATGCCAAGTCATAATGAGCTTGGTGGTCTCCGAACCATCCTAAATCGAACTGAGTCCCAAATTAGTTTGTTAGGTTGGAATAAAACAGATTTCTTTTTCTTTTCTTTTCCATTTTTTTTGTTCCACCCACCCCCTCCAACCCCCCGCCTGGCATCCTTTTGGTGATCTCCATTGTGAGACTCTGGTGAACTGAAGCCAGTACTTCCAGCAGTATAACAGGAAGTAGTGCTCGATGCAACTCACTACAACAAATTCCTTCTAAATAGCAGAGAAGCAGCGGAGGACCCAAATAACGATTTATGCAGAGTTGAGTCCCCAAGGACAGAGTTTTCTGATCAGAAATCTATCAGGCTTTTTCTTCTCAGATGTGTTTCTTGAGCCAACCCAATGCTTTTCGTGAACTGCACCCTTTCACCCAAACCTGGAAATGCTGACTCAGGGGAGGCATTCTGATCCCTCATAATCCAGATTTGCCATTCTTGTTTAAAATTTGAGCACTGTCAGTGAAACCATTCCTTCATGATTCAAATCTTCTGGTGCTAGCTGATGCTCACTTACAGCAGACAATGAATCTAATTCTTCTTCCAATAACGGCAAAATCCACGTCCCTCAACTAACATTCTGCAATAGGTGAATTTCAACAAATTCCTCTCTGGGGGAAAAAAAAACCCAGGCCTATCATCCTTATGCTTATCATTCATCAAGTACACACCACACACTTGGCATTCTAAGGAATGTTTGCCTCAATTCTGGCTTGACATGAGTGTTTTGTTTTAAGCACATAAAAGCACCGGGTATATCTGAGGTCCCTTTCTCCAAGAAATCCAAGCGTTCTACAAATGCATTTTCATTCATCTTTTCAGCATATGTTAGAGACAGGTGCAGCCTTCACTGTAAGAGTCTATCTTTCCAGCAGAGGAAACTGAAATGGGAAAAAGTTAAGGGAGCAGTGCTCTGCTCAGTGGAAATGAGCACAGCTGGTAATGGGGGTCGGATATGAGGCTAGGAGCTGTAAGAAGATCAGGAAAATTTTTCAGGATAGGGATGTTGGCCTGTGTTTCATGCAGTTCTCAAATCTTGTGGTGATGTTTCTGTTGACAAACTTATCTATCTCATGCAACGCAGCACTCTAAGCAGTGAGAATAATGGCTCATTTAATGCTCTTGATAGCATATGAGGTATACATGCTGTATCCCCTTTTTTTCCCAATGAGAGAATATAGGATGAAAGAAGTTGCTAATAGGTTGTAGAGGCAAGACTTGATCCAACCTCCTGTAACCAAACTCCATGCCCTATGAACTACACCAAGCTGCCCTTGTTACCTCACCTACGAAGATAAGTAAGGCTTGATTTTAGCCATCAGAAGTTCTTAATCAAAGGATGAACCAAGAGGAGAGGAAAAAGTGAAGGGCAGAGCAGAGGCCAGTCATGGAACTGCCCAGCCTCAAGACTCCACACGAGAACTGTGCTTTTTTTTTTTTTTTCTTTTGGGATGGAGTTTTGCTCTTGTTGCCCTGGCGGGAGTGCAGTGGCACAATCTCAGCCCATTGCAACTTCCGCCTCCTGGGTTCAAGCAATTCTCTCACCTCAGCCTCCCAAGTAGCTGAGATTACAGGTGCCCACCACTATACCTGGCTAATTTGTGTATTTAAGTAGAGACAGGGTTTCACGATGTTGGTCAGGCTGGTCTCGAACTCCTGACCTCAGGTGATCCACCCACCTCAGCCTCCCAAATATCTTGTTTTTATCTTAAATATTCGTTAATGGAAATTTAGAAAAGACCAAAGGCATAGGGAAAAAATTTAAGTCGTTATCTCATTACCCTGTCACTTTTAATATTTTGCTGTTCTTCCTCCTATGCAAAAACTTATGTATGTAGCAGTGTTCATGCTGCATATGCAATTTTGTATTATGCTTTTTGTCTTTTTAAGACAATATTAAAAGAAATTAAGACAGTATTAAAAGAAATAAGCATTTCTTTTGTCATGAAAACCCGTGCTAAGCCTGATGTACTGGCTCACAACTGTAATCCCAGCACTTTGAAAGGCCACAGTAGGAGAATTGCTTAAGCCCAGGAATTGGAAACCAGCCTGGGCAACATAGCGAGACACCCGTCTCTACAAAAATTTTAAAAATTAGCTGGACATGGTGACATGCACCTGTAGTCTTAGCCACTCGGGAGACTGAAGTGGGAAGATCACTTGAGCCCATAAGTTTGAGGTTATAGTGAGCCATGTTCACACCACTGCATTTCAGCAGACAAGGGGACAGAGCAAGACCCTGTCTCTAAAAAAACTAAAAAATAAAGCCATGCTAAAAACAAATTTTAGGGACCTCATAAAATGCCATTACATGGCTATACCATGGTTTCTGTAACCACTCCCTCTTGAATGGAGGTGTCTCAGTCCATTTGTGCTGCTGTAGCAAAATACCTAAGACTGGGTAATTTATAAAGAACAGAAATTTAGGTATCTCTGTTTTATTACTCATACAACACTGTCCCCAGTTGTGCTCTTTTTCCAGAGGAACAGCCAGTCCCTCCCAAAGTGGAGGAGAATGACACCCATCCAGATGTGGAGCCACCACTGCCGTTGCAGATCCAAATGGCCATGGACGTGATGGAACGCTGCATCCACTTGTTGTCAGATAAAAATCTGCAAATCCGCCTGAAGGTCAGTGTGCAGCCCCTTCTCTGCGGTCCTGGAGCAGCAGGACTAAGGTGTGGCCTGGTTGGCAGTGGCTACATGGATGAGCACATCGCTTCTCTTATCTCCTGGGCCATGTGTCATGGCCAGGAGAAGGCATCAAAAGGAATTTATCTGTGGAGTGCCAGGTTTACATCTTTCTGTGTCTGCTCAGATGCCAAAGAGAGCTGAGTCTCCTACATTAAAAAACGCAAGTCTTGGTGATTCAGAGAATCTCCAAGAAAAGGAAAGCCTTGTGCTTTGGAAAGGATGTTATTTTCTCAGCTATGTAGGATGCAGGCTTTAATACTTTAAAGATGTCATTCTTTCAAGCCTGACACCAGCCCTTATGTCTTTCTCTGTTTTCATCCTAGGGAAAAACTGAACACTTTCTAATATATCCTGGCTTGCTGGCAGTTTGTCAAACAGCACCCCCATCAGCAGGGGCTGAAAGTATACAGTAGTGACTGCAATAACAGGACAGTGGAGTGGGGTAGAAGTGGAGGTCAGGGCTTTCAGAATCACCCCAGAGAAGCCCTTACACCCAAAGGGAAACAGCATTCCTCCCCACCCCCGAGCAGGAGCGAGAAACACAGCTGCCTTAGTGACTCACTGCTAGTGATGAGAGTGCATTGCCTTGCCCAGGGGTGCTGGGCTAGGAAACCCTGATCCGCAGGTTATCTCAGATCTCAGGGTCTGTGTTTAGTGTTCCCAAGACAGCTCTTAGCAGTCATCTGTTGTTCCATTCAGCGAGCACTTTTTACATGCAAGGCTTTAATGTCGCTGCCTGGTTGATATATTCAGCATACTCCTGTATATCCTTCAAGACCTTCCCTTTTTTAGAGGATTTGTAGCAGCTATATACATACCATAGTTCTTAAGAACCTCAGTGTTGGAGTCAGACCTACATACCTGAGTCAATCCAAATCCTGATTCTGCCTATTAGCCATGTGATCGTGAGTAAGTTAATTCACTATTTTGAGCCTCAGCATCTTCATCTGTAAAATGAAGATGATGGTAGCTACCTCACAGGGTTGTTGCTTATAAATATAAAACAGCATGAAAGAAGACACACTCATTCATTTACTAAATGCTTATCGAGGACTACTTTAGGTCTGCCAGGGGTATGTAGAGAGAATGATGCAGACACCATCCCCATCTTCACGGAACTTCCTGTCTGTTGTGGGGAGAGGTGATACACAGATTCACACAGACATATTGGAGAAAGGCTGTCAAGGTAATAGCAGGTTCTATTTGATAGAAAATAGTAATTCACCCATGCAGCAGATATGTGTTGGAAACCTACTCAGTGCAAAACCCTGCTAAGACAGAGCTTACTTTCGGGTTTAGACTAGGTCATTGGGGAAGGCCTCTCTCTGAGGTGGTAACATTTCTCAAGGCTGGGAAGGAGGCATCTATGCAAAGGGGCAAAGGCAAGAACATTCCAGGGAGAGGAGAAATGTGCATCTTTGAGTCAAAATGAAATATAATGTAACTTGTCCCATTAGTGACAGAGCTGAAATTCCAAACCTGTCAGTGATACCAAAGCCATTTCCACCCTGCTCTCTACCATGCAGCTGAGCTTTCTCTTAGTCCCTTGCCTAACTATTAACCCCTCAATGGCAGGGCCTCTTCTGTTCCAGTCTTAGTGTGGGCCAACACATAGTAGGCACCCAGGAGGGTTTACTGCTTTGTGCTGGCCAGCTTCCCTCTGTCTTGCTAATGAGTGGCCATCTAACCTGGAGGGAAGCCTGCACTGGCCGTCTGCATGGGAGGGAAGCCTGTGCTGGCCATCACACTGACTGCTGCCTGTGACACTGATGTAGGCCGTCTCTTCAGTGAGTTTGAGATGTAACAGATCAGGAAACAAGGAAAGTAAAATAGCAGTTTACATGGAGGGTAGCCCAAACCTTTCTTGTGAGGTTAGCCTGCACCTCAGCTGCTTGCTTGGCCTCTCCGTGTAGTGGTAATAGAACTCCATCTTGGCCGGGCGCGGTGGCTCAAGCTTGTAATCCCAGCACTTTGGGAGGCTGAGGCGGGTGGACCACGAGGTCAGGAGATCGAGACCATCCTGGTCAACATAGTGAAACCCGTCTCTACTAAAAATATATGTATAAAAAAATTAGCTGGGCACGGTGGCACGTGCCTGTAATCCCAGCTACTCAGGAGGCTGAGGCAGGAGAATTGCCTGAACCCAGGAGGCAGAGGTTGCGGTGAGCCGAGATCGCGCCATTGCACTCCAGCCTGGGTAACAAGCGAAACTCCGTCTCAAAAAAAAAAAAAAAAAAAGAACTCCATCTCTCCTAGCCACTCAACTTTCTCATCCCATATGGCTCCTGTCTCATTCAGTGGCACCTGCATCCCTTCAGTTGCTACACCTGAACCGAAGCAGCCTTTTTTTTTTTTCTTTTTTTTTTTTTTGAGAAGAAGTCTCACTTTGTTGCCCAAGCTGCAGTGCAGTGGCTCAATCTCAGCTCACTGCAGCCTCCACCTCCCTGGTTGAAGAGATTCTCCTGCCTCAGCCTCCTGTGTAGCTGGGACTACAGGCATGCACCACCATGCCCAGCTAATTTTTTTGCAAACATATGTTGGCCAGGTTGATCTCAACCTCCTGACCTCATGACTCGCCCTCCCTCAGCCACCTAAAGTGCTGGAACTACAGGCGTGAGCCACCACACCCTGCCCAGCAGCTCTTTTAAAACACTGTCTTCCCCTGCCCAGCATCCAGTCCTTTAGCAGATTAAGCCACATCATCTCCGAAACAGAGCTCCAGTCCTTTCACTTCTCTGCCTCTGCCGCCATCACGTGGCCACATCACTTTGCTCCTCTCATGTGCATCCTAAAGGGCCTCTTTGTTTCTCTATCCCCCTTCAAGTCTCTTCTCCACTCAGCAGCAGAATGACCTTTCTAAAACATGAATTGTGTCATGTCACTTTCCTGCTTAAAACACTTTGATGGCTCCCCACTGCACTTAGTACAAAATAAAAAAATTCCTAACAAACCCCTTTGTAGTTGGGCACCGTTTTACCTCTTCTCTGTAAGGCTCCACGCCACCCTTCTTTCACTTCCTCTGAAAGCTCCGTTCCACCTCTGAGTCTTCCTCTTCACGGGTTCCAGTTGCATGAATCTTCACAGAACTAACTCCTGCTTATCCTTTGTGTCTTCTTTTAGAAGCTACTTCCCCAGAAAAGCCTTCCCAGCAGTCTGTAGTTTAGATCCTTCCCTTCGTTTTTTTGCATTTCACCTTTGACTTTCCTCCTTGTCACAATTGCTAATCATCTCTTTATTTGGATGTTATCTAATTAAGGTTTTTCCCCAGTGACCATGAACCCTGCGAAAGCAAGAAAACATGTATTTTGTCCCTGTCTGTCCCCTCTGTACCTACCTAGTGCTTGGCATGTAGTCAGCACTCAGAAAACAATTACCAATTAATACGTTTCTAAACGTTATTCTTTGAAAATGGCGACTTGATCCCAGGTATCTGGTTTCAAGCCTATGCCATCTGCTGAAATCATGTCTCTTTCAGGTCTTGGATGTGCTGGATCTGTGTGTGGTTGTGTTGCACTCCCACAAGAACCAGCTGCTTCCCTTGGCTCATCGGGCCTGGCCCTCACTCGTGCACCGACTCACCCGGGACGCCCCCCTGGCAGTGCTCAGAGCCTTCAAGGTACTGTACCGGCACCTGCCACGGTCTGTCGTGAGGGTAGAGTTAGTAGGCACAGAACTCACTGGGGCCTTTTGGATTGTTGCAGTTTACATGGAGGGTAGCCCAAACCTTCACAGTATGTCACATGCTGTGAAGGAAGTATAGAAACATAAGAAAAGCACACAGAGAAAAGTAACAGTCATTGTCCTTTTGAATTTGAAACAGAGTGAACTAGTAGATGAAAAGGGCAGGCAGTAAGCTCAGCACTCCTCCACACAGGAGCTCACCTCCTTACAACCACCTTGCAAGGTAGGTATATTGTCTTTACTTTTTACAGAGGAAGAAAGAAGCTCAGAGAAGTTAAGGAATTTTCTCTTGATCGAATGGCTAGTAATTGATAGGAACCCAGAGCAGTGAGTTCAAACCATGGTCTTTGCACTGCACAGGAATCAAGGTGAAGGGGCCAAGGTTCTGGCAGTGGGCATCCTCTGCCCAGATGAGTGATGCTGGCAAAACTCAGGACCACCCATTTTCATGTTGGGCTTAGGAATACCTAGCCCACCTTTCTCGTAGTGTTGTCAGGGATAAAATGGGACTATTTGGTGGAATGCTTTGAAAAGCCAGCAGCCCTATGTATATATAAGATATTATTCTCCCTGACTTCGTTTGGCTTACATTAGCATGCATATTTTAGCTTATTTATTTATATCTTCTTGTTCTAAAAAGCCCTTAAGGCAACCTATGGAGATACATACCACAGCAAGCTATGTTAGAAGATGGTGCGCAAGAGGAGGCAGAGGGAAAGATGTGTAGGGACACAAAATGAAGCTGGTAATGCACCGAATACACTTGGCCAAAGTAGTTTGGTCTTCTCTAACTTCTTCAGCATATACTAGATAAATATATAAAAATAAAACATATTTATGTTAAAATATAAAACACTGTTAATGTTTTTTCCCAAAACCAAATGCACATAATGACACCTGTGCAGGTGTATGTATGTGTGCCAAAGAAGGAGGGAGGTTAGGGGAGAGGGAGGGAGGTATTGCTAAATCTCATCCAGATGTACTGATGAAAATTAATAGGCTGTCTGAAATAACAGCAGTGCAGAAAAATGAAAAAAATATAAAGATGTGTGCGCAGTAACTGAGGCTGCTTTTCCCACGTGCAGACACGATGATGACACTGAGGCCTACAGAAGCTGTGCCATTCCGCTGAGGGACCTGAAATGAGAGCCTTGTTCTCTGCAAAACCAGCAAATACTCTGTGCTGGTTATGCCTCGCTTACCAATTTTTTAAAGAAATTCTTTTTATCCTGTATACTCAGTCTTGTGCAGCGGGGCAAAACGTTTCAATATGTTCTGCTAGAGAAAGTTTAAAACGAGACATGCAAAGAAACTATCTGTTGTGAAAGACAGAATGAGGGTGATGTGCATAACAGATTGTACAGCCAAACAGAAGGAACACTGGGTCGGCTGCCCCTGCAGGGACCCTGCCTTGGTTCAGCCCACGGACCTCGGCCCAGTCACTGACCGCCTGATGCCTGCGTGTGGCAGCAGCTGGGCTGTGGTGTTTGTGATTTGCTCAGCTAGCTAGAGTTAAAAGCACACATATTTTCTCAAGGGATGTTAGGAAGATTCAAGCAATGATCTATGTGAACTGCTTTAAGCTCTTCTTTTTTTTTTTTTTAACAAAAAGGGGAGGGAAATCAAGATATTAATCATATTATTCATCCAACCCAAGAACCCTTTGAATTATTCTCCGTGTAATCTGTATTTATGGCTAGAAGCAGCCATGCCTTAGGAGCAGAGACCTCCAAATTCATAACTGTCAAAATCACAAACCACGGGCAAGGAATTAACAGCAGTAATTCTATTTTTTTCTTTCCCAGGCAGAGACCTAGATGAAATCAAATTACCAAGCATTCTTTAGCTCTCTTGCTGCCTCGGCAATGTTCACTCACCAGGTTGGGGGCTGTTTCTGCAGGTTTTACGTACCCTGGGAAGCAAGTGTGGCGACTTTCTACGCAGCCGGTTCTGCAAAGACGTCCTGCCAAAGCTGGCTGGCTCCCTAGTCACCCAGGCCCCCATCAGTGCCAGGGCTGGACCAGTTTACTCACACACGCTGGCCTTCAAGTTGCAGCTGGCTGTCTTACAAGGCCTGGGCCCCCTCTGTGAGAGACTGGACCTAGGTGGGTACCAGGCAGTTCCACCTGGACACACACACTCAGTATCTGTCTCACCCTTGCCATCATGCCCTCTGCTCAGTCATGCCCCGCCCCCTCCCCTCCGTGCACCTCCTTTAGTCTTACTTTGGCCTCATTGGTCCGTTTATCTTGATGTGTGCTTTGACTGGCGGGATGGAGTAGAGAGCCCTGGGCATCTTGCCTAGCCATTGCAGTTTCCCCAGACACAGCTGGTCACTGCTTGTCCCAAATGAAGTCTGAGGGCCGATGCTTGTTTTGTTTTTCTTTTCTGCAGGTGAGGGTGACCTGAATAAAGTGGCTGATGCCTGCTTGATTTACCTCAGCGCCAAACAGCCCGTGAAATTACAAGAGGCTGCCAGGAGGTACGTCTGCCTGATCACCCGCATCCCTTTACGTTTGTTCTAAATTACAGATGATTTGCTAATGGCAAGCAGAGTTGAGGCATCTCTGCTCTTTTCTCTCTCTCTCCCTGCCAGGTTAAGATCATTTCTTTAACTGTGCCAACACTAGAGATGGTATTTTTACTAGATGTGTTTCTCTTTGCCAGTAACCTTTTCCTCTGCTGCAAAGTCAGCAACAATTCCAGAGGGTCAAGAAGTAGAAAGACGATGTGCTAGAGAGGACGCTGCTTCGAGGGGAATCTGCTGCTAGGCCTGGAGACCAGGTGCCTGGTGCTTCTTCACTCCTGGGCTCCTTAAAAAGCAAAGCAAAAGCACTGGGTTCCTGATGTGGCATACGTCGACTCCATGGCAGGTCTTAGATGGGCATCAGTGCCATGAATCTTCACAAGTTCTGTGCAAAATTGTTTGTGTGCAGGCAGGTGCACATATGCCTTTTTCCAGATAGATGACCATTTATCCTGTTCTAATAGGAATCTGTGACCCGGAGAACATGAAGAGCTGCCAGACTAATGGCTTAAAGGGCCTTTTCTGATTCTGAAACTAGGTGATTCTAATTTCCAAGAGTTTGACCATACTTATTTGAGAATAGCTATACCACCTCTTCGAGAAGAAGCTATTTCTGGTTACTTTAGTCCTAAGAGCCGAAACTGAGCACGACAGCATTCCCCGGACATGATACCCAAAATCCCCTCTGCCCCTCTTCTCCCAGCTTTCTTTCCAACTGGGAGCAGCCTGCATCCGGGAACTGCCATCCCAGGATGTCTGCTGCTGAGGCAAAAGCTGGGCTTGGCACTGTGTGTTGTTCTGGCCCTGCAGCTCCTCCAGCCTCACCAGCTTCATGCCTGGAGCAGAATCCCCACTTCTTCCTAGCTTCTAGAGGCACATCCCTGATCCTCTTCAGTGGAGTGAGAGTTCGGAGTCAACTCATTCCCTGAGGGGCCAAAGGGCTGCTCTGACTGCAATGAGGAGAGCCAGCTTGCCCCCTTATAAACCTTGCACTCCCTGGGACTGACGGGAATATCTTCTTGCTTGAATTGATTTATTGTCCTTTGCAATTATTTGCTCTTGATTTCCCATTTCCTTTTTCTTCCTGTCCCTTTCCCATCACATTCCTTAGTCCCAGAATCAGTCATAGTTTCGTGAGCATAGGGTTGCATCCTAACCAGCTTCTCATCCTCAGGCATTTTTATTCCTTACAGAATCAACTTGGGGTGAAAATAGTCCTCCCTGGGTGGTGCCTCTGAAGCTGACTGTGCTGTGATTTAAAGTGCAACTCAAGAACATAATGAATTTATCTTGAAGTAAATTATTTTAGATGCCTGTTACAGCCAAGAGTTACAAAGGTCTGATTTTCACATTCCCCGTTCCATTCTACTTTTCCTACACCCACCCCATCCCATCCTTCAAGTTTAGAACCATCAAATAAGCTAATATTCTCAATTCATTATCTTTTCATTTCTAATTCTCTTTTTTGCCGCTGAAAGCAATTAAACCCGGAATTAGACCTTGCTGAATCTTGAGCTGGTATTCAGGGAGCCTCAGGTGAGGAACACGCAGCCTGACCACTTGACTGCAGCCTCCTTTGTTTGCTCCAGCACATTCCATTCAGGGGTTGTCAGATGGCGTCCCTCCTGACAGGCAGGGAGGGGGAGGAAGAGCTAGGTGGATTGCTTCACACACAGCACCTGCAAACTTATCTTGAAGGCAAGGGAAGGGGGGTTGGCTGGGGATGTGGGGGGAATCAGTGTTGTCCTTGATCAAGAGCTGATTTGGCATCTTGATTCAGAAATTAATAACTCTCTAAGTGGGAAAAGCCTGAGACAGTAGGAAACCTGGTCAGGTCTCTCTGTGAGCCTCATTACTGCATGGTAAGAGTAGGGGTGGGTGGGCCACTTAGTATGGAAAAGTCATACCTACTGGTAAGGAGGAACAAAGTCCCTTGCATGAGGCAGTTTCCCCATCTCAGCACAAGGCCCTGCAGTCCATCCCATTGTTCATTCTTAATTCTTCTCTTTCCTTCACACCCCACATCCGTGACAAAAAGTAAAGCCTGTCTACCTCACTTGGAAAATTGCTCTCAAAATGACTTCTCTCAAAACAACACCTCCAAGCCACTAGGCAAGGCCACCATCATCTCCCACCAGAACAATGAGAGCTCACCACCGGTCCCACTTCCACTCCTGCCCCCTCTGGGTATTCTCCATACCACAGTCAGAGTGACACACTTACACACGCTTACCCTCATGGGAGAAGAAAAAGCTGTGTTCTGTGCAGGAGCCCAAGCGGGAGCCTTGGCTTAGTTTTCAGAAGAGCCAGAGAGGACCAGAGATAGTAGTTTCTGACCCTGGGCAGATGACCAGCTTGCATTAAAAGTGGCTCTTCTGTCTGCCAGAGAGCTGATGAGGGAACCTCTCAGGGCGGGAGGCTGCTCCAGGGCCTCCTGCGTTCTGGAAAGATATGGCTGTGCATCTGCCCTATAGGGCAGCAGGGTCTATGGGCCCCTCTGTTGGGTGTGCTTGGGACCTCTGAGGGGGCACCTTCATCGAGTTGGGGTGGAGGCAGACTTGGCAGCTCCATGTGAGTTCCTCTTTATGTACATCACACTTGGGTTTTTCCTTGCTCCCCTTTGCTTTTCCTGGCTCCGAAGAATGACCAAACTTGTGTTTGCTTTTTTAATTTGTCATATTAAATATAGCCTTTGTGGCAGGCTTTTACATCCAGGCTGTAAACTCTAGAAATGGAAATTGATCAGGGGGTGGTTGATATAACCGAGGTTGTAAATGCTAAGAACGGAGATGCCATTCCAGTTTAATGCTTTTATCTAGTGAATGTGCCTTGTATGGAGGGGGCATAAATCTTCCAACGGGGGGGGGGGGGCATGGAGGAGGGGCAGCGGAAGGTGGGGGCAGGGTGTGACCTTGCTGTGTGTTACCACCAGGTGTCACTGTTACCTGGCAATGCAAAAAAAAAAAAAAAATGCTAGCTCCCCCAAAGTCCCTCTAGTTAAGTAACTTCAGTGGGTAACAAATATGCAAATCATATTTGGGGTATGGGAAGAAGGCTTAGCATACCAGGAGCTAAAAATAAGGCAGTGTCCCGGAGGGTAGGCATTGGATTACAGACAACAGGTCAGATCAGCCACACCCCTGTCTCAGCCAACTGCAGAGGTGAACTTGCTGATTGGAATTCTCAGCCTCCAAGATTCTCCCAGCATGTCCTGGGCCTTCACAATTCTTTGTCTTTTTGGCCGTGGAGCTTTTCCCTCCTGTACATGAAAGGAATTTGAAACTAGAGCGTACACCCCAAATTTCTGTTTTTCCTTCAAGTCAGTACATGTACTTAGCCTGGTTTAACTCCATTAAAACCAGACTCCTTGGGCCAATCTTAACAGACTCTGAGACTCCCTGGCTTTTGCAGTGAGGTTTTATATCATTCAGTGAGCCTTTTACCGTGGGCTAAAAGGAAACAAAACTAGACAATACCTATTTTTGAAAAGATGAAGTCAGGCTGGGTGCTGTGGCTCATAATCCCAGCACTTTGAGAAGCTGAGGTGGAAGTATCGCTTGGGCCCAGGAGCTCCAGACCAACCTGGGCAACATGGTGAAAACCTGTCTCTACCGAAAATACAAAATTATCTGGACATGGTAGTGTGCACCTGTTGTCCTAGCTACTTGGGAAGCTGAGGCAGGAGTATCACCTGAGCCTGGGAAGGTCGAGGCTATAGTGAGCCATGATCACGCCACTGCACTCCAGCCTGGATGACAGAGTGAGACCCTGTTTTTAAAAAAAAAAAAAAAGATGAAGTAATTGCCCAACAAGTCTGACAATAGAGAACAAAGCTTGGCCTCCACCCCAGCCCTACCTCCACCTGCTAACCCCAGAGCCCAGATAGGGATGCAGGGTGCCCGCAGGTGGTGACCAGCTGGTGTACCTTCTGGCCACACAAGTCCTGGATGCTGTCATTGCAGCAGCCCCTGGTGCAGTGCTGAGGAGGTTGCCATTCCAGCTCCCTCTGCCTTACCATTGTGTGTGAGGACAAAGCACAGCAGTCTTGGTTTGGACAAACTGAGGTTCAGATTTACTGGCCATGGGACCTTGAGCAAATGATTTAGTGTCATTTCATTTTCTTCCTCTGTAAACTAGGGGTGATGAAAACCCCATTCTCATAGGGTCCTTGTGGATGAATCACATTCGTATGTTCAGGGAGTCTCCAGGTAGTGTTCTAGGACTGGAATTAGAGGAAACAAGATGGGGGCCTCTGCCCTCTGCTTTTGTTCTGAAGGCATATTTACATCTGTGTACATACCTATGTGGGGTACATTGTATGTAAATTTACCAAATATGTGATATATGATGTATGTGTTACACATACACATAGACACTTGGGCACAGAATTTCTTGTTGGAAGCCTGCTTCATCTTTACTAAAATCTGAATTGGGGTTTTCACCTCAAAAGGATCTTTTCATGTTAATTGTGCCACCACGGTTTGCAGAAGTCACAACCAGGTTTGAAGGTCCATTTACTGACTGACTTCCCTGCTCTCTTTCTAGCAGTAGGATCCCAGCCCATCAAAGAACCAGCTGGTGCCTTGAAACCCTGGACGAACACAGACTGGCACAGGCTTATTCATTTCATCCCCGTCAGAGTCCCAACTCCTCTCTTTACCCACACATGAGCCTATTCTATTTGAACGGATGAGGAGCCACAGAGGTGATCTATTAGTTCAGCTGAGCTTGAAATTAGTAGCGCATCCCCTTAAATGGTATGGGCAGTTTGGCTGAGCCTGGACTGCAAAGCTGTTCCCCCTTGGATTGCACCCGGCATGGAAATGAGGGCACGCCTAATATTTTTTCCTTTTGACACTTGATTAATAGTTGACAAATCCAAACCCAAGTAGTTAGCTTTCCTATTATCCATCTTTTGACAGGCATTGCTGCTTTTCTTTTTGAGTCCCATTGTTCTAAAAATACACACAGATCTGAAGCTCTTCACTGCATATATAGACTTGATTTCACGGTGTCAAAGATAAGAGACATCTGCCAGGCAGATTACAAACCAAGTGGGTTGCTGGTTTCAGAACTGAAGGCAGGGACCTCTGGCTACTTAAATTCGATGCTGCCAATTCTGTCCCTACTTTCTTGGTGTTGCCGTATCACTGATAACCGGCCAGGGTCAACCGTCTTACCACCCAGTAGTAAGACCAAGCATGGGGTGTGTGTGCACAGCGTGTGCCGTGCCAGGCTGGGAGCAGAATGCTCTCAACAGATTGAGCCTGTTTGCAGCACCGCCTGCACAAAGTGGCTTTCAGTTGTCAGAGGTCATGGTCAACCACAGGGTAGTTATTTCCTCACTCTGCAGGCTCTGTCATCCCTCTCAAACACCTCAGAGGCGCGGAAGTAAATGTCTCAGTATCGAGTAAAGTAGCCAGGTGATCTCTATTGTCTTATTTATATGCGTATTTTAAGATTTTTATTGGGTCTCTTCTGATGAGCCAAGTACTGTGTTGAGAGTTAAAGATTTTCAAAGGTAACTGCCAAGGCCTCACATTGTTGTTCAATAGCAAGATAACCTTGGACAAATTAATTCACTTCTCAAAGTCTCTGTTTTCTCATCTATAAGACCAAAATAAGCATATATATTATTTTGCTTATTTTACCTAATACAATGACGACAAGGAACCAATAAAGTCAGGTAGCACAAAGTACCACCACAGAGTAAAAGTCACTATGTAGTAGTAGTTAATTATTATTTAAATTTCTTCTTATTCCCAAAATGACTTGGAACATCTTATAAATTGTTTGCAACAAAGAAAAAAAGGAAGTGAAGAAATTTTTTAAACAGAAAAATAACAGCAGAACCAAGATGAAACCAAGCTGAGGTTAATACAGACAATATGGTGAAGCTCTGCATCCTTGCTAGGGAGGAGCACCAGAGCGACTCTGTGCTTCCTGACCGACAGCAAAGAGGCAAATGGCACAGGAAGTACCCGAAGAAGAGTTTTTAAAAAAAGAAGGAAAGAAAGCTTTTTGGAAAGAAGCATGGCTTTCCTTATTACTGAACCTGAGGAAAATGTCTCCATGGGTCATCTTAGAAGAACACTGGGTACTGTCGTGACTAATATCCTCAATGTCCTTGCAGTAAATACAGAAGTACATTTCCTAGAGCTGCTTCTGAAGGCATCCGTGAGTGGAGGCTGCTGGCTTAGTGCCAAAGCACGGGTTACAGGAAAACACTTCAGGCAGGAGGGGGCAAGATAGGTAGGCTGCTATGAAGATGTCTTTATTTTCAAGGGTACATACCTTCCAGGGAGGGGCCGGAAACACTAAATGTGGCCTGAGAGTGCAGCCAGCTGGAGAAAAGGTCCGAGTCAGCCCTCACTGTGCTCAGCATAGAAGACCACTTTGATATCTGTGCCCAACAGCACCGTCATGGGATCTAGGCTTGCAGGGTTCCTGGAGGCAGGAGAGCTGGCCAGATGGAAAGGGCTGCTTTTAAATCTTGCCCCAGTGGGATTTAAACCCTCCTAGGTTCTGGCTTATTTTTGAATTGTCTGTAACAGATTGGGCCTCTCAGTGCCATATCCTTTTAAATATGCACAAAGCGATGGAGTCATTCCTCCACATTTCTGATACTTTATCTTGTGGCACTTCAGGGGTGTGGTGAGCATCATTCGCTTCTACTAGTGTTTATGCTTTTTAATCCTGCCCTTGCTGCATTTGAATATTTTTAATATTTAAATGTGTGAGTATGCATGTTGGCATTAGATCGATAGATGAATGGTTTTGAACAGGTAAATATAGTTAAGTCTGACGAGCATGTATAGCTGCAAAGGTAATTGGTAGTATTTATTTGGAGAGTAAATCGTCGCTTCAAGTCATAATCCTCCATTTCCAACATTTAGAAACAAAAAACGACCTCCGTGCAGAGGAATATAGCTAAATTGAATAGCAAGAAAGGACAGGCTTGAAATACTGGTTAACCAATGAACCGAGACCCATTAGAGTAAATTACCAAGTATAGAAACATAGCCCATTGCTTGCTGGCGAGGACGCATCGACACCCTGAGCATCCATTTGTTTAAAAGGAAATACAGAGCCTCATTTGCAGCATCAGCATGCACAGAGTGATGGGAGAAGAGATGGCCAGAGAAAAGGAGAGTGTGGAGGCTGTGCTGCCAGAGAGGGAACAATGGGAAAGCCAAAATAACATAATGGGTATGCCTGCTTTTCCACAAGTGAGCTTACTTTCCCATTGCATTTAGTCATGCCCACATAGAGAGAGCCTGTATCATGTTCCTAAGGAAAGATTTCTGAGTAACTTCTTAGAAGCCCCAAATAAATAAGCAAACAAACAGATCACAAAGCCACATGTTCTTTACCACTGGCATTTACCCTGACGGCTCATGAGAGCATTTTATAAATCCAGAAAGAGACAGAGAACAGCAGATCCCTCAAGCAAGTAATTGACAGAGGAAGAATAGCCTGTCACCCAGGAGAGCTGGAAGCCCTGCATTTCAGTTACAGTTTATTTAGCTTCATGGGCCTTCATTGGCTCATGGTTTTCTAGAGCTCCCTTTGAGCAGATGTTGTCTAGACAGATATGGTGAGAACATACTCTGTAATATTTGCTTCTGCAGCAGAGCAGAGGGGTTTCTTTTTGGTTTTGCCATATTGGGAGGCTGGGAGTGGGTGACGATCCAGTGCCCATGATTGAAAACTGTCAGCCGGACGCAGTGTCTCACACCTGTGATCCTAGCACTTTGGGAGGCCGAGTTGGGTGGATCACCTGAGGTCAGGAGTTTGAGACCAGCCTGGCCAACATGGTGAAACCCCATCTCCACTAAAAATACAAAATTTAGCTGGCCGTGGTGGCGCATGCCTATAATCCCAGCTACTAGCAGGGCTGAGGCAGGAGGATCACTTGAACCTGGGAGGTGGAGATTGCAGTGAGCTGAGATCGTGCCACTGCACTCCAGCCTGGGCAACAGAGCGAGACTCTGTCACAAAAAAAAAAAAAAAAAAAAGAAAAGACAAACTCATGTTCTGTTGGAGCTACTAGGGATCTTAGAACTGATCTGATCCACCCACTCTTTACAGAGAAGCAACTTGCCGTCCCCCTTCTCAGGAAGCCATGCCTGGTGCCACCCTGCACCTTACTTCCAGGATGGCCCTTGCCACATTGTGCCATGGGCTTCTGTGACCCCTTCGTCTACCCCAGCAGACAGGGAGCCCTGAGGACAGAGCCTTTTTTGTCCCTCTGTCTTTGTGCCTCAAGTACCTTGATTAGTGCCTGGGCAGGACCAGAGTCTAGTAAATGTTTGATGAACTAGAGAGGTAAGACTCAAACCCAGCTGACCAGATTCCAGGAGCACGTTTCCTCCCTCCCCATTCCCACCTCCTCGCCTCCAGCTTGCTCACTAGGAGCACCCCAATATTGATCATGGAGGAACAAGCAGCTTCTGCTGGTTTGGCATCTGGAGTTCATTAGGTACTTACTGATGGCTGTCAGTTGTGGATAGGGCTGAAGTGCAGGCAAATGGCTGCCTGCATGGAGTGAAATTCAATAAAACCGCATTTTAAGTGAAAAATCAGTATAAACACCAGGCTTCTTTACCATGGAAACAGGTTGCTTAGAAACTGCCTAACAGCGAGTTCTAAATTTTTTAAAGTCAAGTTATCATTTAAGCTACACAGCCCTACAGGTTATTGAGAGATAATCACTCGCCTCAGGACACTCAGAGGCATGCGGCACAGCTGAGTGCCTCCCAATACTCTGGGGACCAGATAATCTCTTGATAACTGTGCTCCCTGGAGCCACTGATTTGGGCCTGGGGGAAGGAGAAAGAAATTTTTGTTCAGGAGTTAAATGGTGTACATATATTTTTTAAAAAGTATTTCTCTTTGGGTTTGAAAAAAGATGGAACTGGCCATTTGGTGTGTTCAACAGCCATCCCTGCGCATCACAAGATGTATTGGGAACATTTTCCAGGCAGTTACCCCAGTCACTTCAAAGCAGAGGTCCTGTCTTTGTCTTCTGGCTTTGGCTTATGCAAAAGGAGTTTTCAGTGACTTCGGCTTTCAGCCCTTCACTATCTAGAGGTCCCTCTTCCCAGCTAAGGCTGGGCAGGAACTGGCCCCAGGACAAAGTGGCACCAGAGTTTGGAACAAAGCCTGGTGCTGAGCACTCAAATCAGACCTCCTGGGCCTCAGGCTCAGCTCCCAGGGGCTTAAAGCCAACAAGGGTGTGGGTTCAGAATTTGCGGGTGTTTAGAGTTCAGCAGGCCGCGTGCCTCTCAGGGAGCAAGAGCACAGCTATGCCTGCCAGCCATCTGGTTGCATGGCACAGCATTTGCTCCCCACCTCGGGCATGCGGAGAACAGAGTATATTGCATTCGTTTCTTCCTGAAAATGATAGGCGAAATTAGAGCCCCACTGGCTGAGAATTGGTACCCCCACCAAGTCAGTATGGAGGAAATTATGAGTGAAACAAAAGACAAATGTTTTGCCCTTTTCAGGTGTCTGAAAATTATCCATGGCATGGTGATGCTGCTGAGATTGGTAGTGATAATTATGCCTCGGACTCACTTTCTCTCACTCTCACTTACTCTCTGGAAGGAAGGAAGGAATACTGTTTTCATTACATACTTCAAAGTGTTTTCCTACACCTCATCTCTTGAGAGCCTCAGAACAAACTTGTGAGGAGAGTGGGCTGGGTGTGATCATCTTCCTTTGAAGAAAGAGGAGACAGGTTCATGAGGCAAAATAACTTGTTCCAAGCCACAGAGCTGGGGGAAGGAACATGCATTCCTGCCATTCTGGGGCATCTGCCCCTTTAAGAGTGAAGAAATGAGACCCAAAACAATCCTTCCAAGAGTTTGACTCTTGCTTAATAAGAGAAGGTGAACTTTGCACGTTTTTCCTTGCTTTTCTGTTAATATTTCATTTGGTTATCTTGCAGGGCAAAAAGAGTGGCTGATTTTCTTTTCCTTTCCTGCCAACGAATATAACATTTATATTTCGCATGTTAAAAAGAGCTCAGAAAATGAACATTGCAGCATTTTCATGCCGTGTAAGTCAGAGCGCAGCTATGACTGAACTGGGCCGTGGCATCACTTTGCTGGGTGTTGCCCAGATAAAAATATTCCTTGAAGCTGGGAGAGCGCCATGCTGTAGCTTGAGAAATGGTTCCAGCTCTTGAAAGGGGGAAAAAAAATCAAATGAAACCATTTGCATTCTAACAGTCTTTGGCACCAGGGAAAACTGTCAACTGTGTCACGTGTAAATAGAAATCTGCTTCCCAGTTTTGGTGCGTGTTTTCGTAATTTCCCTTGCCACTCTAATTATCAAAGATATTTTTATTTTTAAACAAAAATTGTCTCCCATGCAGGCCTCATCTCCTTTCTGCGGTGAAGTGGAAACGATGAATTAGAATATTCTAATCACTTCTCCAGCAACCACTGTGGAGGTTATAAACACAAGATTATCCTAAGCAAAGAAAACTTAAATTGTTTGGGCACAGACAGGCCAGGAAAAATTCAGTAGGCCAGGGCAATGCTCATGCCTGTAATCCTAGTAATTTGGGAGGCCGAGGTGGGCGGATCACCTGAGGTCAGGAGTTCGAGACCAGCCTGGCCAACTTGTTGAAACCCCATCTCTACTAAAAATACAAAAATTAGCCAGGCATGGTGGTGGGTGCCTGTAATCCCAGCTACTCAGGAGGCTGAGGCAGGAGAATCACTTGAACTCAGAAGGCAGAGGTTGCAGTGAGCCGAGATAACGTCACTGCACTCCAGGCTGGGTGACAGAGTGAGACTCCATCTCAAAAAAAAAAAAAAAAAATTCAGTGCCCTTATCCACCCTCCCCACTCCCCCACTGCCTCCCTGGCCTCCTTAGTGTATGTCCATTACACCTAAGGATCATACCAAGACTGGCTTCACGGTAAGATCCAAATCCACTGAGGGTACAGTTCTTTCGTATTAGTGAAATGAAAACCCAGAATTTACTCCCGCTTAGCAAGCACTGAAGTTCCTATTTAATGCCCAATGGTATGCAAGAGGCTCCTAAGAATAATTGCCAAGAATAAAATGTGGTTTATCAAATAGATACTTGATGCTGTTAATTGGTAAATAAGGATCACATGTGATAGGCTGTGTAGGGCTCGATCTGTGCTTTAAACCTCAGCAAAACCCTGAGTGAAGGACATCCCCCATTTTTAGAAATGGGCACACTGAAACAGGGCAAGTTGAATGATTTCCCAAAGTCACATAACTAGTGATGCCTCTGATCATTTGAATCCTGTTGATAATGTTCCTTGTTCCTTCCTTGGTGGTGAGAGTTTGACCCCTCCTTCAGATCCTTGTGTAGAGTTTTAACTATTCTAGAGAGGGGTGTCGTCTAAAGTCATTCGTGTGCAGTGTAGTAAGTCACTGTGTCCTCATTAAAATGTGAACTCGTTCATTGTTACACAGACATATTGCAGGGGGAAAAAAGAGAAATGAAAACCTGTTCAGTCAACATTAACTGAATGCTGACCACATGCCATGCCAGGTGCCCAAGATACAGCAATGTACAGAACAGATGTAGTCCCTGGTCCCTGCCCTCGGGGAGCTTATGTTGAGGGAGAGAGATGATCCATAGTCAATATGTGTTGGGAAAGGTGTCCTGAATGAGAAGAGTAAGGGGCAGCCTTACTTGGGCACAGTGGTGTGGACAAAATGGCGTGGGGAACCCAGCCTCCGAGCAGGCCATGGTGAGCTGATGGGCAGGCTGTCTGGGAGGTCCCATTCTTCCTGGGATTGCCAAGCCAGACCGAATTGCCACCGTGTATGAAGTTTACACTTGGACTGCCCAAGCACAGTGGCCCTGGGCATGTGACTGATCTTTCAGAAATAGTATTTGAGCAGCTAAGAGGCAAGCGTTGTGATCCCAAAGTTCAAACCAAGACAAAAACCACCCTTGGTGGCTCTGTGTCGTCCAGTAGGCCAGGCCCTTGATCTCTTTTCCTATCATCTATCACAGGACATCCATGCTCTATCTCTGCCAAAGGTTACAGAGCAGGGCTCAGCCAGTCCTGACCCAGGAGAATAAAGGAGCCCTTTGCCAGCCTGCCAAAGGCGGCATATTCTGTGGATCTGAACCCTGTGCGTAAGCAGCTCTTCACGGGAGCCATGAGTGTGTGTTCACACCACCAAGAATCCATGGCTTTTGGCCAGAAAGGGTCCAACTGCCGAGTTGAGCAGTGTGCTGGAGGACCATAATAATGAGGTTTGCTCAGGGCCTCCGAGGAGGACAGGGAGCCCCACCCAGGGCCTGCCCCCAACCCTGAGCTGAGTCTATGAGCTGAACAAAGCCTTTAAGAAAGGGTATGTGCTGTCATTTTTCTTCTTTATGAAAACTCCTGCTTTGCACCTTAGAACTCAACCTCTTTCTTTGCCAAGAGCTTGTTTGCTGTCAATATTGTTCTGCTCAGACTAATTACTGGCTTTCTGCATGTCAATGGATATGAAACTTACCTGTATTTCTGATGGGCTTTGGGACCATCCTCCTGGTCCTGTCTTATGAACTCAGGTGGGTTTGTTCTACTATTTGAAGTAACTTGATATTGTTACCAGTTTCTTCTCAAACAGCCCAGTAAACAGCCTCCTGGTTGGGGCTTCAGCACTCCCCACCTTCCCTCTCTGTACCCTCCACTCACTCCTCTCCTTCTCTCCACAGCGTCTTCCTCCACCTGATGAAGGTGGACCCAGACTCCACCTGGTTCCTCCTGATCGAGCTCTACTGCCCCACGCAGTTCACGCCTCCCCACCCCAGCCTCCACCCCGTGCAGCTGCGCGGGGCCAGCAGGCAGCAGAACCCCTACATGGCCAATGTGCTCCGTCTACTCAAGGAGCTACAGTGACCCTGCTCCCCCCACTGCAGAAGCCACCGACCCCTCTTCCAGAAGTTGGGCTGACCCCACCCGGCCACAGGCGGTGACAGCGGCGGCAGGAAAGGTGAACTAGCCAATCGATTTATAAATTGATCGATCACACAACTGCTTAGGAATAGATTGAAGGAAAGTAGCTGGCTGTTATTTCTATTTCATACCTTGTGTTTTCAAATGACGTTGTCTGGAGGCTCTGAGGGTTTAACTCCTTAGCCTACCATCTCCATGGCCCCAGCTGCCTCACAGGCCACACACACACACACACACACACACACACACACACACACACACGAGGTCACTTCCCCTCCATCTGCATACCCCTCCCTCTCTTCAAATAATGAGATGGAACTAATTTGTTATACTTAACCTGTTCTTTGGGAAACAAATTGAAATAAAGGCACTCCTTGGATGAAAAGTGTGATCAACATCTCACTTTGAAGTTTGTTATTTAAATTGGGTGATTATTTTTTAAAAAATGAGATTATATTCTTGAATGGTCAATATAGAACCACAGTATAAAATCCAAAGCCAAGCAGTACAAAACAGAAAACAGTGAAGAGTAAATCTCACCCTCCCCATTTCTCAGGCGCCTGGTTTCTGTCTCCAAAGGCAACCACCCGGAACAATGTTTTGGATCCTTTTTAAGCAGGGGGTTAATTTTTTTAACTTTTTACTATGGGTACTAATGTAATGAAGTCCCGTGTCCCGGTGAAACCCGGCTTCCCTTGTGGTCAGCATGTGGCCCAGCTTGCTTCCTCTGTGCCCTGCCCATGTACCTCTCCACACTGGGATTATTTTCAAGCAAATACCAGATGTTGCATTGAAACTTTTTTGAATGTACAACCACGATACCATTATCACACCTAACCAAATTAACAATGAGCCTTTAATATTGTCAGATACTGTCAGCGTCTAAATTTCCCCAGTGTTTGGGTCAGGAGCCAAGTAAGTGGTACATTGCTGGTTCAGTGTGCTCCCTAATGAATTTCTTCTAATGTGTAGATTCCCCCTCCACCTCTCTCATTTTCCTTGAAGTTGTTTGGGGGGGAAACATGGTCATTTCTCCTACAGCGTTTCCCACCATCTGGGTTTATCGATTGCATCCCTGTGGAGGTCATTTCATGGGCCCCTCCTCTCACCTGTTTCCTGGCCGTCAGGAGCAGAGTAAGAGTTGTGATCAGGTTTGGGTCTTTTGGCTTTGTTTCTGGCACTTCTCCATAGGTGGTGTTATATACTTCCATCAGGAGGCACATAGTCTGATTTCTTCATGTGTTCTTAGCGGCCATGGTGATCTCACTGGGATCCATCCACACACTCATTAGGGATTGCAGAGTAATGCTGTTCTAATTCCACCATGCCGGCTTGCTTTTAGCCAGTGTCCTTGCGTAAGGGGAACCTTCCCTTCATCAACCATCTGGTAACCTGCTGGTATAGTTTGTAAAGAAAAGGCAAGATAAATACTTGAGTTTTTTACCTAGCTGAGAAATTAAAAACATACAGATTATGTAAATTCAGGTACACATCCCACCCCAGCCCCCTGGCCTCCCAACCCCCCATGTATGCTGAAGGATCCCAGGGATGGTGAATGCTTTCTCACAGTGCATGTTGGAGTGCCCGCTAGATCACAATTCCAGTGACACAGATAATCCCCAAACTCCAAAAAGCCCAGAGGGTGCCTGGCATGGGGACATGTTGGTGTGAGGGTCCCCAGCCAGCTCTGGAGAAGCCCCACTCACTTCCTGCTCCGCTGTGCCTGCCAGGGCAGAGTTGAATCCAGTACCAGTCTCGGTGGCAGCTGCCTGGCTCTGGTCTGGCTCCTGAGCCCTCAGGGAACCCTTCTTTTGGGACTTTTTTCAGTTCTGCAGCCTGTAAAGTGGAGGGATTGGGCCAGAGGGGGAGCTCTTCATCTGCTGGGATTGTGGGGACCCACTCCCCAGAAACTTGTTCCTGCTCCTCCCATTACCCCAGGAGGGCACTGCATCCTCCAAGAGCGCAGTGGGCACCATCTCATTTGCTGAGGACGCCTCACTGACTTCACAAGATTCCATGTGCAGTCAATTCCAGAGGCTCACCTATGATCCCACAGGGATCCCAAGTTCAGAGCCCCCTGAAAGGGCCAAGATCATCACTTAACTCTTTTCCAGCTTTAAAATTTGGGGATGATTTCTTTTGGAAAAAGGGAGGGAAATGCCCTCTAATTGCGGGGATGGTGAAAGGATTCACAGCATTGTTCCTAATTCCACTGGGAACCCAAAGTGATAGGCTGATTCCGTCTGCAGATTCTGACAAATGAGAAAACAGGTCAGGGAGATGGTGTGACTTGCCGAGCATTACTGAGCTCTCCCGGCAAGATGAAAGTAGCCTGCCTTTGCAGGGGCCAGGGAAAATGTGCACACGCATCCTAAGAGAAACTCGGGCTCTGGGACAGCTCTCCAGGAGATAATCAGCATCGGAGGATATGCCATGGTTCTTCGAAAACCCACTTCTTCCTCAAAGAGTTAAGCTGTCTGGAGTTGCTTTCAGATTCTTGCAGGCAGATTGTTGCACTTGATTAAAAAAAAAAAAAAACCTCATTAGAGCATGTCTCCAGTTATTATATTCAGGCAACTTTCACTTTTGAACCTGTCCAGCTGACTCAGTCTAGTCCCTGTTAATGTCAGCTTTGCAGAATACTGTTCTGCCGGTTAAAACTTGCTGGTGCAGTCAAGGTTTCTTATTTTCACTCAGAGTATACCAGCACTTCAAGTATTGTTTTGGCCAGAGGTAGGGGTAGATACAGGATGGATAGGGAGATACTGCAAGGCCTAGAATTTCAGGTTGAGATGTTTGAGCTGTGATTTGCAGGCAGCAGAAGGCTCCTGGAGGAGCAGGAAAGTGTAGACCTGGACCCAGGAGATGCTTGGAGGTGGCTGTGGTCTTCAGGAGGCACTGTGTCATGGAAGGAACATGGATGATTTGGAGTTCCTCAGAGCTGGGCTTCATTTCTGACTCCACCTCTCCGTGACCGTGTGACCCTGGGCACGTCATTTTATTTCTGAGCTCCGTTTTCCCATCTCTGAAATAGAGCTGTTGCCTCCGTCTCTTCAGGCAGCTGCCTCAGAGGGAATGAATGCAGCCGTGTTTGTAAAGCATCTGGCACCGTGCCTGGGGCTCCAGCAACGTCTTTCCCCCGCTGCCCATGGCTTTGCTATGGCTGCAGTACACACTCCTCTCCACAGTTACAGCTGAGGAAATAGATGGTTAGGTCTCAGCATGTGCCACCCAGAAACTAAAAGAGAACAACAGTAGGGGAGAGAATCAAAGAAGGCTTCTAGGAGGAGGTGAGGTCCTAGTGAACAAGTAGATTTCAGCAGACAGAATAATGGGCATTCCAGACCGGAAAAATAACATGCCCAAAGGCCTGTGGGCATGCCTGCCAGTATCTGTACACATCATAACTCAGTTGGGAGTGACAGGGAAACCAATTCAAAATTGGCTTGAGCAAAAAACAAAAATATCTTGGTACACAGAACCAAGAGGCCCTGTTGGTGCAGCTTCCCCAGCCTGTCCGTATCTTTCGATACTGCTTTCCCAGTGGTGGCTTCACTCTGTAATTCCAGGCTCCTGTTCTTTCAGTGCCACACACCCAAGTGAATGTGCACCTCCTAACAGCTCCAGCCAAAGGCCTACGATTGGGTTGGATTTTTAGAGACGGGGTCTTGCACTGCTGTCCAGGCTGACCTGGAACTCCCAAGCCCAAGAGATCTTCCCACCTCAGCCCAAGTCCTAGGATTTGCTCTCATTGGCTCAGCCCCAAACCAAACTTGGTCCATTTACAACAGCTGTCGGCAAACTTTCTCTGTAAAGGGCCAGAGTGACTCTATTAGGGTTTAGGGCCACACATAAGGTCTCTGAAGCATCTACTTTGACTTTGTTTTTTAACAATTTGTTTTTTTGAGACAGGGTCTCATTCTACTAGCCCAGACTGGAGTGCAGCGGTGCAATCTCGGCTCCCTGTAGCCTCAACCTCTTGGGCTCAGGTGATTTTCCCACCTCAGCTTCCAAAGTAGCTGGGATTACAGGCACACACACCCATGCCTCGCTAATTTTTTGTCTTTTTAGTAGAAACCGGGTTTTGCTGTATTGTGAACCAAACTGGTTTCGAACTCCTAGACTCAAGCAATCTGCTGGGCTTGGCCTCCCAGAGTGCTTGGATTACAGATGTGAACCACCGTGCTCGACCACCATCTTTTAAAAAACAAAAAATAGGCCAGGCTTGGTGGCTCACGCCTATAATCCCAGCACTTTGGGAGGCCGAGGTGGGTGGATCACCTGAGGTCAGGAGTTTGAGACCAGCCTGGCCAACATGGCAAAACCCTGTCTCTACTAAAAATTACAAAAATTAGCTGGGTATGGTGGCATGTACCTATAATCCCAGCTACTCAGGAGGATGAGGCAGGAGAATCGCTTCAACATGGGAGGCAGAGGTTGCAGTGAGCCAAAATCATGCCATTGCACTCTAGCCTGGGAGACAGCAAGACTCAGTCTCAAAAAAACAAACAAACAAAGAAAAATTGGCTGGGCGCAGTGGCTCTCACCTGTAATCCCAGCAGTTTGGGAGTCCAAGGCGGGAAGATGATGAGGTCAAGAGATTGAGACCGTCCTGGCAACCTGGTGAAACCCCATCTCTATTCAAAGTACAAACATTAGGCAGGTGTGGTGGCGTGTGCCTGCAGTCCCAGCTACTTGGGAGGCTGAGGCAGAAGAATCACTTGAACCCAGGAGATGGAGGTTGCAGTGAGCTGAGATCGCACCACTGCACTCCAGCCTGGCAACAGAGAGAGGACCCTGTGCAGAAAGAAAAGAAAAGGGGAGGGGAAAGGAGGGGAGGGGAGGAAGACAAGCAAAAACAGAAAAATTCTCTGCTCGAGGGCCTCACAAAAAATAAGCCAGGGGCCTTTTGTTGGTGGTAGTGTTTGTTTTTGCTTTGCCCTCGGACCTGTTTGCCAACCCCTGAACTTCAGCATTCTCGGGGATGGGTCTGGACACCCACACCATGTGGAGAAAGAGTTGAGGTGGAGTGGTTTCCCCTAAGGGGAAGCACTGGATTTGGATACCAGGAAGAGAGATGCAGAGATCCGGGAGGGCACATGTGACAGGCACACGCCACCCTGTATTTGTGGCCTATGACAAGTGTGGTGTGGCAGTCTGGGAGAGTGAGTATTAGGAGGTGGTGGGAGCTGAGGCCACATTTATGGAAGGCCTTGAATGCCAATCTGAGTATCCCAGCCTTAAGGGATCAAGAAGTGGCCTTGGAAGGTTCTTGAACAGGTGAATAATGTATTGAAAGCAGCATGTTAGGAATATTCATCTCGTGGCAGCATACAGGAGAAATGGGAAGGGAGAGAGACTGGCAATGAAATTGTGTTTCTGAAAGTCCCA